AAGGCAAAAAAAAAAAAAAAAAGAACAAACTGTATATCTTATCTTTTTTTTGAGTCAGGGTCTTGCTTTGTAGTTCAGCCTTGAGCTCATTATGTAGGCGAGTTCAGGCTGACCTTGAACTCGTAGCCATCCTCCTACCTCAGCCTCCCAAGTGCTGGGATTACAGGCTTGGTTTTTATTCTGTTTACTGTAATCCACTGCCAGATGTATTGATTTTCAAGAAATATTTGATTGAAATGGTATTTTTGAGTGGGGACAGGTACATAAGACAGCATTCTTATGTGCTTATTTACTTACGTATGTAAAATTGAAAGATGGCCCCTTAAAAACTCAAACTCAGCTTTTTAAAATGTTATTCTCAGGGCTAGGGTATAGCTCAGTGGTAGAATAAATGTGTAGGATGCTCCAGGCCCTGGCTTTGATCTGTAGTACAATATGACCTCACATAAGTCTGACTTTACCATAATGTCTCTGTGCTAGTTCGCTGATCTGTGTAACAGATCTCTCCAAAATGTTCTGGCTTCAGGCTGCATCCACTGTTTGTAGAATCGGTGGGCTGGAGTCAGGGTGGGGTCTTCAAGTCCATAGGCAGAGGCGCAGTGGGCTCAGCCATCCTGGGGACGGGGGAGCAGCCCCAGGTGCCCTCAACAGGTTATGGGTGGGCCAGCTCCCCATGGGCTGTGGGACCAAGACTGCAGTTCTGTGCCGCCCCAGCCCTGTGTGTTCCCTGCCTGGCTGGCCTTGGAGTGAGCAGCTGAGCAACAGAACTGCGTAAGTGGAAGTGACTTGTTCCTTCTGTCACGTTTTATTCTTTAGAAGTGCATTGGTAAATCCATTTAGCACTCAAGGGAAGGGGATTACAAGTGGCTATCAATATAAAGCAGATGTTTAAATTTTGTTTAATATCAAACTATCACTTAATGAAACAGTCTTAAATACTGCTTCCAAAGACTGTAACAGATGTAGGAATAGATTGATAATATCCAGGTAGACGCTGATAGCAGCTAATACATACTCTTCAGGAGATAACGTATGCATCAGTGAGTGAATGTCATAAATGATAAATCCACAGAAAAGAAGGACTCCTCCGGCAGCTAAGATCAGTTCCATTGTCTCACTATGAAAAAACATCTTCAAGAATCCTGACAGGACAGCAAACAGCCCTGCTCCAAATTTACTGAAGTCTCTCTTGAATTGTAAAGTATATACAGTCAAACCAGGAAACACAGCAGTAATCAATATAAAAGCTTTCAGAATAATACATAACTGTAGAAGATAACTACAACTGCCACAGTCAGAGTTTCCAGAAGGGTAAAGCCAAGAGTCAGGTACAGGTTAAGGGGATGCTTAGGTCTGCTTAAAGTCAGTGCAAAGATCAAACCCAAAACTCCGAAGGCATGACTTTCATGCACAAATGTTTATGTAGAATCAAAGTATAAAAACACTGTAGAGGCTACTGGAGTAGAGAGCAAGATACTGTAGACTTTCAGAGAAGGGCCATTCAGATGTGTGGTCTGGCAGAGGCCACGCAGCTGCCATAGTTGAAGTCATCTTCTATCGAGGAACGAGGATAGCGGAGGTCAGGATCTGCCATCTCTGCTACAAAACCCACACAAACCTGGGCCAGGCCTGCGGGACTCCACTAGCCACAATTGACTTCAACCTACATTCCATTCAAATGTTTAAATTTTAAAAATTTTATTATAATAGAAGACATAGCTAAGTGTGGTGACACACACCTGCAAGTTTGAGGCCAGCAGAGCTTCTTAATGGGTTCAGTGCCCACTTGAACTACATAATGAGGCCTGTCTCAAACAAATAAAAAATGCCTGAACTAAATAAAGACATACTTCCTTAAGATGGGTTACGTATGTGGGCCAGCTGCCCTGTGCTACTAGACATGGTCTGAATCCTCAAAGACTGCCCTTCGCTGCCAACACATGATTCTGGAGCAGGTCTGGACGTCCTCTTTCTCAGTGACTTTGTAAGTGTGGCACAGAACACAGTCGGTACAGCTGCTGGTGCTGGCAGTCAGGCTCATGTGCACATCACTGTGTGTCCTCATCCGCCTCACCCATGATGTGACCCCAGGTGACTTCCTGCTCTTCTTCGGAGTTGGAATGGCCAGGGCAGGGAATGTTTGGAACTGATTCAGGACATTGAGGCAGCCACAACAGCGCAAGTAAAGACACTCATGGAAGATGACTTCAAGAACACCTTCAGAAAGCAGCAAGAAGTGTGTGCGAGTGAGGGGAGTACTTTGAGAGGCATTAATGGCAGTGTGTCCTCATGTAAAAATTTAGACACTTAGGGGGCTGGGGATTTAGCTTAGCAGCATAAGTGCCTGCCTTGCAAGAGCACAGTCGGGGAGTTTGATCCCTGGTACTGATACAAAAAAAAAAAATAAAACTTTAAACATTCACCATGTTTTGAACGTGTGAATATCTCAGGGGGTTAGGATCGCTGAGATCTATCTTATGAGGCCACTTATCTTAGCCAAGCCATTCTTTTACCTAAAAAACCTTTCCTGCTGGGAATGGTGACTCTACCTGTGAACCCAACACTAGAGAGGCTGATGCAAGACGATCACTGCAAATTCGAGGGCAGCCTGGGCTGAACTACGCAGCAGGACTCTGTCTTAACCAAACAAAAGCCCTTTCTGGCCTAAGGAAAGAGGAAGGTGCTTGCCTGAGTCTTTCCTGATACTCATTCTGCTCTGGATGCTGGAACGGGAGTGTGTGCAGAGTCACTTAGTGTCGTGTCACATCATGTTCTGCACCCTGACCCAGTGCATGTGTGGGTCAGGAAAGCCTCCACAGTCACCTACCAATATAGGATAAATACAGAGCTAAAACATTGGAACTCAAGTATTTTAACACTCATGTTCTCAGTACCTTGAATAAATAATGGGTAGCATTTGCTCAAAATAAAGTGTAGTTTTCAAAGTTAATTTTTTTCTAAAGTTAAATGTTATATTAAAAACGTGGGGGACCTGATGGCACCCACCTGTAATCCTAGCACTCAAAGCCGAAGCAGGAGGATTGCTGCAAGTTTGAGGCCAGGCTGGGGTTCCCAGTGAGAGCTTGTCTCAACAAACCAAACCAGACTAGAACAAAACAAGAAACCTTAACATAAGGTGAATGTGTTGACACACCTAATAATCAGCACTTGTAGTGGGGCAGGAGGATTATAAGTTTGCACCTAGTCTGGCAGTATAGTGATTTAGACGCCTCAAAAAAAGAAAAGAACAAATTTATATATGTATATGTATATGTGTGTGTGTGTGTGTGTGTGTGTGTGTGTGTGTATATATATATATATATATATATACAAACACATATACATACACACATATATATGTATATATACATATATACATGTGTATACATATATACATATATATGCATACATACACACACATATATGGGTTTTGTTTTGTTTGTTTGAAACAGTCTCACTGTGTACTTAAGGCTGGCTGCAAACTCACGGTGATCCTCCTGTCTCAGCCTCCCAAGTGCTGGGATTATAGTTGTACGCCCCCATGCCTAGCTATATATGGTTGTGGGTGTAGTTCAGTGCAGGGGCCCTGAACTCAATTTACAGTACTAGGAAGAAAAAAAAAAAAAAAAAAGGAGCATGTCATTAGCACGCACAAGGCCGAGTTCAATCCTCAGAACCAAAAAGGAAAAACAAAGTATTAAAAAAGATGTTGGGGGCTGGGGATTTAGCTCAGTGGCATAAGCACCTGCCTTGCAAGCAGGCAGTCGTGAGTTCGATCCCCAGTACTGATAAAAAAAAAAAAAAGACGTTGATCAGAAAAAAACTACATATTTTTAAATGGTACTCCATGTTTTTAGAAAGTCATACACATGTGGAGAGGCTGTATGTCTGCTTACAGAGTGATGCCAGAGGCTGGGACTGTGGCTCCGTAGTGGTGCACTTCCCTAGCATGCAGGGCCTTGGATTTGACCCCAAGGAAGGCCTCCAAAAAGTGATGCCAGGAAACACAGACACTAAAGATCAGGCGTGGTGGTGTACACCTGTATTTCTAGCAGTGGGGAGGCTGTGGCAAGAGGATCACAGTGGTGAGTTCAAGGTAGCCTAGGCCACATAGTAAGTTCAAGGCCAGTCTGCACTACATACATTGCAAGACTCTGTCTCAAAAAAAAATAAGTAAATAAATAAATAAAAACAGGTTATTTCTTTTCCTTCTATCTCTTTCTTCAGACCTTGAAACTGTATCCTGGGGCACTCTATAACTGAACCATATCCCTTGCCCTCCTTATTTTTTATTTTGTTTATCTTACTTGTTTATTTTGGTACTGAGGATCAAACTCATGATCTCACACTTGTCGGGTAGGTGCTTATGCTGCTGAGCTAAATCCCCAGCCCTATTTTTTGTTTTGAGACATGGTTTTTTTTTCATGCTAGGTTGGCTCAGCCTTCCAGAGTGTCGGAATCATATGTGTGCTGCACTATATCTGGCTAAATTAATCAGTTTTTTTAAAAGACAAGGACATTTTGGCTGGTTCGATGGCAGTGGGTTATCAGAACTTACTAACATTAGTGTCACTAAAGTTGGTATACCACCCCTCCACTGCTAAATTTGACTGGCTTAAAAAAAAAAAAGACAAGGACATTTTGACTTTTGAGAGTTACAAGCCTTTAGAATAATATTACCATTATTGGGAGGTAATTTGGGAAGTAATTATACTGTAAACAGCACCAAAAGTTGGTACAACCTGTGGGAGCTTTATGTGTAATAATATAGAAGATGTTCACTTATATGGTAAAATGAGAGAGAATTCAGAAGTATTATACTGTGTACACAGAAGTAACATGTGGGCTGATAGCAAACCATTGACCTAGCTTTTCTCTGGGTAGAATTAGGAGTCAACTTTCTGTGTCACTTGTTGCTGCAGTGATTAAAAATTTATAATTAAAATCTGTTACAAACAAAGAATAACACTTAAAAAGTCAATTTCACAATTGTTTTACAGGTGATTATATGCTTGAGGCAAAGCCAAAAGAAATTTCAGAAATTCAGCGTTTAAATTATGAACAGGTAATAAACATGATTTTTATTACATTAAAATAAATAGTAGTTGCGTTAATGAAGATGTACATTTTTCTGTATCAGTGGCTTTATAAATTTCTTGGGGGGTGCAGAGGGATTTGAAGCAGGCTCTTGCGGGGTACGTTGTACTTCACTGGCCTTGAATTTACTAGGTAGGCCAGGCTGATTTAGAACTCAGTGATCAGTGCTGCTTCCTCAGCCTGACAAGTGCTGGGACTATAGGTGTGTACTACCACACCTGCTGCACTTTTTCTGTAAAAGATTAAAGAGTAAATACTGTACTCTTTGCAGGCCACCTGTGGTTAGTCCTTGCTACATATTCTTTGGGTTTGTGGTTTTTTGTTTTTTGGGTTTTGTTTTTTTTTTTTTTTTGAGATAGGGTCTTGCTCTGTTATCCAGGCTGGCCTTGAGCTCACTGTGTAGTCTAGTCTGTCCTGGAATTTGCGGCTGTCCTCCTGCCTCAGCCCCTCAAGTACTGGGGTTGTAGGTAGTGCCATTACTTCCCACACAAGCCAGATTTTTTATACATTAATTTTGTTTTGGTGCCAGGGATGGAACTCATGACCTAGTGCTTGCCAGTCAGGCGCTTATGCTGCTGAGGCAAATCCCCAGCCCATAAGCCACATTCTTTGAATCCCTGTTTACTGTTAATACCTGTGCTTGTGTAAACATTGTATTGTTTCTCTGTGTGAGAAGCTGAAAGAAATTTTATATGTATGTGTGTGTGTGTATATATATATATATATATATATATATATATATATATATATGAGATAGTTGAGATACTAGTAATTTTTCTTAGTTCATTGAAGAGAAAGGTTTGTGCTATATTGTTTGGACAACTAAATGCAGATATCTTATATTCTGAGTAATTTAAAGAATGCACAATGTATTAACCATTGTTATCCTCTATTTGTCTTGAAATTTTATTTTTCTCTTTAAATTAAAAAATTAAAACACATGTGCTATTTAGGATGCTATGTATGAGTAGATACTGCTCTAGGTATCTACTCCCTCCCTCAGCTGTTTAAGCTTCAGTGAGTTCGCTACGAAGTCAGGCATGGCGGGAGGGGAGAATTCTGGTCCCCTTTCTCCCTGCAGTGACAGCCTCCCCAGCTGTCGGCATTGCGTGCCAGATGGGTGATGTCCCAAGTGCACAGCCTGTACTGACCCGTCCTTGTCACCCACATCTGGAATTTGCGTCAGGTTCATCCTTGCTGTCATGCATCTGTGGATGTCCTATCATGACACGACTCGGCCACAGTGCATGGCCTTATTTCACTACCCTTCAGTCCCTGTGCTCGCCCCGTGTGTACCTGCCACTCCCTGACCCCTGGCAGCCACTCATCTTTTTTAGCTCATGGTGTTGCCTGTTTCCAGTTTGTTTTGTAATTACCCAGGGTGTGGCCTTAGTTCTCTTTGTTTCCTCCATGTTGTTTCTAGCTTGATAACTCATTTCTATTTTTTAAATTGTAAAAATTACATAGCTGGGCATGGTGACACACTCCTATAATCCCAGCACTCAGGAGACTGAGGTAGGAGGATTGCTTCGAGTGCCAGGCCAGCCTGGGCTACATAGGGAGACGCTGTCTCAAAGGAACAACAAAAAAAAATCACTTAATATGAAATATTTCCTACCAAGTTTTCTCCCCTGGTATGGAGATTGACAAAAAGAGCACTTTACTGCTGAGCTCTGTGCCTAGCCCTTTTATCTTTGTTTTGGGGCAGAGTCTTGCTCAGCCCAGGAAAGGCTGGCCTTAAATCCATGGTCCTATCCCTGGCCTCTAGTACCTGGGATGGCACGTGTGCGCCTCCACACCTGGCTGCCTACTCTTTTTTTTTTTTTTTTTTCCTTTCTTTCTCTATTCTTTTGATATTGGAGTTTGATGGTGGGGCCTTCATACTAATTACACCTCCAGCCTGTTTTTTATTTTGCATTTTCGAGTAGAATCTTGTGGAGCTACCCAGTCTGGGCTCATGTGCAGTCTTTTTGTCTCAGCCTCCCATGTGCTGAGAGTACAGGTGTGTACCGATACATGCTCTCTGTCTCTCTCTCTCTTTTTTGTGATAGGGTGCAATTGAGGCTGGCCTTGAACTCACTGTGCAGCCCGAGCCAGCCTCCTGTCTCAGCCTCCTGAGTGCTGGGATTATACCTAGCTCTCTTATACATTGTTAATTGTGCTGCTTCTTAGTGTTAACTATATTCGTGGTGTCAGCTAACAGATCTCTAGAAGTTCGTGTTGCAAAACAGAACTCTTGTACCTATCAAACACCTCTCCCTGTTTTGTACTCCTCTCAAGCCCATGGACACCATCATTTTGCTCTCTGTTTTGTGATGCTGACTGCTCTTGATAGGCCATAGAACTGGAAGCATGATGTATTTACTTGTCTGTGACTGGCGCATTTCATTTCATGTACTGTCCTCAAGATTCCTTCATGTCGTTGCATGTGATAGGATTTCTCTCTTTTTTAATGCTGAATAATAACAGTCCATTGTCTGTGCATGCATTTGCTCTGTCTATTCATATGTTAGTGGGCATTTGGGTAGCTTCCATTTCTTAATCTCCCCCTCCCCAAGGCAGGATACTGAAATCCTGTGTTGCTTAAATTGGTAGTGAATTTGTAATCCAGTCCCCTGCCTCAGCTTCTGGGTGTCGGTGTTGCAGGAACTCTCCAAGAGCTGCTGCTTAGCTGTTTGCAGACTGTAATGAAGACACTTGCAGAAATACTGTCTGAAGATCCTTGTTGCAGTTACTTTGTATATATATCCTGAACAGGGAGAGGCTTCCTCTTTGGCTTTAGAAGCTTTTGGCTTCAGAGTTTTCAGTCTATAATAGATCCTTCATCTCTGCCCCTCTGAATGGCAGAATGGCGACTCCATTCTGCCAAGCTTGTGTAATAATGGCTAACATGTGCATTGACAGGTTTCTCCAGCTATATGAGAACAGAAACTTTGAACTTAGTCTTACTCATTGTTGTATCTTTGGAACTCAGATTAGTGCCAGACACACAGCAGGTATTTAGTGATAAAAATTTGTTGAAGAGATGAAGTTAGATAACATTTTAATTTAAGAGACAGGATGTGGCTGTTGCTCAGGCCAGCCTGAAGCTCAAGTCATCCTCCCACCTTAGCTTCCTGAGGAGGTGGGACCACAGAAGTATGCAACCGCACCTGGCTTCTTTGGTCGTTCCTGTCTCGGTTTCCTGAGCTAAACCTGCCCTTTCATCTTCAGAACATGAGTGACGCCATGGCGATCCTGCATAAGCTGCAGACAGGCCTGGATGTGAACATGAAGTTCACTGGTGTCCGCGTGTTTGATTAGACGCCAGAATGTGTGGTGTTTGACCTGCTCGACATTCCTCTGTATCACGGGTGGCTGGTGGATCCCCAGGTGAGTGGAAGAATTTCCGTAAACACAGGTGCAGGAACACTTACTAACTCACAAAAGTAAGGTGAATTTATATTTTCTGATACTTAGTTTTTGTGTACCTTGACTTGGAATTAGCCAAACCATGAAGTTGAGAATACAGTCTCCCTAGTTTGCCCCAGGTGTCTGACCCCAACTGCAAGGAGTTAGGGTCCAACTAGAAAGTAAGATGAAGAGTACACAGGAAACTACCCTCCCCTTCTACACCACTGCCAGTTCAGAGCTTCCCTGAAACCGCCTCAAGGCCTTCTACAGTCAGGAAGCCACCCAGCACCCAGTGAAGCATGCTGTCCTCACCTCTGGGGTTTATCCTAGGAAGGAGATGCAGGTAGTGATTCACCAAGGGTGTCTCGGAGCTTGCACAGGGGAAGCTCTGGTTCCTGGGGATATGTCACCCTCTTGCAATTGGTGGGTGACATGTGCCCGGAGGTTGCCAATTCTAGAACTCACTAGTCTTCAGTGCTAAGCTTTATGTCTTTGTGTGTTGGGCATGGAACCTAGTGTCTTTGCATTAAGATGCGTCCCCAGCTCCTGTACTTTTTATTTGGAGATGCAGTCTTGGTAAATGGCTTAATTGCTGGGGCTGCACAGATGACAGGTAAAGACCATCAGTGCTGACTCCTGCATAGCTTTGGAGTCACCCCTCATTTGTGTATAAGGCACTGCCAAGTCCCCATCACTCTGATGTGTTGTTTTATGGCATGAGATGTTACAGTTTTTTTTTTTTAAGTTTTATTTTGAAACCATTGTGGATCCACCTGCGGTTTTAAGAAATAACACATAGCAATCCTTGTACCTTTTAGTCAGTTTCCTGAAGGGTAATGTTGTCAGATGTCCCTTCACTGAAGGGTTTTCTGACGCAGTGAGCTGTGGTTGGGAGCCAGGATCTCGTGCCAGGCAGTGTGCACTAGCACAGGCCTTTTGCACCCACACCTGGCACAATGATGCCAGGCAGCTCAGAAACCAGGGGGAGGGGTTGGGGAAGTTCTCATCACTGAAAAGTGTGTGTCAGGAGGTTGATGTGTTTACCCTGATTTAAACATTGTGCAGTATACACATGTATTGAATATTGCATTTCTGTGTCAGTTAAGCCTAAGTTTAGAAAATAGAATTGTGAACTACTGTACTCAGAGTAACTGAAAAGAATGCCTGGGGCTCGGCTGCTCACTGGTAGAGCACTTGCCTAACGCATGCTGTGCCCTGGACCTGACATCCCGTGGCACCCAGGAAGACAGCCGAGACCAGGAGCTGAGGTGGAGTGGAAGGAGTTTTCTTGCTGTAGACATAGAACATAATTTCACAGAAAGATTCTAAAGAAAAAGAGATGTCGTACAAATACTAATCAGAAGGTAACGGGCGTAGTGATACAAGTATAAAAAGAATTACTAATGATTGAATGTTTCATTTCCCAAAAAGTCATTTTCAATGTGTATATGCCAAGACAGGAAGTTGAGCAGGATGATCGCTGCAAGTTTGAGGTCAGCCTGGGCTACAGAGCAATAACCTGTCTCAAAAAATCAACCCCCCACATACAAAAAAATGGGAGACAAATAATTAGAAAATCCTTAGGACAAGAAAATCGTAATAAAAAATTGTGAGAGGCCACTAAGACAGTTTTTAGAGGAAGTTATGAGCCTTAAATGCATATATTAGGGGCTGGGAATTTAGCTCAGCAACATAAGCACCTGCCTTGCAAGCAGGCAGTCATGAGTTTGATCCCTGGTACCGATAAAAAAAAATGCATACATTAAAGGAAAATCATAAATATTAATGAGTTTTATATCCACTCTCACATCCCTAGTGCTTGGGATTTACTTCAGGGCCTTTGCACTAAGCTACGTTCCTCAGCCCTTTTTAATTTTTTTTTTCCCCCAGACAGGTTATCACTAAATTGCTGGATTGCCCAGGATAGACTTAAATTAGCCACCTTTCTGCCTCAGCCACCCAGAGAGCTGGGATTACAGGTTGAGCCACTGTACCCAGCACTGCATATCCATCTTAAAGAACAGCAAGAACTGGGCATGATGGTGCTATAATCTCAGATAACCTGTCTGGGCCTTGAGCTTGTTATCTTCATCTTCCTAGCCTCCTGAGTGTTGAGATTGCAAGCTTGTGCCACCATGACTGGCTTGATCTTTGGATAAGGGAATCTTGGCTACTCTAGATCATTCACGCTTCCACATGCTATTCAGAATCATCAGTGTTTCCAGAAGTACATGCTGACGATTTGTTAGAGATTGAACTGAATGTATGGGTTACTTTAGGGAGAGTGGTAATGTCACCAAACTGGATGTTTCGGTTATTTAGTTCCTTTCTGTTTGGCCATGCATGTACTATTACTTTCTGCCCAAAGAGTGCCCATTTCTGTATATTCTTTTTTTTTTTTTTTTTGTACTGGGAATCAAACTCAGGACCTTGCACTTACCAGACAGGTGCTGTGCAGCTGAGCTACATCTCTAGTCCTATACATTATTCCTTTTAATACTGGTCTGTTGGTAATTAGTTTTCTAAAAATGTATCTATTTTCCCTTTTTTCTTGAAGGATTCTTTTTTCTGCATATAGAATTATAGATTGTTTAAATTCATTAAGCTATCTTGAGGTCTTATGGGAAATCACTAAAGCTTTTATTTTTCTTTCTTCATTCTCTTTCTCTTTTTAAAATTTCTAATATCTTTAGGTTTTATATCTCATGTGTCTGTCTCTTCTTTATTCTGTATATCCAAGTTCTTAATTTAAATTGTTTCCTCTTATTCTCCCATGAGCTGATTGTTTATTCATTAAATTCCTTATTTTTTGTATCGTTTAGTTCTTGAGTTTCTGTTTGGTTCTGTACACTTTTTTTTTTTTTAAAGAATAGCTTTGAAATTCTTTACTAACATGCTCAGTTTTGTCTTTTAGCTCCTTGAGTATAGTGAGCATCACAGTGTACCTCTAAGCTTACACTTCCTGTGAGTGTAAAATGTGATGTCTAGAGTCCCTGTGAGTATCTATTCTTTGTGGTTTTTGTTGGGTTTGTTTGGACATATTCTGGATCCGATGAGCATATCTGTACATGTGCCTAATATATTAGATATTGATTTTGCAAATGATATATACTTTTATGTTTTAGAGACATAGGGAAATAGTATCCAGTAAGGTAGATTCTTGTTTCAGGGAGACGTTGTGTTTCTTCCTGGTGTCTGTAGCACCATTACGTGGGATCACCTCTGTCTTTTGGGGGGCTTGATGTGATTCGATGCTGTGCTGTGGATCCTGGGAGTCTGCCTACTTAGATGCTTGCCTTTCGCCCTGCACTGTGGCCCATCAGGGTCCTAGCCAAAGTTGGGGAGTCTCATCGGTGCCATTGCCCTTTGTGGGGACCTCGTTTCCAGTTTGGATCTTGCTGGCCAGCTTCACAGCCCCTTGGCTCCCTCATTCAGTTTTCAAGCACTCTGGCTGAGTTAGGATCTCAGATTCCAGAGTTATCTTCCGGTTGACTGGCTGTCCTGTGTCTAGGTCTAGTCATGACTTGACAAGCATCGGGTCAGGAGTCTCCTTTTAGTGTGTTGCTAACTTCCTGCAGCCATCAGGTGGGTGTTTCTTATTATGATTTGTTTGTTTGTTTGTTTTTTGCTCATCTACAAGAAGTCTTATTGTACGTCATTGTTATACTACCTTTAAAACTTAAGAGAAATGAACTTTGGATCTTTATAAATGTGTATTAGAGAGAAAATTTTATCAAATATTCTGCTGTTCTTCATTTGTGGTAATTATGTGATTGCCAAAACCTCCATGTTGCTAGGTTACATTATAATTCATCATATTTATTTAAAAAGAAACTGCTAAAGGTTATGTAAACTGTAACAATTTTCACTCAATTTTTTTCTTCAGTATGTTGCCTATATAATGACCTTGAAGTTGGTAAGCACTTCTATTGTAATCAGAGAAAACAAAAATATTCCTGAAATCCTAAAAATCCAGATCATTGGCCTGGGCACCCAAGTATGCCAGCGACCAGGAGCGCAAGCCCTTAAGTAAGTTTTTAAAAACTTATTTCAGTTTTTAACTCTAATAATGATTGTAGACCAGAATATATGAAATGCTATGCAGCATGGAAAAGATCAGTAACACTCTTTTTTTTAAAGTTTTTTTTATTTTTTGTGGTACCAGGGATCAAACTCATGACCTCATGCTTGCCAGGCAGGCACTTATGCCACTGAGCTAAATCCCTGGCCAGTAACACCTCTTTTTAAAATTATTTTGTGTGTGCCAAGATAGTCATCTTGTGTTTCAGTTATTATGGAACTACATAGAGTTCATCATTATTGTACTCTCCTTCCTTTTCTTCACAAACATTTGATGCCATGTGCTTCAGGCTCCGAAAGCTGTGTGTAGGCACCGTGAGCCTTCGTTTTCAGGAAGTGTAAGCTGTAGCTGGTACGACATACATAAAGCTAGTAATTCAGGAGCTGTGTAACATGTTAGGTGGTCAGAGTGAGGTGATGGTGTACATTAGTACCTTCTGTTACTGCTGCACAAGCTCATCTGGGCAAGAGCCTAACTGAACCCATGAAGGCTTAGGCTGGCTGATGGGAAAGAGCACGAGAAGAAGCAGGGGAGAGATGAAGGCTGGTGAGGCTGGCATAGGAGCAGGCAGATAACTTCTCCCATTTTGCATGAATTTTTATTCACCAAAAAGTGGTCAGAACCGCTGCAGTCCCCTGGGGTTGGTGAGAGTGAGCTTTTCCAGCAGACAATGAGGTAATAAAAACAGTCACAAAGTGATAGCAGCATTGCAAACAGATGACGAAAGTGAATGGACGGCAGGCTAAGGAAGCTAAATTTCACTTCTGGGTAATAGACTGGGCCTGATTCTTGGAAGACTGTTTTAAGAAAAAGTTGTATTTCAGCCTATTAAATTACAAAGGCTCTTATGACTTTCTCATTCTCCTTGGACTGCAGGGTAGAAGCAAAGTTAGAACACTGGTATATCACAGGTCTGAGACAGCAGGATACTGTGCCATCCCTTGTGGCTTCCATTGGTGACACTGCATCATCCTTGCTTAAAATTGAGTTTGAAACCAATCCAGAGAACAGCCTTGCTGACCAGACGCTGACCGTCCAGTCCCAGCCCGTGGAGGTCATCTACGATGCTGTAGGTGCAGGGAGGCTGGGCTCCTTGCTGCGGCTGCCTTGCATTTAGTGTTTGCTTATTTCTCTTCTGTTCTGTTTAATTAGCAAACTTCAGTTTCATAAGCTTTTTCTTGTTTCAAAGCAGTGTGTGTTATAGTAGTCGATTTTAATTTCTCATATGCTATTGCCATTCTTTTCCTTAAGTATTTAAGATTTATTTATGTCTCCTTATGTTAGATGTAAAAACCCTAATATACCTACAGAGCAGCCTGTGCATGTGCCAGCTACTGCCGATTAGGTGCACACTGTTTGCCTGCTCTTTTGTGCTCTCCGTGTTTGGAACCTAAGCTCGAGGAGTGGGGGGAGAATTCCCAGTGCTGTCTATATGGGAGCAAGCACTGACGCTAAGGTGTTTCGGACAGCGCTGCCTCCAGCTCTGTGTCTGTGCCTCGCCCTCCGCTAGCCCAAGCTCCCTCTCACTCCACATACTGCCTCACCCACCGCCACCCTCCTGTACTTCACTGTGGAGGTTAGAGATGGGTTCCCAGTATACACGGAGGATGGATGCAGACACTCCAGAATGCACTGTGCTTCTGAACGTCTAAAAATTTTATGTTTTTTGTAAAATACACATAACAAAATTTACCATGTTAAGTGTTTTAAAGTAGTGTTAAGTGGCATAGTGTTCTATGGCCAATCTCCAGAACCTTTTTCATTTTACAAAAATCTCTTTTTAAAATTAACATCAACTTTTGTATATAAATAAGGCCTGAATAGTTTTCTTCTTACTTCCTCTCTAAATTTCAGAGTACAATGCAATCCAATCACAGTTTTCAAAAGTACTATTTTACTGACGACGAGAGGCTAAAGCTAGCAGTGATGTCTGTAGTCCCTTGCCTGTGTCGCTGTACCCCTGTGGAATGCAGCTGACACTGAGGTGACATGCAGATGTTGGCAACTTCCCTATAAGCTTACTCGGCTGCTCTTCCTCTAGTGGGAGGCGAAGTAGTCCAGAATATCTTTCGATTTCTCCTTTCAAAGCCATTACTATTTTAGAATGAGGCAAAGTCTTAAAAAGTTACAATATTGAAAGAGGTATATATGTATAACTTGGTCGTATTTTTAAATTCCTTTACAGAAAACCATCAATGCAGTGGTTGATTTCTTTCAGTCAAATAGGGGATTGGATCTTGAGCAAATAACATCAGCTACTTTGATGAAGCTGGAAGAAATTAGAGAACAGCTACTGGTAAAGTATTCATGTCTCCATACACTTGAAAAATGTGTGTTCTTCTGTCCATGTATTTAAACTAGTGTAGGTTCCTTCAGTTGTGCGGATTGTACAACAGACACGGCTTACTCAAGTGGAAATACAGGGACTGGGGTAATTTAGCTAAATGGTACAACGCTTGTGTAGCAAGTGGGAAGCTTTGAGTTCAGTCCTCAATACCAAAAAAATTTTTTTAAAAAACCTAAAAAGCAAAAAAGAAAAGACAAAAGTACCAAGGCAACTCAAGCTGAAACGTCCATTCTAGGCTGGACAAGGAGAACGGTAGGGAGTGCAGATGACACCACCTGCTCTATGTCCAGGACCCTGCCCGGAAGGAGCTTGAGATGGAGGCACCCTCCATCCGCTCTGGGAAGCTTCAGTCCACGCAGCGCAGGATGCTGGTTTTCAGGATGGGCGTTTCTGTGTGACGGGGCCTCTACTCATGCCAAGTGTGTTACCTGCTCATTCTCTCTCCATAGAGAACACTAGCACTGGACTCGTACTGAGCTGACTATGCTCCGCTGTGAGACAGTTACTTTCAGTGACTGTGTGCAGGTTGCACCTCAGCTGAGAATCTGACTTATGAGAGCCTGCCGTCCTCCTCAGTGCCTTTCAAGTGAATCTGTTAGTCTGGTTAGTAGTGTGATTATACATTTCACCGTCTCCTTTTCTTTTCCTTCAGGACTTACACATATAATTGAGACTCGAAAAGTTCTTGATTTAAGGATAAATCTGAAGCCTTCTTATCTAATAGTTCCACAGACAGGCTTCCACCATGAAAAGTCAAATCTTCTCATTTTAGATTTTGGTACATTTCAGGTAGGTGTATGCACACTTCTGTCTGCTTTGACAGGCTTGGTAGCTCACTAACTGATAGCCTGCTCTTCTTTCCATATTTTCTTTATTACATATTTCAGCCTAACCATTCCATCTTCCATTTTTTTTCTTCAGGACTTAAATAAACATATTATTGAGACTTGAAAAGTGCTTGACTTAAGGACAAATCTAAAGTCTTTTCTGATAATGCCACAGTTAGGTTTCTACCATAAAAAGTGAAACTTCTCAGAGTTCACTTAAACTAAACTAAGACTTTCTTAGCATTTGTCAAGGTTAGTCTAGATTACTCAGTATGAGTGTGAGTGTAGTTCCCTGGTGCTTGCCTACATTACAGTATATGCATTATATAACGGTTAAATAGCACTATTAATCAGTAGTAGGTGATTTCACATTGATGATGGGATTGCTTTTGTGTTTTCCTGATTGGGGAGGAACAGTGTTAGTTTTCATGGTTTCTCGAGATTAATTATGCAGTGTTGCATGTTGCTTATGTATTTTGCTTACAGGAGACTGTATGAATATATTTGTTTAATCACTGCCAGTAACTAAGTAGAACAAAAGAACCCATAGATTTTGGTGTTTGACTCTCATGGAATCTCAACCTCTGGAAGAAAGATAAAACTTTCAGAAATAAGTCTTTGCTTCGGCTAGGAAGGGGGAAAAGGAAGTAGAACTGGACACTAATTTCTCATGGGCTAATTGCTATCACCGAACAGTGGAGAGAAGGAGTAAAGCCCTGCTGTTCCTGGTGTAGGGTGGTGGGAGGTGCAGAGCCTTAAGGACAGTCTCATTTATTTAAGTTTTGGGAAAACACACAACTAAAATATGTTGATTTGTGTACATTCTGTTGTGTAAAAAAAATCAAAAATTTTTTCTTCATTTTAGCTCAACAGTAAAAGTCAAGGTCTACAGAAGACTACCAGTTCATCTTTGGAAGAAATAATGGATAAAGCATATGACAAGTTTGATGTTGAAATGAAGAGTGTGCAACTACTCTTTGCAAGAGCAGGTATAGCACTGATCAACTTTCAGAATACTGAAATTAGTGTGAATGGCTTAAGTCAGATACATGTATGTGTTCATGTGCATATATAAACCTTTATAACGATTTTGCACAAATAACTATTGGTGCTTAAGAAAACCATATAGAAGCATATTATGCAAACCACTGTCAGTTATAAACTGAAACAGTATTTGCCAATTCATCTTAGGGTGGTGTTTGAACCCAGTCAATTCACAAATTGTATTTTTGCAATATGATGTAAAACAGTTCAGAATCCAAAATGGAAGCTGTGATTGGTTCAGGTTCCTCTGTCCTGATGCTTTTTGGAATGTTTTGATGTCATTTTCCCATGTTGCCTTTATTATTACATATGTTACTTAATCTTTTTTTTTTTTTAATTTTATTTAAGGAAGAAAAAAAAACAGAAAAAGGGTACAAGTTATACAGAATTTCAGAAAAAAAAGTAGGAAATCACTAGTTAATAGATTACATATTGTCATCTTAGAAATAATTGTTCAAGTTACAAAATTAAAGCATATAAAGTGGACATTCAAACAGTGAGACTGCAAACAGTTCTGTTCAGTGATCCAATAAAACTCGGTAATATGGTTACCTATCTTATACACTTAAATATACATGCAGTTATGTCCTGTAGAGCACTTTCTTTTCCTCTCTTTTGTACAATGACAATTACACATTTTGGGTTTTATTACTCCCACTGTTCTTATTACTTTTTTTTGAAAAAAGTAAAACCAAATGTGACATAATAGGACAGAGTCAGTCAAATCAAAAGGATGGACATAATACATAATGTAAAAACAAAATACATGGTGATCAACAATGGTTACCCTTAATGCCTCTTGCTATCTTAAAAAGAATTGCCTATATCATCAGTTACAATAAAATTGAACAAAACAGATGTGGTGTATTCTCTATCCCATGAGTAAAGGCTTCGGGTATTTATACTTTCTCTAGTTTTACAGACACTAAGTATTTATTAAATATCTTTGTATATCACTTTGTGATAGATCATCGGAGAAAAGTACAGGCAAAATTACGGAGTACAGTGTACAATCTATAAGAGTGAGTTTTTTGTACACTAAGGGCCTGTTAGTTCCTTTAAGGCAAATACACAAACCATTAAACTTCCCTTTTTGAGTATGTATTTACAAACAGTTGAAGTACAAGTGATAAAACATGCTCCACATTGCCATCAGGAAGACATGTACAAGACAGCCATTGGGAAATCTATCTTTAAGATTTTCTTTTCTTGAAAATGTGATTATCACACTTTTTTTTGCTACTAGGGATCGAACTCACAACTTGATGCATGTCAGGAAGGCGCTTATGCCACTGAACTAAATCCCCAGTCCATTATCCGATGTTTTTATCATAAAATCTTGCATTACAAAACTTTTTCTCTGACATCATATGTGAAGCAAATGTAATTATTGCTCTTAGGAATTCCATCAACCTTACCCCCACCCTTTTGTGCTTTTTTCCCCTACTTTTTACCATAGCTACCTATCTTGATTGCTAACTCTGGAATTGAGGTAATTCCTGTTTTTTTCCCCCCCTTGGTTTTTTTTTGTGTGTGTGTGTGTGTACCGGAAGTAGAACTCACAACCTTTGTGTTTGCCAAGCAGGCACTTAGGCCACTGAGCCCCCTATGCTTGCTTTGAAATGTAAGCATTGTCATATAAACATTTTCAAAAAGTATATAGAATTATCTTTATATCACAGTCTCTGTGAGCCTATGTTTAAAATACAGGTTACCCTAGTTCCGTGGTACAGTGCTTGCCTAGCATGTGTGAAGCCCTCAGTTTGATCCCCAGTACAGCAAAAATATCTTGTATATTGAAAGAATTAAAAGTGAGCATTGACTCTGTCCCTTCACTATTTTCTACTAAAAGTTTTCTGCAGAATAGTCGATAATGCATTAAAATTAATTTAAACTCCTTTTTTGAAGGGGAAAACTGGAAGAAGTGTCGTTTTCAGCACCCGTCCACTATGCATATACTGCAGCCCATGGATATTCATGTGGAGCTAGCCAAGGCGATGGTAGAGAAGGACACGAGAATGGCCAGGTAATGCGTGGGTTTCTTTTGTTTCAGAAACCAACAAAGTGAATGCTGTCCATATCAGCTACTGGATAGATTTCTGTGGGAGACAGAAAATTAAAATACATTTTAAAGAAATGATAATTTGAATTATATGTAACCTTTTGAGAAGTTTTATATAGACTGTTAGACAGTATAAAATTAGGTGATCTGTGTCTTTGAATGGCTTTCAGGTGCATTACGGTTCTTTCAAGGTGCATTATTAATGAGGTAAAGCCTCCAGAAACATGTTTCACCATGAAACTACCTGAAATCTTTAAAAAATCTAAGGGGATAAAAATTAAAACTGAATTTTGGTCAGTTAAACTGCCCTTTAGAAAAACATCTTTGTTGACATATGATTGGCATTCAGTAGGCTGAGTCGTTGAAAGTGTATGATTTGGTAAGTTTTGACATGTGTGTATCTCCGTGAAAATTTCACAGGCAAGTAATGAACACATCTATTACCTCCAAAAGTTTCCTTGAACTCTGGTATTTCCTCCTTCCCTTCCCTTCCCTGTCTAATTCCTCTCCCCCTCAACCAATCTTTGGACAACATTGGTCTGTTTTCTGACACTGGGGATTTGTTAGAATTTTCTGGAATTTTATATGAATGAAAATAGATTTTTAATTTTTTGTTTGATCTCTTTGAACATAATTAGTGATTCATTCACGTTGGTGTATGTATCAGCAATTCCTTCATATTCTTTACCAGAGAGATGTTAAACCAACTGTCTTACTAGAGAAACCTTACTTGGTAATAATCTTTCAAAATATCATGGGGCATAATTTGCAAAAATTTTGTTAACAAGTGTTGTATCTGTGTTCATGAGGGATATTGATCCATGCTTTTCTTTTTTGTTTTGATATTAGGGTAATATTCGCTATGTGGGAAATGTTACATAGAAATCCGTTTTCTTTCTCTCTCTCTCTCTCTCTCTCTCTCTCTCTCTCTGTCTCTCTCTCTTTCTTTCTTTCTTTCTATGTTTGGAAGAATTTTAAAATCTTTTTGTAAAGAGGAAGAAGTGTCTATTTTCCCATCCATCAGCTGCGTGTTTCTTGCAGCCCATGGGTATTCATGTGGAGTTGGCCAAGGGGACGTTAGAAAAAGACGTTAGAATGGCCGTCAGCACTTGGAGTTTTTCTTTTTTTTCTAGGTTTTACACTATAAATTTAGTTTATTATAGAGATTCACATGTATTCAGATTGTTTTGAATCATCCTTTGAGTGTTGCAGATATTTTACATGATTTTAAGAAATTTATCTTTGTTGTTTGGTTTATTAGCATAAAATTATAGTATTTTCTTATTTGTTTAATACATTAATAATCTGTAGTCATGTCATCTCTCTCAATTCTGGTATTAGTGATTTGAGTTTTCTCTTTTTTTTCATACAAGTCTTACTAGAGATTTATGAGTTGTCTTAACCTTCTTTTTAATTTCAAATATTTTCTCAAGTCGATTTCTGTTTTTGCCTTTTTTGGTCCTCATTTCTACCCTGATGTTTACTGCTGTTCTTTTTTCCTGCGTATTTTGAGTTTTGTTGCCCTTTCATTCGCATTTTCTTGAGGTAGTAGTTGAGGTCATTCGTTTCAGCCTTGTTGCTCATGTAGGCATGTAGCGCTGTGAGTTTCCCTCTAACCACTGCTGCCTTTATCCTGACCCTGAAAGCCCACCTGCAGGTAGGCATCTGTAAGCCCAGCTATTCACAGCCCAGCCAGGAAGCCAGGGATAACTTAAAAGAGTTTTATGGCGGCAGTGGCTGCACAGTGTGATGGAGACAGGCAGACTGGGGTGGGTGCAGGGAACAGCTGTGGGGCCAGTTGCTGAGGACAGCAGGCCTGTGACACAGTGTGGACAGATGGACAGATGGCCTCAGGGAACTTACACTGCAGCCAGGGATGTGAGATGAGCTAGTGTATCCGTATATGACTTGTGAAGTGCTCCCAAGTGCTCTGTTAAAATAAATAAGAGACAAGGAGATAGTGACAGGATAGATACTCTTTTCCACTAATGATGAGAAATCTTGGATATTTGGAAATAAAGTATACATGGCGGTTTTGGTTTTAAAAAGAGAATTTGTTTAGTATGTTTAGGCTTTGTAAAAACCTTTAAAAGTTTGGCTGCTTAAAAAGGATACCTGGAAATTAAATTACCAGGTATCCTTAAATTAATTAAATTACCTGGAAACCTGACTTAGAATCCCAGTTGGCTGACAGTATTGTCAGCACAAGCCGGGGATTGGATTAGAACTTGTCTACAGTAACTGACTCTGCAGCTCCTTCCCCCTCTGCAGTACTGATGGAGAGGCTGGCTGATCCTGAAATGTTACGGCTGAATTGTGTTTTTAGATTTAAAGCATCAGGAGGACTTCCTTTGATGCATGTGAGGATTTCAGACCAGAAGATGAAAGATGTGCTGTGTTTGATTAACAGTATACCTTTGCCACAGAAATCATCAACTCAATCTCCAGAGAGACAGGTAATGGGTATGACACAAATATTCAATCTTCTGTTTTCAGACAACTGCTGTAATAGAGTAGCAGTCGGAAGGCAGTTTTAGGGCAAACTTTATGCTTGAAAGAACCAAAAATACAGGAAAGGAAAATAAAATAGAAAACATACTTTAAATAAAATTAGAAATATAAATCATCTTAGAAATGTTGCAAATAAAATAATGGGGATAAAATTTCCTTTTGTGTTGGACTTTAAAGTTCTGAGTCACTTTAATTGAAATAATTTTCATAGCATAAAAGAAATGTTGGGCCAGGCATGGTGGCACATACCTGTAATTTCAGCACTTGTGAGGCAGAGGCAGGAGGATCACTGAGTTCACAGCCAGCTTGGACTACATAATGAGATCAAGGCCAGCGTGAACTACTAGTGAAAACCCTCCTCTCCACCCCAAACACACAGAAGAAATGTTGGATTTTTGCTTACTTAGAAACACATTTTGAGAGAATCATCTGATGCTGAACTCATTTTCTAGGGACCTCTGATGTTCACAGCAGCTAAATGATAAACATTAATGAATCACCTTATCTGCTAGAGTTATACATAATTTTATCTTTTAAACATGATGACAATCTTAATTTGTAAATTTCAACTATTATTCAGTTACAGAATTTATCCTTCCTTTTTTATTTAAAATTTTTTTAAAAAACAGTATCCTGCTGTATAGTTCAGGCTGGCCTCGAACTCACAACAATCTCCTTGCCTCAGCCTCCTGAGTGCTAGGATTATAGGCACGTGTGCCCATGTCTGGATGTCATGTATTCTGTTGGAAGATTTATATATGGCGTGTATGAGTTTTTCCATCTCTGAACTTTGTTAGTTTTCAGTCTCGTGTGTATTTAATCCTGTGAAATTCATATTTTGTTTTTGTTTCTGTGTACTTTGCTAGGTATCGTCAGTTCCTGTTGCTTCAAGTGGGACAAAAGTTCTCCTTGGTGCTTCATTATTGCTGAGTGAAATGGATTCAGGTAAGGAGTGTAAAAGTGTGTTTCTAAATTATCTTTATCACAATAACATTTTCAGAAAAGCAGAGGTGTTAGGAGTGCATTACAGCAGTCTGCTGGTTCTGGTTCTCATGCTGTTACCTAACAGTGTGCCTTCAGTTATTTACGTTTGGAAGGTCAGGTTTCTTTACTAAAGCCCTTTTGGTGGTCAACAATTTTTACTTCAGGTTCTAAATAAGCTACTTGATGACCTGATCACTGTGTGATCCTTTTCTGTAGCCATGCTTAGTTGATCTTTTGAGATTTCAAGCTAGAGCATAAGCTTGGCAGAGATAATAAGTATGTCTGTTCTGGTCACTCTTCAGTTCTAGGTGGCTGACACAGCTTGGAACATGGTAGATGGGTCAGTCACTATTTCATGGAGTACTCAATGAGTGAACTAAGCCAAAAATGAAGTCACTGAAGGAAAGATTGTAGTGCTGTTTGATTTCAAATTTGATTATCACGTGCCTAACTGAGTCACCTCGTGGGACTTGATAAAAGCTCTGGGGCAGTTTTGAGTGTGAATATAGAGTTACATCTAATGCATAAACTTTGCCTGAGAGGACTTGGGCTTGAGTGCTTTGTGCAGTGTTTAGTGGATGTCTTTCTACTCTAGAGTCTGACGATGAGTATTTCGACGCTGAAGACGGTGCCTCCCAGGTGCCTAGAGGTGCGCCAGGCTCCGAACCCCGAAAGGCTGCGGAGGTTCCGAACGAGGCCCTCGTTAATCTTCTGCTCAAGTTTGAAGTTAAAGGAGTATGTGTACTTTTTGTCTATGAATGTATTCTTGTCATCATTAAACTGTTTCATGGTAGACCACACATCAGGTTAGGAAAATGTACCCCCACACACCATGTCAAAACAATGAAAGTCTTTTTTTTCTTTTTTTTAAAATAGGGATTACTTGTGGAGTGATCTATTTTGGAAGAGCTCAGAGCTTTTAATTAGGATTTGTGTTTTTTCAGACAATTTCTGACTTTTTTTTGTGGTACTGGAGATTTAATCCAGGAATCATAGAGCTACTTCCCTGGCTCTTTTTTGTTTGTATTTTGAGACAAGGTCTTGATAAGTTGCCCAGGCTGTTTCTGACCTTGGATTCCCCTTTGTAGCTGGGATTACCAGCATGTGTCACAAAGTTCAGCTTATTTTTTTAACTTTCATTTGTGAGTTAAATAATAGTTGCTCATTGTCATATTTATAGTTTGGAAAAATGTAAACATCCTAAATTTCCAGCATGCTTTTTCTGCCCTTTAAAAGTCATCTAGTAAGCTGAGTGTGGTGGCACACAAATGTAATCCCAGCACGCAGGAGCCTGAGGCAAGAGAATCCCGCAAGTCCAAGGGCAGCCTGGGCTACAAAGTGAGCTCAAGGCCAGACTGTACTGCTTAGCGAGACCCTGTCTCAAAATGGTCCAAAAAATAAGTCATGTAGTAAAAGGAAACCTGGAAATACGGTCATGGTATATAGTTACTTGATGAAAATGGAATGTACACTAGCAAGGACACAATCTGTTTAAAATTTCATATACATGTTTTCTTTGATAAGTACAGATTGTTCATCTCGGGGTGCGGTGTTTACAGCTACAGATCTGAGAAATGTCACTGATTTGACTTGTGCATGCGGACCAAGCATTGCTGGTATCTGTTTGAAGTGAGATGCGTTAGCCTTTTTAGCCTGCTGTCTTCCTCTTCCTCTTTGACCCCCAGTAGCAGCAGACCTCTCAGCTTTGTTTTCTATTGCACTCACATGCTTGCTCTCCCCCACTGCTGCTCTTTGTCCTGTCCTCTTCATCTCCGGGCTGTATCTTTGCAGCAGCTTCCTGACCGCTGCTCTGTTATCCATAAGGCAGCCAAAGCGACCCTTTTAACACGGAGGCCGCGTCCTGGCGCTGCTCTGTTCGTGCCCTCCCCTGGCTCAGTGATGACTTGTGCTTTCCTGTGGCCTGCAAGGCCTTGCAGGGATCACCCGCCTGCCTGTTTGGGCCACTGTTTTCTGCTTGCTTCCTCTGTTGCAGTTGCGTTTCTTGCATTCCTCCAGTGAGTGCGGTGCCGTCCTCCACCAGACATCGGTGTTGATGTTGGAAATGGGTGGGGAGCGAAGTCCTTGCACCGCCAAGTCCACTAAATGTGTTTTTTCTCACATATGTGCACCAGAACTTTCTCTGCTTGCCTTTTTTTGGTTGGGGGCACTTTCCTAGCATGGCTTGGTTCTTGTGTGCTTCAAGCGCTTGTATGTGTCTCCTTACTGGGAAGACCTGACTACCTCAAGAGAGCAGTGTTCCTTTTCCTTCTCTCTCTGGCATGTGGGGCACATGAGGGCAAGAACTATGTCTGGCCTGCTTAACCTTGGTCTTTTTAGCTCCTGGGACAGCCTGATACATGCATGGTACATGATATGCAATAAATACTTCATTGACTATTGAATGAACTGAGGTGAAAACAGAACTTTTGAAGGAAAAAGAATAATGCTGTTTGGAATACTTTTCCCAGTAGAACTTTTTAAAAAGGTTTCTATAGTGAAATCTATCAGTTTTTTTCTTTATGACCCAGTTTTAGTGTATGCCTAGAAAATTCTCGCAAAATACTTACCCATGTTTATATATATTTAAAATCTATGTATGTATATATATATATAGATAGATAGATAGATAAAACCTATGTTTTTATATATATATATATGTATATATTAAATGTATATATTTTCCCCCTTTTACTTTTGTGGGTCCCAGGAATCGAACGCAGGACCTTATGCTTGTCAAGGCAGGCCCTGTGCCACTGAGCTATATTCCTGGCCCCATGTTTTATGTATTTACGATTTCATTGCTTTTGTTTAAATAATGCGTAGGAAGCTTATTTTGTATATAAAGTGTGTGCTGAACTTTACTTACTGTATTATCTTGTTGTTATCTTCTGTTTTTGGTTGCTTTTGGCTTGATTTTTCTTAAGTACATAATCATACCACCTGCTAATATTAGTGTGCCTTTTCCATAGTTTTTCTATTTTACTGGCTACCATTGCTGTTTCTCAAGTTACCCTCACGCTTAGCTGCTTAAGACAGCTATTTTTGTTTGCTCATGCATTGTGGGTTAGGAGTACCAAAAAGCCCAGCTGGACTACTCTGGGTTTGCCTGTTGTCTTTGATCAGGTGTTACCTGGGGCTTCAGTCACTGGAAGCCTTGGGGTGCAGGTGCTTTGGTTCCCTTGGAGGCTGGCGGAGGCTGGCGGAGGCTGAGGGCTGGCTGCTATCTGGGCTTGACTCTCCAGGTTCCCATGGTGATTGTCAGCTTTCCCAGGCCCTTTGTGTTACCAGAGTCCTCTGCGCTCTATTGATTGAGGCATTCACAGGCTGTCCAGGTTCAGGAGGAAGCAGCACAGACCTCTGTCTTTTGGAGAGTGTATTAAAGAATTTTGGGGGAAAATAAATAAATAAATAAATAAATAAATAAATAAATAAAAAGAGGGAGTTTATATCTTTTAAAAGATACCATGCTTTGCTTTTTATTATCTAAATGTATCAGCTGCCATTCCACAATTAACTTAAGTAATATGATAACAAGCACTCTCGTCATAACTTTTTCTCTTGTTTTTGTTTTGTAGACATGGTCTTGCTTTGTAGTGCAGGCTGGCCTTGAGCTATTGGCAATCCTCTTGCCTCAGCCTCCTGAGTGCTGGGATTACAGGCATAATGCCCGCTGCCTGACTTTCTTGTCATAAATTTTTACTTGAATAGCTTCTGTTATCACCAAATGTGATTTTAGTTTGAGAAAATATTAAGGAAGACTTCATAAATTCTAAATTTTTCTAAACTTAAAAAAGTCAACAAAAGATGTTAAATTTCACCATAATCTTTTATACAGGAATTTATACTCTTGATAATGATAATTTATAACATTAAATAACTTTATGGTGGGAAAGGGGTCTGAGCAAAGTTTTAACTGTATTCATGGTGATGTGTATGGAGAAAGACTTTGTTTTTTATTTGAACTATGACTTAAACTTTTGTCAACTTTTCACTTGGCTATGCTAATTCTTTTAGGTAATTTTGGAATTTACTAAACAACAGAAAGAAGAAGATACAATTCTAGTATTTAATGTTACTCAGTTAGGAACAGAGGCCACAGTAAGAACTTTCGACCTAACTGTGCTGTCTAATTTAAAGAAGATCAGCTTGGATTACCATGAAATTCAAGGTAATATTCCTAAAAATGGAAGTGATAAAAGTAGCACTTTTAAGCATCTAAAACACTTTTATTTCTATGATAGTATCTATTATAAACAAGAGTAAACATTGTTCAAAACACTTTACAAATAACAATTCATTTAAATCTTATAATAACATAGTGTTACTGTTGGTAGCTTTATGTAACTAAGGTATAGATTTCTTATAAAATTTACCCTTGGTCTAACAAGGAGTAGCAGAGCCATGAATGAAATCTTGGCAGTCCGGCAGGCTAGCAGTCTGGGGTTGCTGTTCTCAGCTACTCTGATCTGTTACCTCTGCCTTTGTGTAACTCTCCTTAGCAAACACAGGGACAGACAAAAAGAGTCAGAGAAGAATTTAGTAGCTTCCTTCACATCATGTATTTATGGCTAGAAGACTGGAGAGTTTGTCTCTGATCCTACAATGTTGAGGGTCCCCTTTGTTTTTTCTTTCTGAGACAGGGTCTTACTATGTAAGGCAACTGGTCTTGAATTTTGCTAATTTAGCCCCAGCTGACCTCAAACTCATGGTGATCCTCCAACACTGCTTCCTGAGGGCTGGGATTACAACAGCTGTGCCTGGCAGGTCCCAGGCTTTCTGTGCAGTAGTGGTCACATGTCATAAGCTCCAGTTAAAAATAAAAATGGGAGAATACGAAGTTCACTCTCTTAGAAGCTCGACAACTTTATTCATCTCAGTATTTATCTTGTGACCTCAGATATTTGAGGCATGAAGGAATAAAATGTATGATAATTAAAATTCTTTAGTGCTTCAGTCAAATATAGAGGCCTGGGTTTTATAATTTGAGAGTATTTGTAACTGAAAGCCTCAATTTAGAAAAGAAATATTTTACGTTACTATTTTTTTGTACAGAAAGAAAGAATTTACAGAAAGAAAGAGGGAAATGTAGATGATAAATTTTCTAGGCTGTTTTGTTGTCATGGAGGATTAGGACTCGGGAGAAAGATGCCCTGTGCGGTGGGGAAGCAGGAGTAGAAGTCCAGTGGTCAGGTGGGCGGTGGGCGGCTGCTCCCTTCCCAGGGCCTGCGTGGGAGCTGCTCCCTGGCCCAGGTGCAGGGGTGGAGGCTGCTTGTGTTTAAACTTTACAGGAAGCATTGCAGTTTGCTTCTCTTGAAATTCTCTTCTCCCAGTCTACACAAAGTTCTCTCTATATAAAGTTCTTTCATAGAATTTTAGACACAACAGAATCCCATCCAACTTGTTCGTTACATTGTTGAAAAATATGTCTGTAGTTTAAGTCAGGAAGGATAGAGGTGAGCTGGAATTGATATTTCTTGATGCTGGCACCTGTAGTCTGTTCTGCTGCCTTACTAATGAACATGTGGCCTTAACAATATCTAAAGAAGCTTTGATTAGTTTTGAACAGATGTGAATTCAACTGAAAATAAATACATGTTTTAAAGTAAATTAGATGCCTAAGGCAAGAACTTCGAGTGGCTTATTTCTCCATGAGTGATGGTTTTAGTATTTAATAACCATGAAAATATGCACAGGTATTCTTTTGAAGCTTAATTAGCAGCTTTTATAAAGAAGTGTCTAGCAAGTTCTAGAAGCAACTTGTTTGAAAATGTTTTTTTTTTTTTTTCTGTAGGATCAAGAAAAAAGCCCCTTTACTTGATTAGCTCTTCTGACAAACCTGGGTCAGATCTTTTAAAAGTAGAGTATATTAAGGTAAGGACCATGGCAGTGCTGGAGAACCTGTGGAGAGATGAGAGCTCAGACTGCACCCCAAAACCCACTTCTTTATGGCAGAATGCCAATTAAGTGCAATTAAACCTGAATACTGAGATTTTTGTTTAGGAAAGAACAACTTCTACATTAGCATCTTTTGTCTTTGATTTGCCAGCACTAGTCTGGACTGTGCCCCTGGGAAGTGGACAGGACAGTGTGTTACTAATCATTCTGGGTGGTAGGTTAGTTTTTAACTGTTTCTTTTTGCACGTAAACACCTTGTTTCTCTTTCACTACGTGAAGAGCTATTAGAAGGCTGCTGACTTCTTATTCTCAAATGCAGAAGCCTGGGCGGAAGGAGGCACTGTTTCTCTCTTTAGGGGCATAATTATATGTCCACACTTGTCTGTATAGTAGGCGACAGTTTGGCTAAGCCACATTCAAAGAAAAAAACACATTGGATCAGGTGCTGCAGAGAACTCCCAGGCCTGGAAAGAGACCAAGAAATGCACCAGGAAAGTGCTGAAGTAATTGATAAAATTAGGTTCATTTAAGATTTAATAGGTTTGTTTTAATCACTTATTATTTATTGAATGTCTATATGTGTTTCTAAATGGATTACACTACCAGGTGCTTAGAGACACAGATGACAAACATTATGTTTTGCAGGCAAATTATAAACTAGAAGGGAGAGATACAAAAAAAATAATTAAAATGTGTTGATTGGTTGACAATATGATTATTATGTAGCAGTGTAATATGAATATAATAAAGCAAAACAAAAGCATTGTGGGAGCAGACAAGCAGACAAGCGATGGCAGAAAACTCACAGGAGGTCATTTTTTTTTTTTTTTTTTTGTCTTTTTCTTTTTTTTTTAACGGTACCGGGGATCGAACTCATGATTGCTTTTTTGCAAGGCAGTCGCTTAAGCCACTGAGCTAAATCCCCGGCCCCGGGAGGTCATCTTTTGTGTTTGGAGTTACACTGTTTGTTTCAGGGATCAGAAATACAGTGAATAATAAGGCTGGGAGATTGCTTGAAGCAGTACAAAGACTTCATTAAATCAGAGCACCCTGATGATTGGATTTCTAAGAAGATGAGGTTTCTTTTACTGGAGATGTAAACAGACTTACCAGAGAAGTGGACAAGGGATTTCAGCATTAGGTGTCCAATGTACTAGATGACCTAGATGACCTTTGCACCTTCTACCTCCCAAGGTGTATCATTCTTACACCCTGCTGTAGGTTCCCTGAAGTGAGTAATTGTTCTCCCGGGCTCCCAGAGGAGAACACACAGCATATTACAGTCAGTAAAATGCATGACTTTACAGTAGATTAATTACTTTGGTCTTAATTCCTTTGTTCATTTTTTATTTAGGCTGATAAGAGTGGACCTAGTTTTCAAACCACTTTTGAAAAAACTGAACAGATATTTAAGGTAAGAAATTCTATTAAAGCATATATCCTATTGAAAATAATTATTAATGGAAATCTTTAGTATTTTGGGGCGGATAGGATCTGTGTAACTTGATGATATAATCAAGAACCAATAAAAGTTATAAATTAACCTTGTAAATACTCTGATTTTTAGTAAAGCTGTTACTTTTTTTAAATTTTAAAAGCCAAAGAATAATGATGATATAAAATTTCAAAACAAAGTAATAGGTTAACAGTGGTTATGTATTGTGTATTGTTCCCTTCAAAGTGATATTCATGTTACAAGATATAGGCATAAAAATGAAAGAGCAAACTTTTTTTGGACAAACTAATAGTTTAGTAGTATAGTTATCTATTGAGTGTATATAAAGAGTATATGTACATAGCTGGGCGTGGTGGCTCATGCCTGTAATCCCAGCACTTGGGAGGCTGAGGCAGGAGGATCGCTGTGAGTTCGAGACCAGCCTGGGCTACAAAGTGAGCTCAATGCCAGCCTAAACTGCATAGTGAGATCCTGCTTCAAAAAAGACAAAAAAAAAAAAAAAAAAAAGAGTCTATGTACATATAGTCTTTCCCCTCTTTGTTTTCTCCTTTCACCTATTCCAGTTGTTCTTTCCTTTTGAGCAGATTCTTTTCCTATCACTTTCCTCAGTATCTATTGTATATTTTGGATCTTTCTTACTCTTTCAGTGGTTTTTTTTGTTTTTGTTTTTTGGTATCAGGGATCGAACTCATGAACTTGCACTTGCCAAGCAGGCACTTACACCACTGAGCTAAATCCCTGACCCCCTTTCAATGTTTTACATAAGAGAGACAGTACAATACTTAACACATGTAAGTCTGATTTATTTCACTTATGAGTTTGGTCTCAAGTTGCATCCATTTACTTATAAAAACCTCAAGTTTGTCCTTCTTTATAGCTGAGTGGTACACCATTTTATAAAAATACCACATCTTTTTTATCCATTCCTCAGTTAATGGACACTTAGGTTGTTTCCCAGATCAATCCAATTATAAATTGTGCTGCTGTAAACATTGGTGCGCATTTACCACTTTGACATGATGTTTTCAGTTCTTCTGGAAACTGCAAAATTACCCAGTCAAGGAATAGCTAGATTGAATGAGCCCTCCAGTCCTAGTTTTTTGAATAATCTCTACACTGATCTTCACTGTGGCTACATTGGTCTACACTCCCACCAACAATGGAGAAGGGTTCCTTTTTCCCTACCGACATTTGTTATTGGTTGATTTCTTGGTAGCAGCCATTCTTTGTGGAGTGAAGTGTAATCTCAATGTTGTTTTAATTTGCATCTCTAGAATGACCAGTGATGTTGAAGATTTCTTTGTGTATTTATTTGCCATTTGTATTTCAACATCTGAGAAGGGCATGCTCATCACAGATGCCTATTTTTGAATTAAGTCTTTGAATTTGAGGGGCCTGATATTTTCAGCTCTTTATATGTTCTAGTAAGTCCTTTGTCTGAGGGACAGGAGGCTAAAATTTTTTCTCTATGGGTTTTCTTTTCACACTGTGATTTCTTTTGAAATGTAAAAACTTCTTAATAAGATAAGAATCCCAGCTGCTGATTCTTTGAAGTACTTCTATGCAGTTTGCATTTTTGTTCATGAATTCTTTGCCTACCTTGTGTCTTCAAGATTTCTGTTTACCTTATCTTCCAGTAGATTTAGTGTTTCTGTTTTAGTATTTGGCTCTTTAATCCATTTTGACTTTACTTTAGTGCACGGTAATAGACACGGATCTAATTTTAGTCTCTGGCATGTGGAAAGCCAGTTTTTCTAGCACTGCTTAGTAAAGAGGCAGTGAACATGTTCCAGTGAACATTTGCCCCCTTTGTCAAAAATAAGGTAGCTGAGTGTCATTGTATTTCTGTCTGCATCTTCTGATCCATTCCATTGATCTTAAGGTCTGTTTTTTTGCCACTACTATGCTGATTTTATCACAGTAGCTTTATAGTATAATTTAAGTCAGGAATTGTGATGCACTCTGTCTTGCCTTTGTTGCCCAGGATTGCCTTTGCTATTCTAGGTCTCTTCTGTTTCCAAATGAATTTTAGGGATGTTTTCTCTAGATCTGTGAAGTATGCTAATGGTATTTTGATAGGAATTGCATTAAATCCGTATAATAGTTTGGAAGTATGGCCATTTTCACAGTGTTGATTCCTTCTATCCAAGAAGAAGGGATGGCTTCCTATTTTCTGATACCATGTTAGGTGTCCTTTTTCAGAGTATTGTAGTTTTCAATATATAGATCCTTCATATCCTTTGTTAGATTAATTCCTAAATATTTCATATTTTGGGTGAAGGGTATTATTTCCATAATTTCTCTGTCAGTGAGTTTTTTGTTTGTGTACAGGAATGCTATTGATTTTTGAGCGTTGACTTTGTATCCAGGCACACTGCTGAATCTGATGAAGTGTAGTAGTCTTTTGATGTAGTTTTTGGGATCCCAGCAGTTGGGTGGCTGAGGCAGGAGGATCCCGACTGTACACTTGCAAGGCAGACATTTATGCCGCCGAGCTAAATCCCCAGCCCTTGCAGTGTTGTTTCTAAAGAAGGGAATGCTTTAGATAAGGGAACAGTAATCTATAAACAGCTGAGAGGATTGTAAGCTTCAAGTAATACAGGACTGAGAAAGTGTGTAGGACACAGGGAGGGAGGTAAGTGCTCCTAAAGAAGTGGCAGCTGGTGCTTGTGGGTTGCACCAAAAAAAAGGGTTGAGAGGGTCTGGTTTAATAGTGAACTTTCCTCTTTGATGTGTGCATGTGTTTTTCTGTTGTTACAGTTTTTATTTTGAGACAGTGTCTGGCCTTGTATTCCTTCTTCCTCAGTCTCTCTGAGTGCTGGAATTATAAGCATACTGTTTGTGTACATTTCTTTCCATGCAGAAATGAGAAAACGAAAGATTCTTTTCCATAAGGAGCTTTTGTTTTAACTTGCTGTTAGAAAACCACTTTCTTTGAGGCAATTTGTGTTGTTGTCTTAGCTTTCTGGAGTCATTTTTCTAAAAGTGTAGTACTTTTATGACATTTACTTTCTTCTGTGTTTATGACAGGACCATTTTTGTAGTTTTAATGATTTAGTAACAGAACTCTCCCAATTGTTAATCTCACAGATGCCACATTTGGAATCCTCTGTGGATTTAGTAGTATGTAGTGCTTGTGGAGTTTCAGGTTCTGACTTAAACTTGTTATATGATCATGATGAGTAGTGAATGGGAAATGTACAAAGATGCATGTTGGGAATACAGGTGGCCACGTGCAGCAGAATATATGCTCCCTGGGCAGCTGCTTGGGAAATGGAGTGATTAGGGACCTGTGCCCTAATCTGCGCTGAGCACTGAGCGAGAACATCTAATTTGCTCTCTCTGCACCCCTGCCTTGAGGGTCATGACTTTCCTCGCTGCTGTCTTCCCAGTGATGGAAGCTGCGAAGCCGTGATGCAAGCCTGGCTGCCTGTCAGGCCCCTTGTGCATACAGCAGCTTGGCATTTGCCAGTGAAAAGTAACTTTGTTTTAAAACTTTTTAGGTGGCCTTTTCCTCTTTGAACTTGTTGCTGCAAACCCAAGCTCTTCTCTCTTCTATTAACTACCTGACAACCATCCTTCCCTCAGATGGCCTTGGAGGCCATCCTGACCCAGGGACAGGCCAGCTTCCAGATAGGTGTTACATGCCAAGAGCCCAGATTTCGGATAGGAAAGTGCTCAGTTCAGAGTCTGACCTTCCTACTTAAACTATGTGGCTGTAGGTGCATTGTTTAGCTATTCAGAATTTTATTGTCCTTATTTACTTTGTTTTACAGAACGTCACCAACTTACTGACATTCAGACTGAACTATAAGATGCATTTTGTTGGCTTACGAACAAATCTGGAATAGAATTTGTTCATAAGTCGGGGACTGACTCTTCTTTTTAAATTGCAAAAGGAACGTCTACTAAAAAGCCTAGTTTTGTAAGGCAAAAGAAGTATTTGAAATTAAGTTTGTAATTTAACTTCTGTATGTGTATATTTCTGTTTAACAGAATTGTGGTTCAGTTAATATAGAAAAGTCTTGAATAGAATTTATATTATCTGAATTGTATTGTGAAATAACTCTTATTTTCTTTTTAGTGATTGTATCCTCTAAAGACAGTGATGTTACTGGCTTCAGATTGTTTGCCAAGTTAAATGCTTTCTGTGTCACCATTTGCAATGAGAAGAGCAGTATTGCTGAAATCAGGATACAAGGTAACAGGTTCTGGGGATATAGCCCAGTGGCCGAATGCCTGCCTGGCAAGCATGAGGTCCTGAGTTTGGGTCATGGATCCAAAAAACCCCAAAAAGATAGAAGGTAACATACTTGAGAAAACTGAGGCAGGAGGAGCTAGAGTTCAAGCCCAGCCTAGGTAACTTAGTGACTTAGCCAAGACCTCATCTCAAAAAAATACGAAATGAAAAAGGCTGCGAATGTAGCCTGTTGGTGGCACTGGGTTCAATTCCATGCATCACCAAACAAAACAGAACAAAAAACAAGGTAAAAAATACAGCGTTAAAATTCATTGAAAGATGAGCTTTTTTTTCTTTTTTCATTTATTCCCTTTCAATGTTAAAGAATACACGAACGAGGCCTTCGGCAGGGGTAGAGCCAGCAGGATACTGTTGAGTCGGGTGCTTTTTTCTTGGGGCACAGTTGTTCAAGGGCGTCGCCGCTCCTTCATGGCGTGCGCTGGTGCTGTGGGCCTGGCCCAGGCTTGTGTAGGGTGGAAGAGTGCATGTCCGCGCAGAAATGCTGACGGGTGGCAGGAGTGGCAGTCCGGCTTGCACACGCAGTCTGCGAACATCCTGCTCTTCACCAGCCTTATTCATCATGGGTGTAGTTATCTGTCTGTATGTAGTGATGGAATGGAGGTTAGTACTGCTCTGTGCATTTGTGCTTTCTGCACAGCAGCCCTTCAATGAGAGAAAGCCTGTGAGCCATCAGTGTCTATAGAGAAAGCTGCTGAAATGCATCTCGCTCTGTCTCTGGTCTTAATAGTTATAAGAATGTATTGTCATTTGCTGAAGGTAAAGATATGCTCAGTCTGTTTCATGAAATCCTTTAAGAATTTAAGAACCTGAAAGGTAGGGATTTCTTTTTGTCCTTTCTAATCTGGTAGTACATCAACTAGAATGAACTGAATTTGTGACACTTCCATAGTCTCCATGTAGATACCTGGGTTTAAGATATAAGGGATATACTAAATCCCGAGATCATCTCTCATGTACTTTTGTCAGAGGATTGAAAATTCAGGTAATTAATGTTTATTAACTTAGAAGTTGAGTGTTTATAAAAGTATAAAATATCTAATATAGCTTGTTGATCAGTTGGGAATTGAGATGTTGCTAAATTTTAAAAATTGCACTATACAATAGAAATAAATATCTTATTCGTTCTAGATCTATAGAAGTTATATTAATTTTTTTTTCAGGCCTCGACTCTTCCATTTCTCTTCAGTCAAGGAAGCAGTCACTTTTTGCCAGACTGGAAAATATTATTGTTACAGATGTTGATCCTAAGACAGTTCATAAAAAAGTAAGTTGGACTAAATAAATGATGACTATTTTTTTGGTGATTGCATATAAAATCCAATTTTAAAGTAATATATTTGAAATTAAGTATACTTCATGAAAATGTTTGTTTTTTTATAAAGATTATAAATATAAACCATATTCTAAGTGGTAATTTACTTTGTCATTACTTTGGTAGAAAGAATATGTTCACATTTCTGTTTTTCAGGCTGTGTCAATAATGGGAAATGAAGTTTTTCGTTTTAACTTGGATTTGTACCCAGATGCGACTGAAGGGGATTCATACACTGACATGTCCAAAGTGGATGGCGTGGTGTCGCTGAATGTTGGCTGCATTCAGATTGTCTATCTTCATAAGTTCCTTGTGTCCCTTTTGGTAAAATCGCTATTTTCATATGAGTTTTTCAGCTGAGGAAACAATGCTGATAGTTATGATTGCAAGTGTTCCAAATCTTGCATTGTAGGTGATATTGTTTGATTAGATGTGGTAGTTATGTATGAAGGTTCAAGTAAATTGTCTTAACAGTTAAAATCTGAGTGATTTAATGATTTTTGTGTTGAATTGAAGTTACTTTTGTTAGAGTAAGTATTGAAGCCGCATTCTTCCATGCAGAAATCATGAGAATGGATTTCCGTCCTTCCTTTTCCTTAGCTGTGTAACCCTGTGTAACCCCTGTGTAAGCCAGGCAGCTCGTGACCTTGGATGAGTTAGTAGTTGCTCCCATCTAACATGGTCACAGCAGGCTTAACAGAAAGTTACCTGTCCTAAAAGATGTCAGCATCATGGAGACAAATGGTGGTGTCACTCTTGAGAGCCTGCTTTCTGTTTCAATTTCTCCGTACTTCCTTTGTGTCTACAGAACTTCCTGAACAATTTCCAGACAGCTAAAGAGGCCCTGAGCGCAGCCACCGCGCAGGCTGCAGAAAAGGCCGCCACCAGTGTGAAAGACCTTGCCCAGCGGAGTTTGCGCTTCTCTGTCAGCATTAATTTGAAAGCACTCGTTATTGTCATCCCACAGTCTTCTGTTTCCAGCAACGCTGTTGTGGTGGACCTTGGTTTGATCAGAGTTCAGAACCAGTTCAGTCTTGGGTCTGGGGAAGGGTCTGTAAATCCTCCTGTGATCGATAGAATGGATGTGCAGCTCACGGACCTGAAGCTGTCCAGGTGTGTTCTCCAGTGTTTCCGGGCTTAAGTATTAGGTTCACTTTTTCTATGATATTTCATGATCATTCAAGTTCATACTCAACAGGTTGCTGTTTCACAGAATCAGTGGTTTTTTTTCCTTTTTAAAACTGGAAAAATAAAGACTGTACACATAAATGTTTCATCTACATTCACCAGTCTGTTATACATTTGCTGTCATTTACTTATAGCATCTTTACAATGTAAAACATTTTTGCTGAATCATTTAATAATAGACATCTGGACCTTTTGCCCCTAAATATTTCACCATGTGTGTCCTATAAACAAGAAAATTCATTCTCTTGACGTTAACTACAATGTATTTGTGAGATTCTGAAAATATAGTATCACCGTAATATTACCTAATGTGCAGTCTGCATTAAGGTCATATCAGTTGTTGCAGTGATGTTGTTTGTAGTAATTTCCCTTCCCCTTCCAGAATCACACATAACTGTTTCCATTCTTACTGAGAAGAACTTCTTTCCTGATAAATGCTTTCTCTAGAATAGTTCTTGCACCTTTTTCTGTCTCTTACAATGATGCTGGTTTTGAGAGGTATAATCTGGCTGTTCCATGAAACAACTCTTTTTTTGAGTGATTCCTCATGGGTTTTGATTAAGCCGAAGCATTTTTGGCCTGAATGCTCTCTAAGTAATACCCTCAGTGCTCACACTGTGTGAGACATGAAGACACACAAAAAATTAAAACTCAGGACCTATTCCATCCAAGGTGATTTAACTATCCATATTTTAAAAAGTAATACTCATAAGACAGTTGCAGAAAATACTGTTGGAGAGTAAATTTGTGAGACATGTGATTTGAGAATGTTTCTGTTACTGTTGTCTTTTTTGGTCTCCATACCAACAAACGCACAGTCACACATCACTTAGCAGTGAGGCTGCCTTCTGAGAAACGAGTTGTGGGCGATTTCATCATTGTGTGAATGTCACAGTGCTCCTTGGATGAGCCTTGCTGGTGTAGGTCAGTTATTTTGATGTGGTCTTTTGTAATCTGGATCAACAGTCAGCAAGAGATGATGAGGCTGTTGTCAGTGTGACGGGGCAAGCTGTTGTAGTTACATTTGTTTGGTAAATATAGTTTAACGTAATAAAAGTGTAATAAATCCATAAGCCAGTGACAGTAGTTTATGATCAAGACTTTGTACTCTGTGTGGTCTGATGTGCTGTGATTCTGTGTGATTGGCTGTACAGTAGGCTTGCTCACAGCAGCATCTCCACGCCCACACATCGTGCCTTGCACTACCACCAAGGACAGTCGTGACATCTCTAGGCAGCAGTCATTTGTCCTCTCCATTCTGATCTTGTGGAAACATTCCTGGTCCACTGTAGCAGTATGTTTGAATACCTCTGTTTGGTGATTTTAACTCGGCTAGTCCTCAAGAAACAGTTTGATGATTTCTTGCACATCTTCAACGGTGTAAATTTCTTTTTAAAAGAAAAATGTTTTCTTAATAGTGTACAGTGTATGACATTTTAATTTATCCCTGATAGTGGATTATCAATTAATTATAACTCGGTTTTGAAGTGAAAAATTCAAGTAATGCTGCTTCAAATCAGTATTTTAAAAAGGCAAATGACCGCTTGCCTTTGCTGTTTTAAAGACATGTTGTGTTTCCCTCATACATGTCCACATCTGAAGTTTCTGTTTTTCTTTAGGACAGTGATCCAACCAGGCACCTCCCAGCCTGATATTCAGCTGTTGCACCCAATTAACTTTGAGTTTTTTGTAAATCGAAATCTACCTGCAAATTGGTATCATAAGGTACCTGTTGTGGAAATTAAAGGACATCTTGATACAATGAATGTAAGTGCACAAGTGAAAAAACAAAACAAAACAAAAAAATCCTTGGTCATTGAAGTCTTACATTCTGAAGACTTTCTTAATATAGAACTCCCTGAAAAGTAGAGTATTTTACTGAATGATGTAAGAATTTCAGTAAGATACAGTTCAAAAAGGTATTACCCCTTTCAATAAAAATCTCTAAATAAGTAATATTTAACTTTTACATTTTCTGTACATATGGAAGGAAATCTGTGCACAAATTTTCCTGGTTTCATGTCTGCTGTATATCATATATCACTTAATTTTTAAGGTCATCTATGTAGTACCTCTAAGATAATTATAGCATTGGGAGAAGTGCCTGGTAACTGAAAACAGCCATTTTGTTTCACTCAATTTAAACAAACAGACAAAATTGGATGTATTTGCAGAATGTCTTTTTAAAAAATCAACTCTCTAATTATACCTTTCAGTAAAAAAATAATATAAATTAAGTCAGTGGAGTGAATGTTGATTTATGTTACTATCTTTGAAAATAAATGTTAACATGAAATAGTGAAACACGTGCGTAGTAATTGTATATATTTTTGGTAAGGTAGGGTTATTCTGTGCTTCATGCTTTGTTTCTGAGAATGTTCTGTAATAAACTGCTGCATTTTAAATGAAATATATCTACCTTTTGAACCTAATATTTCACAGGCTTGTCTAAATCAAGAAGATCTTAATGTTTTGTTTAGAATACTGTCGGAAAATCTTGATGAAACTCCTGAAGAGTTAGATAAAGTGAAACCAAGAGTACCAGAGACAGGTAAGAGATGCACAGTAGGTGGCTAATATTTCACAGTTATTTTGCAGTTTGATAGACAATAAGAAGACATCGTTCTCTTCTCTGTATGGTGGGTTGGGATTTGAATCCAGAGTCTAGGAGTTAAGGTGCACATACTACCCCTGTGCTGTACCTGCAGCCCAGCACAGACAGGACACGTGAGGTAAGCAGGTACACATTCATGATTTGGATTTGTATTACCAGCAAATAAACAAAGTGCCACCCAGTGGAAATGTGTTAACTGGACACGCTGCTGCCTGCTGATGGCCCAGCATTTAGGAGCCTGAGGCAGGAGAGTTGTCCTGAGTTCCAGCCTGTGCTATGTGGCGAGTTCAAGGTTAGTGTGAACTACACAGACCCTGTCTTAAAAATAAAAGCAAAAACAGAAAATAACACATCGTGGTTAAAGATGCTTGACTCTTATTAGTTAAGCAAGCAGGTATTATGAAGTCCTGGAGTAATTATTAAATTTGCGATTAAGTTGCCACTAAGCTGTGGTAGCACATTCCATATGATTTTTAAATTAGGCTTAGTAGTCAGATGTCTGTAAGAATTAAAATAGTTGATAAATATCACTCCTTCCAAAGATCCCAGAACATGCTGCAATAAATATGTAAGCAAATTTAAATGATCAGATACGGCCTTTTTGACTTAACCACTACATACTTTCCATGCTGCTGTATATACACGCGCACACGCACACTTATGTATATAAATAATGTGTTATGCACACACACATATTGATATAATCTTCAGTGTTTTTCAAATTAGCACCTGTGTTTGTGAACCTTGCTATGTTTTTCCTAAATTATCAGTATCTTTTGTGTGTACTTTTTATATCTGTTTATATGCTCCCTATAGGCTGTCTTCATTTTTGTCTTTTTTTCATGGCACCGAAGGGCACAAGTACTAGGGCTGTACACAGCGCTACATTCCCAGCGCTTTCCTAGATTTCGAGGTAGGGTCTTGTTGTGTTGCTGAGCTGCCCAGGCTGAGTTTGATTTACAGCGCCTCCCAGAGTGCTGAGATTACAGGCCTTTGCCAGCATGCCTGCTGCTTTCATTCTGTTTAATGGCGGCCTGGTATTAGAGCCTGTGGAAGTACGTGCCATAATTTATTTAGCAAGTCTCTCCTGACAGAAATTTCACGCTTCCAAAGTTTCATTTGTATCACGTTGCACTGAATTTGCACTTGTGTGTCATAAGAAAATATCAGTTAAGGCCTGTGCAATCTTTATTAATTTAAATTTATTAGTAACATAAAAATCTAACAAATTGATGTAATCATTTGGCAGATCTTGCTGATTGCTCACTAAAGAACTTGTATTAGGTTTGTACTCCTACTGGGTAGCTTTTGCGTGCCTTTATAACACCAGATGGTACCAGATTTAAAACGTTTTGCCCCTTTTTAAAGTGAAACATAGGATTTCAGGGTTTTTCTGACTGTATTGTAACATCCATGAACACATCTTGTGTGCGAGGCAGAGATTTATAGTGTGTGCTCCTGTGTCATCCCTGTGAGTGAGGTGCAGCCTGGCTCGCGAGGCCTAGATAGTGCCCCCATCTGCCCAGAGGTCACTGTGCTCCGACCGGTCCCACCGTGGAGGGTCTCGTATCTCCCCGGGTTTTATGTGAAGCTGTAGGGAGCCACTCTTCGGGAGCATGTCTTCAGCTCTGCTTGGAGGATGCCTCCGCCCTCAGGCCTTTCTTCCCCACGCTGGAACCAGGCTGTGCCTTGTTTGGTGTCATCTGTGCACCTTAGAGTCTGTTAACCTTTGTCCACTCCATGTGAGTAGGTATGGATGCCTGGCTGGCTAGTGGGCAGACTGTGTGTGTGTGTGTGGGTGTGGGTGTAGGTGTGTGGGTGTGCATGCGTGTCTGTGTGTCTGTCTATCCACCCTTCCTGAGGATTGAACTCAAAGCGATGCATCCCCAACCTTTTTAGTATTTTATTTATTTTTTTGAGACATAGTTTTGCTGAGTTGTTAATAGTCCCATGCTGGGCTTGAACTTGCCTTTCTTCTGCCTCAGCCTCCCAGAGTGCCAGTCTTTTGTTTTTTATAGGTATGTGCCACCATGCCTAGTCTTTTGTTTTTAGTTTAAATGTATATGTCTCTTGTACTAAACTGTGGGTTTTCTGAGGGCCAGAAGGGTTATTGATTTATGGAGTTTTAGTTCCTTCATTAGGTCCAGAGCACTTCTCCATGTCCTCCTGAGTGTGTAAGAAATGTGTGCATAGAAGTGAATGAATTTCTTTTTAACATCTGTAGGTGAAATCAAAGATGCCCCTGAAGTTTCTACATCACAGAGATTACAAGCTTCAAAAGATGCTTCAAGAGCTGAAAGAGAAGAAATTAGATCTGTAAACATTGTTAATGTACTGCTGAATTTTGAAATTAAAGAGGTAGGTGATTTTCATGTTTTTGTAGAGAGGTAAGTTAATGGATTTGTAGAATTACCTGTATTAAAATAAGCTTCTGGTAATTAATATGGGTGAAAAAATCTTAGGTAGGCTATTTACATGTAATGATGTTTAAAATTTGAGAGTTTAAGGATGAGTTATGTTTGGGGGATATAAGATTACATAGAGAAAGCTGTAGGATTTTCTATAACTTCCTTTTAATGATTATGAGACAGCCAGAATGTGCCTTGCTTTGCGTTTTTTATTATCTAAGCATAACAAGACAGGGAACTAGTGATGCAAAATCCTTTACAAATGTTAGAAATTCTAAAGAGAATAAAACCAGTAAGTGTACACCAAGCGTTATGGTACTCATGCAGAATGGTACTCGGTCAGTGTACTTCCATTTACAGATTGTTGAGGAAAGGTCAGGTAGCTTTTCCTGTCCCTCACGCACACACTCAGCACGTATTCATTGCACGTGCTAGGTATTTAGATGCCTAGACCTTGAGCTCGGAAGTGTTTGTTCCCCCTTAAAGATGTGCTCAGTTAGGGTTCTGTTAAGGTTGTGGCACTGGTGGTAGGGAAGGTGCATCTGAGCAAACCGAGAGGGTCCGCAAGTGTATTAAACTGAGTTTTCCTGCAGGAAGTGTAACTTTGAGTTGAGCTTTTAAAAGAGCAGCAGTAAATAACCTGAGAAAAGGAGATTAAGAAAGGAGGGGGGCAGGATGGACTGGAGTGGGCATGAAGTTGTGAGAAAGCATAGAGCGTACAGGGAACCACGGACCTTTCCCAAAATACCTGGTTGTTGCGTAGTTCTCTAAATGTCATGCTCTTCCTCTGAGCTAAAGATGAATGAATGGGCTCTGTGTTCACTTCGCAACTAGATTCTGGATTGTTAAACCTCCAGTATGTTTTCTGTGTAATATCAGTTACATAAGCTTTATTTTTATTTTTATTTGTTTGTGTTTTTGAGAAAGTGTCTCCCTCTGCAGTTCAGTCTGGCCTTGAGCTTACTTTGTAGCCCAGGCTGGTCTCAAAGTTGCTATATGATTCTCCTGTCTCAGCTTCCCGAGTGCTGGGATTACAAGCGTGTGCCACCATGCCTAGCTTAGTTACTGAAGATTTTTAAGCTTGATAATTAAAAGACTGATCGGAGTCAATTTTTTTTTTTTTTTTTTTTTTTCCTTTTTACTGGTATCAGGGATCGAACTCACGACTGCCTGCTTGCAAGGCAGGTGCTTATGCCGCTGAGCTAAATCCCTAGCCCCGGAGTCAATTTTTTGACAAGTGTGTAATTAACATATGTAGATGGAAAACCTGTCAGTCCTTTCTAATATGATTTGCTGTAGATACTATGGTAGTTCCCTTCCCTGAGGACAGTGGTCAGGGTGGAGAAAAGCACTAGAAAAAAGTGGCAGTGCTTCAGTCTGAACAAGCATAGGTGTCGCCTCGGGTAAATGATGCCGCCTCCAGTCACCAAAGAAGGTGGACGTTTTTACATTGTGTGACTCTCAGTGTTGTATCAGTGTCCTTATTAAATTCTTGTGCAGCAGTGAAATCGTGGGTGGTAATACTGGTGCATTCCTACAGGTTATGGTGATGCTGATGAAAAAGGCGGAAAAGAGTGGGAGGCCAGTGCACGAGCTCAGTGTCCTGCAGCTTGGAGTGGAAGCTAGAGTTCAAGCTTATGCCGTGACCGCTGAAGCTTATCTCCAGCAAGTCAGCATGCAGTGCCTGGATTTCACTGGTCAGTGAGTTATGCAGTAGGCAGGTGGTCTTCTGGATCGCCACCCCGCATGTGTCACCATAATCATTCAGGTTAAATGTATTGATGCAAAGGCATGTGACGGTTTAAAACCTACCATCTTACCTAGTTACACATACATACTCAGGTAGTGTAGAGTAGAGTATTTCTGGAGAAGGAGCCACTTGTCACTGTGTGTGATACTTCAGTACTTAGGAAAGGCACTGTTTCGTTGTAACTGTGCCACGAGAGCTGATCCATCAGGAGACCAGGACCTGGGTACATACAGGGACTTACTTGGGAAAGTTGAGTTAGTTTATTTGTTGCTATTCATTTCAAAATTACATGTATTTTAAAATTTCTTCTCATGTATATCACTATATGCTTATGAAAAAGGAAATTTCAGCAATACAGAAGTTTATGGAAGGAAAAATTTAACATAATCCAGAAGTCTCTTTTCCCCTCAAGTAAAAACTAAATTGTTGTTTTGTGAGTTTCTTGGATCTCCTAAATTCATTTTCTCTTTCTTAGTTTTAGTGTGCTAGTACATGTGCGTAGTGTGTAAAGTGCCCTTCCCTTGTGTGGAGTTGACACCTTACACCACACATCTTCATCCCCCTTCCCTTCCCTCCCTCACCTGTCCCCCACACTTGTCCCTTTCCTCTTCCTAAGCTGTCTTCATCTTTATGCTGGATTTCTCATAGAAAAGGAACAATGTGATATGAGACAACTTTTAAAAGTTTCTGGTGACATTTAAGGTTTATAAGAACTCTGTGGAAGAGCTTTAGGAAAACAAGCTTGTGCCGTGCGTGGTAGTGCATGCCTGTGACCCCAGCACTTAAGCGGCCAAGGCAGGAGAAGCTCTGGGAGTTCAAGGCCAGCCCACACTACGTAGCCAGGCCCTGTCTCAAAACAAAACAAGCTCATATTGAGAATAATCCATGCTTTTATGTATTTTATAGTTTTGTTCTTTATAGCATATAATATGTGATTTGCTCAAATCAGTAATATTAGTAGTATCAAATGTTACATAATTTTTAAATTATCTTGACTGTTTTTATATATAAATATATATACACATATATATGTTGTTTCTTTCAGCTTTTCATGCTAATGAGACAATATGATGTTTACACATGTGTGTCTTATTTATTTTACTAATGAGTATGGTCTCAAGTTGTATCCTTTTACCTATAAAAGTCTCCAGTTTGTCCTTCTTTATGATTGAGTAGTGCTCCATTGCATAAAAACACTACATTTGTTTTTATCCATTCCTCGATCACTGGGTATTTAGGTTTTTTCCAAGATCTGGCTATTATAAACTGTGCTGCTATAAACATGAGTGCACATGTATCACTGTGGTATGATGTTCTTAATTTTTTTGGGAAGACACCCAGTTGGGAATAGCTAGACTGTGAGCCCTCCAATCCTAGATTTTTGAGGAATCTACACTGATTTCCCAGTGGTTGCACCAGTTTACATTCCCACCAATGTGAAGAAGGGTTCCTTTTTTCCCACAGCCCCTCCAGCATTTGTTATTGGTTGATTTCTTGGTCCTGGCCATTCTTTCCGGGGTGTGGTGAAATCTCAGTGATGTTTTCATTTGCATCTCTGAATGATCAGTGATGCTGAACATTTTTTCACATCTCACAGGTTATATAATTGACTGGTACTGGGTTTGTTGTTTTTAGGGATTTTTCTCTCTCTTTTCAAAGCCAGGCTTCTTGAAGCATGATTTCATATTTAGTGTAAAATTTACACTAAAATTTAGCAGTGTAATTCATATTTAGTGTAAAATTCTTAGTGCTGATGAACATACCTTAATGTAACTGGCTGTTCATGCTGTGTAAGAAGTGTGAGGCATTTGCAGTGCTGACCAGCCTGTCTCTTGCCCCCAGACGCAGAAGGAGGCCCTCTGCACATTGTGCGCTCCTCTCGCGTGACTAAGGAGCCGCTCCTGAAGATGGCCTTGACCAAGGTACCAGCTTTCTGTCTAACTCCTGAATATGCTAAGTTATGTCTGTTCCCTTCATGTTTAGTGCTCCAGTTTTTCTCCTTTGAAAGTGTGCTTTATCCTTGGGTTGACTGCGATGAATTTGAAAGCATCTGCACACACTCGTTAACTTTCTGGTTTCTCTAGGGAAACCAGACAAGTGGTTTGGACAAGTGGAACAGAAAAGCTGTGCTGTGTTCTGAAGCAGAGTGTATTATCATCCAGTACACAAGCATTTCCCCTGCAGTTCAGATTTGTCCATTAGTATTTCCTCCAGAGTAGTTCTTTTCATCTGTAGGATGGGAGATGTGGTTTAAATCATGTTCTTTACCTATAAGAAATGTGTTTTAATAGCATACTTTAATAAGTAAAAAATGGATGTTTATTCAGTACATGCGATTTTAGTGTTTGTAATCCATTGATTTAATTACCCACTGTTTGTAGGCAGACAGTGATGGACCGGAATTTAAAACTGTTCATGACAATACCAAACAGAGACTAAAGGTAAGCTGGTAATGATTAAATGTAGCTTCATAGCCATTTTGAGTTGTAAGGTTGTGCTAACATTAGAATATTGTGAAAATAAAAATAGATTAATTTTTGTCGATAAAGCCAGTGCATATAGAATTAAAATACACTTTTTATAAAAATTAATTTGATTTATAAAGAGATTGCTTGTTTCCCAGATGTAAATTGCTCTTTACTTATACAACAAATAATGTATTCTCAAGGAAATGCTGTCCATAGTTATTTGGCCTGATACTGATTCAGCATTAAATGTTAGCGTTGTGTGTTGGCGTTAGGATTAAGGACGTTGTTCACATTCCCTTTGTGCAAATGGGTCAGTGTTGGGACGCTTCCTATACATTTTCTTAAAACTCAAACCCTGTGGACAATAGAATTATGTTTGCACACAGGAGTGGGAAGAGTATTGGTTTACTGACTGATTACAATTAACATAATAGAGTTTCTAAGAATTGATGCTGGTAGTAATTCATTTTTTTAAGGGCCTTTCTTTAATTGAACTGCTCTTGTGCTAGTTGTGTGTGTTGAAACTTAACACAAATGTTACTATGTCTTACTCTGCCTCTCTGTTTTCTTAGGTTTCATTTTCATCCTTAGACATATTACTTGATTTAGAAGCTTTACTTTCCCTTATGGATTTTTTGTCATCGGCTGTTCCATCCTCTGAGTCGTCTTCTAGGAAGGAATCTGAGCTAAAACCACTTGTAGGGGAGTCCAGAAGTATTGCCATCAAAGCTGGTATTAATTTTTGAGTAATGGTCAAATGCTTTCTCTCATATAATACTGTAATGTATTTTAAGCTAAGAAGATACTTACTATCTTGATGTTACTATACCTGATTTGACAGTTTAAGTTAGTTTTGAAAGAACTCAAAATTTTTCCTTATAGGATTATACATCAGTTTATTGAAATGTTTTAAATAAATGTTGTTTAATGGTGTGTTTTTTTTTTATTTTACTGGCTAGATAGCATATTTTTTGCATTGACATCTCTTTGCATTCTTCAGTGCAATAGAAATGAGAAAGGAAGAAGTTAAAGTTCGAATGCAGTCACGCATAGTTACAAAATTGTATTGCGCCCAGTCCTGTCTAGTGCTGAGCAGGCTTCAAGCCTTGTGCGCACTGAAGGAATCTCACAGAGAAGATGGACTCATTCTGTTTCTAAATAGATCTAGGGACATGTTTGCTAGGCAGATACCTTGAGCTGTGAAATGTTAGCTCTGAAGTATCTACAGTCAATAGAGAATGTGTATTGGTTTATAGAGCAAGCATCATTTTGGTTTTTCACATTGTATGATATGAACTTGTAACATACAGTAATTCAATTAGAATAGATTGGTATTACTGGGATCTTTAGAATAAAACTGTTATTACCATTACATCTGATACAAGGATCTGATTTTTTTTAACCTTGGAAGATAGCGAATTGTTCTAAACTATAGTAAGAGCGTTTTACCCATTTTATTGTTAATTTGCTTGCAAGAGCAGTACAGTATCTAGAGGTAATAGCCTTGGAATTCTTCTGTTATAACATAAATAGAATACATAGAAAAATAGTTGAATACATGAAAAATAAATATTTAAAATTACAATAACCTACAAGCAATTTTAATTCATAGAAACAGTCTTGTGGTTTTGCTGTATGATTGGTCTTCATGGTTTGATGTTGCCACATTTGGTATTAGGGAAAAAACCAGCTTATCATCATGTAATGGGGATTAATTACTAATACATATCCTGATGGTTTTGCAGTTTTATAGGAAAGAACTTTAAAAGAACTGTAGTCCTTTATATTTATATCTTATCCATTCTGAATTTATTTTACAATTCTTTATAGAGCCATTGCATATACTGTAGTAAAATTGGATTGCTTCCATAGTTAAATAACATGTATAATAAGTGCCATAGTAAATAAAATGAACTGTGTTAACTAGTCAACATACTTTAGTTCTGTATTAGTTACTGTTTTGATATAATATATGACAGGTTTTAAAATCAAACTTTTAGACGAATAGAATAGAATTCTAATTTAAAGTGTTTTATTTTATTCTGGAAGGAAAATCAGTGAAATTTTCATGTCATGAATAACACAATCAGGATGTTAACAGTAGTTATGTTTACTCTTAATGTGAAGGGAAACTGCTATTTTGGGTTGGTTTTTGAAAATTGACTCAAAGTCACATTTTATCTTAATGGAGAGCTTTTTGGCTCCTCCTAGTACAATTTTATTTTATTGAATTTGAGATTATTTTGTGTGTTCTATCATCTTTACACTTTGCCAATCACAAATTTTCTATTACTTTTTAGTATCTGGCACCATTTCTAAAGAGGATATGTTCGATTTAAAGGTTACAGCTGAATTAGATGCTATTAATGTTGTTCTGTAGCTGATGTTAAAATACATGGTGAGTAATTCTATTTTGTTATATAAACATCCAGCAAAAGTGAGCTTGTAGGGGTGAATTTCTTATGAGTCAAACATTGTTTCCTTACACTGAAGGTTAAAGGTATATTTGGAAATGTTTGTAGTAAATTTGTTATAATTCTTTTCTGACTTGAGACATTCCATGTGTATTTTAAAAATTTCAGATTATATCTGAGGCCTTAATTTGTTTCTGTACTTGTATTTTTAGAATAATCTGATAATTGAGACATCACAGAATTTTTAAAAAATAGTTCATTTATTTTGCCTTTTCCCCGTATGTAGCATAGGCAAAGGAGTTTCTGAAAGACACTTTGTGACCTTTTGATGTTGTCGGTTTGAAAGAAGAATGAAGCAGCACATTACCCTTCCTCCTCTCCTCCTCTTTTCCTTCTTTCCTGTCTTTCCTTTGTGGGATTGAATCCAGAGGCTTTCCACTGAGCTATACTCTCACTCTAGTTTTTAAACTTTTTGTAATTTTGAGCCAGGAGAACTTAATTTCTTCTGAAGTTGCTCAGTTGCCCTGGCTGGGCTTGAATTTGGGATCCTCCTGACAGCTTTCCGGAGTACTGGGGTTATAGGCCTCCACCTCCAGGTCTGGCTAGGTGTTTTGTTTATTTGGTTTTAAACTCACAACTTTTATGTAAGATGCATCAAGTACTTAAAGGTGTAACCTGTCTTACATACCTCATACGTGAATACTGGTATAACAATACCAGTATGTCTAATAATAGCATGTGTTGACTCTGTATGTTAGTAGTATGTTACTGAACACAGCACTGCTCACTTGACTCATCTGGATTGAATGAATCCTTTGTGAAAGTCTTGCCTTCCCTAGGAATGGACGCCTCTGTTTCTGTGAAGCCAAAACAGACTGATATGTTTGCCAGACTTCAGAATATCATAGTAACAAATGTTGATTTGAAGTCCATTCACAAAAAGGTAAAAATTGATTTCTCAACTGAAATGTCTTCTGTGTTTTATATTTGAGATGCTTTTTTGTTGTTGTCCAATGCATTTACTAGTCTGTCACATGAGGCCTTCTCTAAGGGTGGGGATATAGATGGTGACCACCTGCTTTCCTGTCATGTGCACACTAGGCCTTCTGGTTACTTCTGAAAGTGCAATGATGGACTGATACTGCCTTTAGTAAAGGGTTTTTTATAACGATAGGAAAAAAGTTACTGTCAAATAAGTTGGGTTAACTAATAATGTTTAAGGCTGAATCGGGGGTCACTTTCTCTAATGAGGAACTTGGTGATACAGAGAAGGGCCTGCAACTCTCCGGTGCCAAAGCCAATGATCTCATCCTTTCAGGCTGTCTCCATCTTGGGAGAGGAAGTCTTTCGGTTCCAGATGACTTTGTATCCAGACGCCACAGAAGGAGAAGCCTATGCCGACGTGTCTAAAGTGGATGGCAGACTTAGTCTCAAAGTGGGTTGTATTCAGATCGCTTACGTTCATAAATTCTTCATGTCTCTGTTGGTAAGTGTATGTTTCAGTATGTGTTTATTTCTCATTGGGACCTAAATAATTGCCTGTACTCCTGAACCCAGGGAGTCCAGGTCTTCACAGTGGGCTGTGTTAAACACCCAAACACCAGCCAGATTACTGCAGTCAGAGATCTTTAGATGATGGTTAACTAAGTGAATTTTAAAACATCATTGGTAAGTACACAAGCTGTGTTTCTCCAGCATTTTTTTAGGTGTGTATTTTACAAGTGCTTTTTAATTTAGGACTTTTTAGTAGTACTTGTTTATGGGAATGCTTGTAGAGATGTTTAGCTAGAAGAACTTTTAAAGGAAGTTTGGCAAGTATCTTAAGAACTAATATTAGAATTTACAGCTTTTGCTTATATTTGTGATCAGTAAGACCATAGAATTCTTTTGTTTTTATCCGTCATGGAAGTAGCCTATGCTGAAAAGTTTTAAGTCTGCTTACTGCTTTTAGCAGGGTTGCTAACCAGAGCTTATCTTTCATGAATTTCTCTCTGAACTGTCATGTTCACTTGTGTAGAAAGTGAGTTATTTCGGGAGAAGAGGAAGAGATTAAGTTTATGACAAATGGTGGATATTAAGAACATGAGTTGTAAGAGCAACTGTTTCTTTGCTGGGAAGAATCTTTCTGGTTGCGTGGAGATGAAAATGCATCCTACCTAAATAAAGAAGTTTTGATTCTTAGTCATGATTGCAGAATTGTAGGTGGTTAACCATTTGTGTCCATCCATATGCAGTACATTAGAAACAAACTCAGTAATAAGCTTCCTGAACCCTCATTTTTAAAAGTAGACTGTATTTACTGCGACCTAGAGGTACAGAATAGAACTTACTGTTGGGGAGATAAAGTGCTGTCCTCCATTCCTTTCCTTGCATGTGGCATAGTTACTAAGAAACATTTTAAAAAGAATTATATCAGAACTTCATCATAAAATTAATGGTTAAAAATAGAAATAAAAAAAGAATAAAAAATATAAATGAAAGTTAAGAATCTTTACTCCCTGGAGGTAGCTGTTAATAGCGCAGGGTATATCTTCCTAGACTTTACTCTTCTCCACGTACACAATCATAAATAATCTCTTTTATTATGCTTATTTAGTTGTTCATTTTGCAGCACGTACTTTTGAAAGTGTTTTCCTTTGGAGAACAAACATCTTTTGGGGGGAAGTCTTTAACTATCATTCTCTTCCAACAGAATTTCCTCAACAACTTCCAAGCTGCCAAGGAAGCTTTGAGCATGGCTACCATGCAGGCTGCAGAGAGAGCTGCTTCTAGTGTGAGGGACTTGGCCCAGAAGAGCTTCCGCCTTGCGATGGATGTGGACCTGAAAGCACCGGTTATTATTATCCCTCAGTCTTCAGTGTCGTCCAACGCTGTGGTGGCAGATCTCGGCTTAATCAGCGTGGAAAACAGCTTTAGTTTGCTTCCTGCAGAACGTTACCCTTTCCCTCCAGTCATTGATAAAATAAAGGTCCAACTCACTCAATTGAAGCTGTCCAGGTAAAATTATGTGTGTAACTGTCATAATTTGCTAGAAAGAAGATTTTTACATAGTTTTCCTAGGATTAAAATAGTGATATTTTACTCTCATTGTTTAATTATGAAACCTTAATCATTTTTGACTAATTGTCAATATAATGGTGTGCTTTATAGTATCTGTATTTTGTAGTACCAAGTTTAGAATGTTATTTTCCATTCTGTGAAAACTTACATGTTAAAAGATATCAGCTTACTAGCTGGGATTAGTGGTTCATGCCTGTAGTACTTGAAGCAGGAGGCTCACTTGAGCTCACAAGTTCCAAACTATGCTGTGTATTATAGCAAGAGCCTATCTCAAGGAACAAAGAAAAAAAATTTATGGAGAATGCTACAGAATGTATGTACTTGCTCAGAAATACATCTTCATTTCATTTGCTCATAGCTAGTTCTTCCTAAATTTGTAGTAAGATTTAGTATTTGTAGTGTGGTGCTTAAAGGATTTTTGAATCCAGATGGGAAGGTGTTGACTCTGTTTAGTGGCCAGAGTTCTTATTTCCTCGTGCAAATGGCTGTTTGTAGGCAAGTTAGAAATGTTTATTGCCATGTGAGTCACTTTAGATTTGATGTGTTTTTCTCTTTGGATTTGGAGAAGTAACATATTGAGGACTGAGTATATGATTGCTTCATTTATTTTGTTTTCACAGAGTACAAATATGAGATACTAGCTGCTGTATCATATAGTTTTTGTGAAAGATAGCAAATGATACAGTGATAATTTCTGGAAGTTATGTCTTTGTTTTTGATAACTATATATAAACTTTATTCTGATTTGCTCTGATTTATGGAAAGAAATATGTTCTAAAAGAGTTCTGATAGTAGCTTTTATGTATTTAGGAAGGTGCCTTGTGGAAACTCTTAAACAGTGTGGGATATTGTCATTTTAAATGTCAATTTAAAGCGTATATGGAAGCATGATCTTGTTTCTCCTCTCAGAACTATCTTGCAAGCTGACTTGCCACAGGATGACATTGAAATCTTAAAACCAGTAAACATGCTTTTGTCTATACAACGAAACTTATCAGCAACCTGGTACATGGAAATTCCCGGGATCGAGATAAAAGGAAAGTTAAAACCTATGCAGGTATGCGGATCACATGAGATAGATGGCCGTTGTAGGTGGACCTTCATGGTGGATCACAGTGCAGTTCTAGTGTATTAAAAGAGATGCTTTGTATCAAGTGAGAGCACCCTTGTCGCTTGCTCTTTTATTACATTTTAATTAGCTCTGTGGTAAAACTAGCAAGAACGTTGAAAGAGCTGGTACAGTGGCTCAGGTTTCAGGCCAGTTGGTGCAGTTGAGGGCCTGCAGATGTAGCCCTGTGGGGGAGCACTTGACCTAGCAACATGCGTGTGTGTGTGTGCACACTTGCACACATAGGAGAGGGGTGGGGACTAAGATAAACCTGTTGAGTCTGCTGAAACTACTGTTCTTAATTTTGGAAAATTCTATTAAAATTTTAGTGCGTTTAAATTGTAAGAGAATGAAAAGTGATGTTCACGTACCACAGAGATTTTTTAGTTGTGATTTTCTTTTTAAATTAAAGTTTTTCGATTGACACAATATTTGTACAGCGACGGAGTAGTATTTTCAGGTGTAGGAAGCCTCCTGGAGTATCACTTTGAGTAGGCAGAGGTTTGTGTTGGTAGCAGAGCAGTGAAGCAGCGTCTCAGAGGCAGTCTTTGCAGGTGTTGTGCCAGCTCCCGGGAGCAGGAGAGACCGGGGACAGGAGCTATGGGAGTGTACTAGCCCTGTGGTTCTCAAGTACCCGTGTGTGAAGTGGGAAGCTCTACAGCACGTGTCAAGATAGTGGGGAGAGAGGAAGCAAATTGAACGAGTGAAAAGCCAACCAAACTATAATGTCAGTAGTTTTGGTATCCGTGGTTATTCTAGGGTTGGTTCTGTGATAAGAAGGGGTTGGAGGAGCATTTAGGAAGGCATTTAAAGTAGAAGCTTGTTGTGCAAATGGAAGGTTTTTAAGTAGATGTCCCAGTGAGCACAAGTAGATGTATTAAATGAGAAAGAGTGGTTGAATGATTGATACTCCAGAGCATGGGTTCTTTCTTTCAGTTCACAGAGCACTATATATTGCAGAGTTTTTTCTCTGAAGTTGTAGGGTAGTCTGTATTCCAGACTATATCTTCTGTGCCTCAATTTCTCCTTATTGCTAAGATATTAGATTCCAGGACAATATTTGATTCTTCCTTTCAAAGATTGTAGAGTTACAGATTTCCTGAAAGCAAAAGTAAAATGTAAATGTCTGTCAATGGGACAATGTGGATAAAATTATAATTACTCACATTTGGGAATTATAAAGTATCTAAAATAAATGAACCAGAATTATAGCATATCTTAAAGATAAAAATGAAAAAAATTAATTGCAAAATGATAGTACAGTTTTATGTTACTTGAAAATATTTTAACAAGCAAGGGTTGCATAAGTTATAGGATATGTAGTAATGGTAAATGTTAGAAAGCATTCATGAAAATAATTGTCGTACTCGGGATGGAGTCTTTCCATGGATGTGGGAACGGGCTCTCACAGAGTTGCATGGAGGATTGAGCTATGTCTGTAAAGGGAAAAAGATCTGAAGGAAATGTGGTAACTGTTAAGATTTGATGAAGCCAGGTGGTAGGCACATGGGAGGATTATAGTATTTTCTTTTTCTTTTATGCTTGAAATATATCAAAAGGAAAAAGGAAAAAAGCAGTAAATCCAGCAGGTTAGCATCAAAGTATGATCATTATTTTACCCAAAGGGGTCTTGTTAATTCAGTAGTGCAGCCACACTGGATAACATTTCCACAACCCGATCTGTCAGTGAGTCAGGCCTGTTGAATCACTTAGGCTTTGGGCACGGTTCGTGTAATTTCCTGGGTCAAGGGTGCTGCTGAGAAAGATATCAGGCAAGTGACACCAATAAATTCTTTTCAGTATATTGTTTGACAGTTCTTGAAGAACTCTGGGGCCACCTTTCAGAATTATCCTGTAGCCTTCCTGAAGGTCGGTGTAGTAGGCGATCTATAGCACTTTTGTTCAAAGCACACAGGGTGGTGAGGTCAGCTGCCCTTTGGGCTACTGTGATAACTTGGTTGGTATCCAGATAGGAATGGACACTGAGGAAGTTCTAAGGAATTGGTGTTATTCCTGTTATCCAAGGACCGGGGCTGGAAACAAACAAGAAGTCCCTGATCATTGCCTTGTGCAAAAGTATCTCCTTATTTTCGTTGAGGAGGGGTACTAGGCAGTGTTGCAGGCTGAAGGGATCTAATTTAGGGGACACAGGTTACCGTCGCATCCGGAAGTTAACTGTGCATGTGTACGTGTTGGTGTGAGACCATGTGTAAGTTCTGAAAACAAAGTTTTACGATTCTGGTGTCTGGAAGTGAAATTTACAAAAGATAGAATAAGAAAGTACTGATTTAATAGACTTTAATAGCCAGTAGCAAGTGTGTTGTTCTGCAACACTGTGTAAGGAAGATACTACTATTCTTGTTTTAAGACTAACAGACTTGATGTAAGAAAGCTAAGAAAACCCGGCCAGCATCACAGCTTGAAAGTGTTAGGGTGCTGCAATCAGATCTACTTGAGTCCGAAGCCTTGCTGTTTTGTATTTTTATAAATATAAAATACTCTTTTGTAAAGTTAAAAGATGAAAAGATGCTACCTTCCTAGTGTGTGTTTTGGTTTTAGAAAATATTTTGTAGTTATGTTCGTTGTTATTGTAAAAGGTATTATTTTTGATATGTTAAGATAGTCTATGTATGTCCAGGTGCATATGTACTGTGTGAACAGAGCTACAGAACAGGAGAAAATCTTATTTTCTGTTGGAGACTAGAAACCAAACTGTACCATCTGGTGTTGAACTTGTTGGAGCAGAGTGAATACCGTAGGAGGAGGAGCAGATGGGGCCTGGAAGAGAGATGGAGTGGGCGTGAGAAGGTGGGATCTTGGAAGTGAGTTCAGGCCTGTGAAAGGGACAGCTAGGCGGAGGCCAGGCAGCATGGTGGTGAGGCAGGGCCTGGCTATGGGCAGATCAGAGGGTGCCTCCCAGGAGAGGTGTCTCACACTGGACAGGTGGCAATCTTCTCTCCACTCCTCCTCCCAACTCCCAGTCTGTCCATCACCATCTCTGTTTCTCTCTCTCTTTTTATTTTTGCAGTGCTGGGGATTGAACACGGGTTGCACATGCTAGGCAAACACTCTGTCAGTGAGCTACAATCTCACCCCATCTTTATTTTTAAAAAGATGCAAACAGTTGGTTAAACTTAATTATGTATGTATGTATGTATGATATTCTGGATTTTTTATTACTTTATATTGACAGTTATTGCCTGTTTCCAGGTTGCTCTCAGTGAAGATGACCTAACAGTTCTAATGAAAATTTTGCTGGAAAATGTTGGGGAAGCTTCTCCACAGCCAAGCCCTGCACTGTCTGCTCAGGAGGCTGTGAGAGTGAGGAAAGATATTCCAAGTGGACCAGACTACCTGAGAGGTAGAAATAGATGAAGATGCTTGCTTGATGACTGAAACATTGTTGTCGGTACCCTCTTTATACTGAGTGCCCTTTAATTTTGCATTCCTTGTTGGGCAGTGTACTGGGGAGGGCCTGTGGCAGCTGCCTCTGGAAACTCCCAGGGGGAGGGGATCTGCCCGTCATCTGTGACGAGAGGATGAGCCTCATTCTTGCCACATGATCCGTGTTTGCCCTGACTTGTGAAAGCTGCATTTGCAGAATTCCCCAGGCACTGAACTTGGGATCATTTGCAGGCAGTGCACACCGAGAGGAAGTCAGTAGGCAAGCAGTGTGGCCTGGTCCCAAAGTCCTTGGGAGAGAAAAGGGACTTGGTGTGGTGTCACCACCCGTGGGTGACTGAACCCTGAGAAAGAAGCTTTACTTACCTGATGTGGAGAAGGATACAGTCATATGAACTTCAGCTCTGTTTCATATTATTAAACTGAACTTTCAGAAAGCACTGAACCGGGCTGGGGGTTTAGCTCAGCAGCATAAGCGCCTGCCTTGAAAGCAGGCAGTCGTGAGTTCGATCCCAGGTACCGATAAAAAGGAAAAAGACAAAAAAAAAAAGCACTGAACCTTTTAAATTCAGCCATTTTTAAATGATAGTTGTTGTAGAATATAAGTTTCTTTTACTTGCTTAAACAGATTCTATCAAATACAGTTTTTTGAAGTCATTAGAATGAACACCAGATGTTTTATTAGAATGCAAATAGGTTACTATTTCCATGCTGAAAAGAGGAAGTACCCTTTGCTTTTGTAATAAATGGTGCTGGGCAGTTATGTATGTGCTTGCAAATGCTCTCAGATCATCCCAGTTTAATTGGTAAAACTGCCAAGAAATAATACCATACTAACACTGCTTATATAGGTGGACTGACATGTTTTGGAATTAGGGATACCACAGATGATGGGAACATTTTGCAGAACAGGTTTCTGGTTTAAGTAGATAGTTATTTGTATTGCATAGCTTGGTGAGGCCAACACGTTCTCCTTCATTTGGCTTTATACTGCCTTCTAAAGTGCTGGGGGAGCAGAGTGTCTCAGACAGGAGCTGTGTAGACATGAACAGAGCATACATGACAGGCATGCTTTTTGGTTAATGATCTCGTTAGATCCGCCTGTGATCAGATTTGTTTTCCATTCTCACTGATGTTCATGTGGAACTTGGGAAAATTTGAGTTCAGATGCAAGCCACAGAGGTGAAGATTGCAAAGGTGGTGAAGATTGGAATGTAAATTATTTTTAGGAAAAGTGGAGAAAAAAAGACTTTCCAGTTTGGAGAAACCTACCTGGTTAAAATTATGGAGTGCTTCCTTTTGTAGAATTTGTAAGATAAGAAGCTCCTATACTGTAACCAATAGAGAGAAACAGTCTCTGAGAGAATCATTGAGTCTCTTTGCAACTGAAGGCAGGCTTTGTCTGTCCTGTCTAAAGATGAGAAAAAAGACTAAATTTTTCTTGAAGTCTCTCTCATCTCAAAATTCCTAAGTTTCCCCCCAGCTTCCATCATATTTGAGCTCTGATGCTACCGCTGAGTTATATCCTATACTTTCTGAAGGCAGAGGTGAGCAGTGTGGGTATTTAAAGGTAGTAAGACTTGTGCTCTTCAGCAAAGCTTTTACTGCCTAACCTGGACCCACATGTTCCGGCTTTCTGTGCCTTCTGTCTCGTAACCTCTTGAGGATGGTTGGAAACAGGCAGGTGAAAATGCCTTGATATGAAAAATGATAACAAGTGATCTTACACTGAAGAACTGTTAAAACTGCCTTGAAATACTGTTTAGTCTCCCCTTTGCCACTTTGCCCTGTACTAAATATAAGGTAATCATTGCTGCTTTTATATACTGTCACATAATATGATTTAAAGAGTACTGGAAGGAATAACATAAATTTAGTACAGCAAATTATTATCTCAGCTTTTAAAATATGTATGAAATAATGTGCTTACTTAAAATCTTTATAATTTTAATTTTCATGTTTAAACCATGAGAACAAGAAGATTTGACAGACTTCTTTGGACCAGACCGTCACACTCCAATTTGACTTTCATTTTGCATCTCTGTCCATTATCCTTTATAACAGTGACGTCAGTCAGGTATGTAGTAAAGTGTCTGGTGGGGATGCATTGTTGCTCTTGGTATTTGTTTTAAGAATAGTTGCCTGCCTGCCTGCTGAGGAGAAGCAACAAGGAAGCCATCCCCAGGCCTCTCTGCCAACCCCTCAAGCAGCTGGATGCCACACGGGCTCAGAGAACAATAGCTAAAGTAGGGAAGCAGCCTGGGGCCGGTAGTCTGAGCAGCTGTTAGGGGATAACAATGTGCAGTATAGTAACAATAGTGGATTTCCTACTGTCCTGTCACTGTTTTGTTTTGTTTTGTTTCATTTTACTGTTCTGTTTTACTCTCTTTAAAATTAAAAGAAAACACTAACGTTTTGTCACTTAAGTATTCATTAGGAAGTGTTAAGGTATCTGCCAGTGTTGGTTGTCCTGTGCCACATGTGCATGTGCTGATTCTGCTGCCGGTCTTCTCTGGATTTCTATTTTTAATCTCAGTAGGCCAAGGTATACCAGTTCTTTCTAGCTAACATGGACACCAAAGTGTGTTTTGATCTGCACTAATAGAGGATTTTTATATGTGCAATTAATTATATGTTCCATTTTATGACATAGCTAAATACATATGTGTAGATACCTATTTAAGAATAATTTAATGGCTTTAGAGCTTTGGACAATTATTCTGAAATTCATGATTGTCTATGAATGTAAACAGTGATTGTGTTTCTATAAAATGAATGTTATATATAGTGAATTTGTATTAATAATACTATTAATAAATTTAAGAACCAAAGTCTAATTCTATAATGGTAGACGCTAATGTTTCAGTGGTGTTTTTGAAGGCTGTTTTTTAAATTATATTCTGTCCTATAATATTTTTATTCTATCAATTATGCCATATGTTAATACCTATTGTGCATAAATAAAAACTCACATAAATCTATGAGTTTTTAGGTATTACATCTGCTAATGTGCATTTTCATATACTGATTTCATACTGTTTTCTAAGATTAAAGCAGTATACTATTTGTACGTTGTTACTGTTGAACTTTGGTTTAGTGTCCATGATTTATGCAGTGAGCTGTCTTAATTTCTGCTGTCCAGTCTGCGTGAAACCATCAGAGAATGTCCTTACAGGAAAGGAGCAGTTAAAAGAACCTTGATTTCATCTGAGGACTACTATCTGTTGGTTCCTCAGCCTTCAAATTTTCATCTCTTCTTTTACTTCTTTCCTTGTTTACTTTTTGTATTCTTTTAGACACTGAGTACCGTCAAGCTTTTCTTGTCAGTGTACGTTGTCCTTTCCTGTCTGTTTTCACTGCTGCTTGTTGTGCAAGACTCTTCCTCAGCTCACACTTGTACTGCAGTGGCTTTGTTTGATTTGTCTTAGACATTGGTGCAATGTCCAAGTGTCATAAGTATATCTCCAGTGGCCACTTATAACTTCCCGTTCTCCTTACAGGGGTTCTGTCTTACAGTGTGTGAGTGTCCCCTTAGGAAAAAATGGGTCTCCAAGTTGTCTACATCAGGAGCCATATTAGGAAAGGTAGTGTCTTGTGATCACTAGTTGTGACTCGGGTCATTTCTGTCAATAGTTAAAGAACAAAAGTTGCAAAATAGTTCTCTCTTCATAAGGTGAAGACATTCAAAGCTTACTGGCAGTAGTGTCATTTTAACCTACTTACATGCAGTCTCCTACCTGGAATGAAAGGAATTGTGGCCTTCTAACCACTGTGTCTGACTGCAGGTCATTGGTGCTATTCACAAAGCCATGGTGTCTAGTGAGCCACTGTGGCTGATAAGGTTGTTGGTTGATCAGTTGGGTCAGGTCTGTTCTTTGTAAAATCTGGGCTTACCTGGAGTATGTGGACTTACGTTATGGTGGAATGAAGACTGAGGCCCCCATTTCTAGAACTGAAAGTGCAGATCATCATTTGAGCCCTAAGGCATCCATGTTTCCTTCTATCCTCATTCCCTATGTTGTTTAACTAGAATGTTCAAGCTTATAGTTTTCCCCCCATGTAAGACCCAACTGGAAGATAATACACCTTGAAAACTGGAGACCAAAATTGTCATCCTAATCCACATATCCTCACTTTACCCCCCTTAAATAGCAGCAAGAGTGTAGTGATGGCAGGTAAGGGACAGATAGGCTGTTGGGGCTGGCATTTTTCATCTCTGGTTTCCAAGGCTGATTATTTTTTGGCTAGGTCTCATTTCCAGGGAAGGAGGGCAGGTGCCCTGTGCCCTGAGAGTACCTCACATGCTCACGCTTTCCCCGTGTGGACATCTTTCCCTTTATCTGGTCTTCCTCATTCTCCACCACACAGTTATGTTCTTAACCTGCAGCCTACAGTAATTAATTTTACCTCTCCGAGTTTTTACTGTTTGTACTTTTTTATCTAACTACTTTATATGCTTTGTGGAAGTTCGGATGCTAATAAATATTAATAAAAATTAATATATATCGCAAGGTATGTAGTTATTTACAACTTGTAGCATCTCGTTGGACTGTTATTTTTAATGTACTTCTAGTTTATTCTTTCAACTAAGGTATAAAATCACTGAGATCAACAGTAAGGCTTATTTTTTCTTATGAAGTCCCTAGTTCTTATCACTGTTGTTTACAGAAGAGCTCATTAATGTTTATTAGCTGAATTGCATATTATCTGATAAGACTATTTGCTAATTAGTCACACTTGCTTCAAACTATATCAGGTTACTTTTAATATATTAACCATTGTTGAGGATCAGGACACATACGCATTTATTTGTATGTACGTATGTACTCATAGACAATGCGTAACTGTTCCATTTATGTGTTTTCCCACCTGTGCTTTGAAAATTTATGAGATTGATTTGTGTTTTAGCTCTGGGTTAAATATGTTTAATAATATTACATGATTTTTAAAGGTAATTGATTCTTTTGTTTGAAAAATGTACGGCAGGAGTCCAAACTTGCATTTCGTAATGATAGTTTTCGTCTCGGTGAGCTCAGACTGTACCTGATGGCCTCTGCAGGGAAGATGTTCAAGGATGGCTCAGTGAATGTCAGCCTTAAGCTGAAGACATGCACCCTTGATGACCTCAGAGAAGGCATCGAGAGAGCCACGTCCAGGTCTGTCAGTTCGCAGGGTGCTGGATGCCACTCACGGCTAACCCTGAACCTGGCATCACTGCAGGCTTTGCTGTGCTTGGGTTCTTCAAAAAATATTTGTGTCTTTTTGGTCAGACCTTTAATCTGAATTGCATCAAGAAGTAATGCTAATATCAGATTCAGCTGCTGGGATGGTTATATTAAATGAAAGTTTATTAATAAATTGGAGTACTGTCTTAAAAATGGAACTACCACAATGTGAGTTTCAGTAGTTAAATATGTGGTGATATATTTTTTTCAAATTATCTCCATTCACCAGAATCAGGTTTTAAAAATCCTTAAAGTTATGACTTTTTCCTTTGTCTTATTTTGTCTGTCTTTTAAAACACTTCTACAAAATTTCTGTCACTTTTAATAGGAGTAGAATCCCAAGCATAATCACATTATCAACACATTTTTGACAGAATCAGCCTACTGTGAAGTTAGAAACGTGTAACTTCAGTAGCCTAATAATTTTTTATTCCTTTTTGAAATAATGAGACATGTACTATTTTTTACTTACTGGTTTTCTTTGGAGAAAAGCTGTGTTGCTACTTACTCTTGTATTCTATTGAGTACGTATTGGATAGTGCTAACCCCCGTATTTCCTGGAGAAATAAATGAGTAGCGTGGCCATGCAGCAGTTTTTCTCCTACGGGAATTTTACGTCGAGGGAACTGTCCGCAGCTCTCTAGATGGGGTGATAAATGTCGAAACCTGTTAGGTAGCCTGGTCTTTACAACACATGTGGAGCTGCATAGGAACTGTCATTGCAGACCCTTTTTTTTTTTTTAATTTTATTTAAGGAGAAAAGAAAAAAAAAGCAGAGAAAGGGTACAAGTTATACAGATTTACAGAAAAAAAAATGAACAGTAGGAAATCACTAGTTAATGGATTACATATTGTCATCTTAGAAATAATTGTTCAAGTCACAAAATTAAAGCTTGTAAAGTGGACATTCCATCAATGATACTGCAAACAGTTCTGTTCAATGATCCAATAAAACTCTGTGATATCATTTTCTATCTTATACACTTAAATATACATGCAGTTATATAGTTTGGAGCACTTTCTTTTCCTCTCTTTTGTACCATGACTATTACACATTTTGGGTTTCATTGCTCCCACGGTTCTTATTATTTTTTTGGAAGAGAGTAAAACCAAATGTGACATAACAGAACAGAATCGGTCAAGTCAAAAGGGTGGACATAATAGATAATGTAAAAACATAATACAAGGTGATCAACAATGGTTACCATAATGCCTCCCGTTATCTCTAATAAAATTGCCTATATCGTTAGTTATAATACAATTGAACAAAACAGTAAAGAAAAAAACCGACAAAACCAAAACATTGGAGACATTGTAGGTCTTCAAAAGTAGATAAAAGTCAACGAGAATGGGCGTTATAATGAATCTCATTATCTTCACAGCTGATGCTTAAACTTTCGAACCTGATACTATCCAGCAAAACAGAATAGGGGAACATCAGTTAAAAACCAGATGGTGAGAGTAATACAGGGCTTTAAATCAAGGTAATGGAAAGTCAAAGTGGGTTACTATAATATATCCTGCTCTTTTTTTCCCTTAAATTAAAAGGATAAAAATAAAAAAGTAAATAATGGAGTGGAGATTGAGATAAAAGAGGGCATAACAACGAAACAGTGCCAATCAAAACATAACCATTTAAGCAGAATAGTGTTTCACCACCAGATAATCCTGACCTAAAAGTAGTTACCATATTGTCTCTTTCCTTGAAATCCTTGAGTACAACTTCGTATACTGTAGCATTAAGTATATCAAAACAATGTAAAACCATTTAAGAGAATGACAGCATTACAGAGTATTTAGAATCGACTAACAGAAAATGAACAATGGTTTCTGTATAATCTCCTTGTCTTTAAAAGGTTTTTGCTTATACTATCGTACATAATAAAATCCAATAAGATACAACCTATTTAGACCATTGGAGACAGAAGGACAAAAGCTAGATGAGACTTCAAAACAAGATGATACTAAATCAGAATTACCTATTAAGATGTCATTTTCTCCAAAATAGCTGTTCCTATCATCCAATCTTCTCTGCCTCATTTCTGTTGAGCTGTTATTCTGTCAGTAGCTGTCAGTTTGTCTTCCTCATTTTGTTCTCTGCTCCATTCGTTGTGGCCTCCCCGCCACTATTTCTGGATTCTTTGTATTTTTCTTTTTTTTAGAATATCCTGCAATACTCTCTGTAGAGTTGAATTGGTGGTTGCAAATTCCCCCAGTTCCTCTTTATCCTGGAAGCACCTTGTTTTTCCATCAATTTCCAGGGACAGTTGTGCAGGATATCTCAATCTTGGCTGGAGATTATTATCTTTCAAAGCTTGAATTATTTCCCCCCACGCTCTTCGTGATTTGATGGTTTGTGCAGAGAAATCTGCTGTAATTCTGATGGGTGCTCCCTTGTAAGTGGTCTGTTTCTTGTCTCTAACAGCTTTTAATATTCTGTTCTTGTATTGAATTTCTGGAATTTTTATTATTATATGCCTGGGTGTTGCTCTGTTTGGGTAGTAGGTAGCTGGGGTCCTGTATGCCTCATACATCTGAGTATCTTTACTTTTTGCTAAATTAGGAAAATTCTCCTGGATTATTTCTGTGAGTAGCTTTTGTAGTTCACTTGTTTGTGTTCCTACTTCTTCTTTTATGTTCTTGATCCTTAAGTTATGGATCCTCTTATCATCTTCTTGTCTTTGTATTATTGCTGTTTGTTTCTTTGTTATTTTTAAGAAGTTTTCCATTTCATTCTCCCATATTACAAGTCTGCCCTCCAGTTCAGATAGTCTGTCCTTAGTTTCTTTCAAGCTGTTATGCCAGTCTTCGATAGACTTCTTAATTTCTTGGTAGTCCTTTGAACCTGCTTCACGTACTCTATGCTTTCTGTTTTCTTCATCAAACAATTCTCCCCTCTTTTTCTGTTCTTCCATTCCACCATCTGTTTTTTTCCTGGGTGGTGCTTAGCATTTCTCTAACTATTCTGCATACTTCTAGCTTCAGGTCGTTGATAACTTCATTCCTGAATTGGTCTATGAGGCTCTCTATATGGCGCTTAATGTCTATTGGTGCGGTGTCCGCTATTGCCTGTTTCTCAGAATTGGGGGCCGAGGAGCCTTTCTTGTTGCTGCCTTTTCCCATATTCTCTGTTCCTTATATATATGCAAGCTTACATAGGAGGCCCAACTTCCCTCCCTGTCAGCCACAGCCTGATCGAATTGCACTGGCTAGGTGTTCCCGCTCACCGCTGGGCACCAGGGAGTTACGGACCAGGCAGCCTACACGTCTCCCCTTCCGGCCACCGTCAGGCTATGGGATCTGGGTTGGGCCAGCCTAATGGGTCCGCTGGCAGCATCACGCAGGCCAGGCACTGTTCACCAATCCCGCCCGCGAGGGGAATGTGTGGTTGGAGTCGCCACCGCGCTCTGCTCCCGTAGGACTGCTCGGGCCCAGAAAGTCCTCTGCTGGAGTGAAACTGTGGTGGAGTGTCAGTTTCTCTCACTCACCTCGCCACAAGTCAGTACACGCCTCCCTGCCCGTTCTGTTTTCAACTCCGTTCACAGACTCCCTTTCTCAGAGCTTCCGCGCGTCTCTCTCCTTGCCAAGCCGATGTAGAGGCAGCCAGCCACCGCGCGGCGGGAAACCCAAATCGTGGCTTCCAATGGCGCGGGGTCCAGCCTCCGCACCGAGGCTTTTCTGTTCCTGTTTTAGCACCAGGACTGCATTCCAAGTTGGTTTCTCTCAGCCCAGTTCGTTCCTGAGTCAGCAGAGCATAACTCCACCTGCTTATGTCTCTTTAGTCCGCACCATTCCTGGCTTCTGAGCCTAGTTTTTCAGAGAGCCTCCAGTAGTTGCTGTTATCTGTCCGCCATGTTCTCCCGGAAGTCTGCAGACCCTTGATAAACGTGTGCTGATTTGAGTTGCATGAAATACCTTTGGAATTCAAATGTATAGGATGATTTTTGCAGATAAATTCTTTTAGGAAGATGAATTCTTTTATTTAGTGAAATATTGGGACTGCATTTATACATTTTGAAATTTGCTCAAGTCATTTCTAATAATATTTCTTTAGTATTAAATTGTGATTATAAAATATAATTGCTTAATCTCATGCACCTTGTTTGGGAAATGGGGAAACATGTTTTGGTTACTAGTTGGTTTATTATATCCAGTTAACACTGTCCTATTTTATGTTCAGATAAAAACTAATTGATGAAAGAATTCTTAAAATACATAGGAAAACTTTCATAATTTTTATTTTTAGTGGGAGATAAAATAATGAGTGATATGTGTGTATTTTTTTCAGAATGATTGACAGAAAGAATGACCAAGATAGCAGCAGTTCTATGATTGATATTCATTACAAACAAGACAAAAACACAAGTCTAATTGATGCTGTTCTTGACAAGCTGTATGTGTGTGCCAGCGTGGAGTTTTTGATGACTGTGGCAGATTTCTTCATCAAAGCTGTGCCTCAGAGCCCAGAAAATACGGCGAAGGAAATACAAATGCCATCAAGACACATTACCATGGGGAAAGTCAAGACAGAAAAAGGTTAGCAGACTGTATCTGTCTTAGATGACAGCTTGTTGTATATTTTAACACAAATTACAAACAGCAAGAAAGAGACATATTGGGTTTGAGAAAATAAAATTAGGCTTTTAGGTTTAAACATACTTTACAGAAACATCTTAGTAAATGTTTGTAAGTGAGAAGTATAGAGTAGAAGCATATTAGGGGCAGGGACTCTGCTCTGGGACTTGTCATGTCACTCACATTGTTTACTCATCTGGAAAGGAAGTTAATTGGGGTAAGTGGTTGGAGGGCTATTTTATAGGTGGGTCATTTAGTCCAGGAAAATACTTTGAAGAACTGTATCATGTTGAGGAACAGTTGAAAAGATAGAAGAAGGTGAGGCTGTTGCAGGAGCTAGCAGGGTTCCCTTAGATGTCACCTTTAACTCTTTCCTGGGAATATGCTGAATCCACATTGAGCCCTGCCCTGTATTTTATATCCCATCACCTTTATACCAATCGGTGATTTTCTTGTTAAATTATTATTACTTAAGGTCAGGCGTTTTCTCTGCAATGCCTAAGCCAGTATGTTGGAAACTAACACTGGCAAGATCAGAATGTTATTTTTCCATTTACTTACTTTAAATGTTTGTTAAATAGTAATCATACTGATATCTCTGCATTCATTTATATTTTGAACATATTTATAGTATAGATAATATGACTCTTGACTCTGATCCTTGGGGTAAAGCCAAAGTAAAAAATAAGAATAGTTTAACATCTTTATCAGGATGTCTCTTTTTCTTCCTGTTATTTCTCTCTCTGTTTTCCTCCTCTTGGCCCCTGTGTCATAGAATCACACATTCTCATGTGTGTATACAAGTGCCTGCCTTGACTCTGACCAGAAGAACTTCCAAACAGCTTTGTTCCCCAAAATATCAAAGATCAAAATGGGAATGATCTGTTTTGGGCAGTTTTTGGATTGCATCTTTTTGCATAATTACCACTTACTAAATAATCATTTCATTATTAGTATTAATTAACCAACTCAAAATTAGTGCTTTCACTGTACCCATTATAGGAAAAATACTGAGAACAGTTTAACAGCCTGTTGATAATATTGTAGCCATAGGAAGATTTACTTTAAAAATTTTCTGGTCCCCGTTTTTGTTTCTCCAGATGATTCTGCAAGACGAAACATGACCTTGAAGGCCAAGATCACAGACCCGGAAGTGGTGTTTGTGGCCAGCCTGAGCAGGGCGGACGCTCCTGCGCTGTCGGCCTCCTTCCAGTGTAAGCTCTGTGTGTCCGCATCTGGGCTGGAGCAGGTGACGGAGGCATCCATCAAAGACCTGAGAGTGCTCGCTTGTCCTTTCCTCAGAGAGAAGAGGGGGCAAACCATCACCACAGTAAGCACTGCCTTGGGCCCTCAACTGAAGAATGACAGAAATAGCTGAGTCCGAGAATCTCAGAGCCTGAGTGCTGTCCAGGATTTAAGTGATTATTTAGTACAACCTCTGGTTTGCAGGCAGAGAGGTCAAGTTCTGCCAGTGTTACCTGGCGAGTTGTGGCTGCTAGGGAAACAACTAGGGGCTGCCTCCAGACTAGTCCTCTTTTCATGATCTTCTGTTGAATTTTAGTTCAGATCAGTGTTTTTCAGCTATTTCTTTTGTTCACTAAGTATATCGAATGAGAGAAAAATAAATATTTAAGCTCAGATTAAAAAAAACTCAGGTGGAGTCACATGACAAAGAACTTCTGTGTTCCTGGGGACTAACTGGATAATCATCTGGAAACTGGTCTTTTACCCTAACCCCTGCTCTAGTCATCAGCTCATTTTGTAGATACCTCATAATTATATTTTACAGAGTGCGTCACTGAAAAAATATTTTTGGAAAAAGAAACACTTTAAATTTCTGATAGTAAATGTGTGTCTTTACATCAGCATTTGGAATGAAGAACTTCATCAGAACTGATTGAAGTCCTTTAACAATATACATGGACTTGTCGTAATTCAGAAGAACCTTCACAAGAGTGTCTTAGCTAATGTAATTTTTAATAGTAGTTTATAGTTCAGAATCTCAGTGGAGTGAGACATGGTTTGTGTAAGTGCATGTTATGTAAACATTAATGAAAATGTGACTTTTCATTTACTTGTCTAGGTCTTGCAGCCATGCTCTTTATCTATGGAAAAATGTACCTGGGCCTCGGGAAAACAGAATATCAATATTATGGTTAAAGAATTTATAATTTAGGTTGGTGCCTGACAGATTCTTTGTGTGTAAATTCTTGAAATAGTGTCTTTGGTCTCAGCATTGCTGTAAGTCACATATTTGGTAATCAGATTGCCTCTGGGTTAAAATACATTTTAAGTGCTTATTCTGTTTTCTTTAAGAGACTACTTTTTTAATACCTATACATGGCAGGAGTAGTTTTCTCTGTTTTATTTGCATTTGTGTGTGGTGTATGTGTCAGAGGGGAGAGAAGAGATAGAGAAATGAAGAAAAGATGGAGACATTATTTTTAGGCTTTTATTAATGTATAGTTTGATTTGGCCTGATAAGTATGTGATTAGATACTTAGCTTATATTTGTGGTGACAGATGTATGCTGGAAATCACTGGGGTTTGCTTTTTAAAAGATCTTTTACATTTAAAATATTAAAGAACAATCTATTTTCCAGTGTCATTCAAAATTCTTTCAGTAGGACTTCATTCCCCATTGTAAATAGGGAGCACATGATACTTTCTCAAATCTAGTTTGCTCTCTTTTGAAAGATGCAAAGATGAGACAGTTAATTCTAGTGATGCATAAATGATACTAGCTTTACTTTTGTAGGTCAGAGACCAGTATGATTGGATTAATACTTAAACTAATATCATTTGAACCATTTTAAATAACAACGCAGGTTTTTTTCAGTTTAAAACAGTACTGGGTAAAACCAGGTGTGGTGGCACATGCCTGCAATCCCAGCACTCAGGAGCCTGAAGCAAGAAAAGTGCCATGAGTTTGAGACCAGCTTGGAGTACATAGTGAATTCAAATGCAGCTTGAACTAAGCAAGATCCTGTTTTGAAAAAAGCAAGCACGTGGGGCTGGGAATTTAGCTCCGTGGCATAAGAGCCTGCCTTGCAAGCAGGCAGTTGTGAGTTCAATCCCTGGTACCGATAAAAATGAGAAAGACAAAAAAAAAAAAAAAGCAAGCACGCAACAAACAAAAACACTAGAAAGGCTTAGATTGTGTTTTTCTCATGAATTTACTTTTTTTTTTAACGATGTAGCATAATAAAAATGCATTTGCTTGTGTTTGCTCTAAGACATTAGGGTAAGTGTTATGGAGACTTCTTTTCTTTGTATAAATCATTTTTGATCTCCTTCTATACTTAAAAACACACCCTGTGTATGACATTGGCAGTACATGCTCTCTGCTTTCAACAAACTTAATGACCAGGGGAAGAGCAGTAGATCGGTGATTGTAACTTCGAATGCTAGAGGCGTGCACAGAAGCTGCTGGCAGCATGAACAAGGGGGCTGCGGTTCAGACTAGGATATCAAGAAAAGTTGTCTGACAGGGACACATCTTGGACTAAGGACTGCAAGTTGGTATAAGTTAGATAGATGGAGAGGAAGGGGAAGGTTTTCCAGACTGAAAAACACACACAGAGGCAAAGGTTGGAGAATGTTTTTGAAGAACTTAGAAGGATCGTCCCCATGGCTGCATTCAGCGGTGTGTTTGAGTTATAGGACTGGGATGTTAGTTACAGATAACACTAATAAGACAAGGAGAAAGAAAGCAGTCGGTTGGCAGGCAAGTAGGTCAGGAATGTGGTGTACATCAGATCCTCTTTGTGATGAAGCAGTTGTATGTGTTTAGTGTGTTAGTGAAGAAAGGGTTGTGAGAAGTTAACAGTAAAGGAATCCTTTTAAATTATTTAACTGAGTATTTCTCAAACTTTATAGAACCCTTGCTAGCAGATAGGCTAGGAACTAGCTCACAAAGAGTGCTGTGCACCAAGCCAAAGAGGGTTTGAATTTCATTCTGAAAGTTACGGAGCTCAGTGAAGATTTTAAGCATAGGAGTGATATGCATGGAGTCAGGGTTAAAGAAACTCTGCTGGTGACAGTTTGAAGGATAGGAGGACAGAGTGCTGACTGGATACAAAAAATACCTTCAGCACTTGGCCACTAGCGGTAGCTCAGGTAGAGTGCTTGCCTTGCACGTGGCTTGACCTGGAGCTTGGTCCCCAGCACCACAAGACTAAATTAAGACATTGAAAAACAAATAAGACAAAGATGTCCTCAGTGTCAGAACTAAAGCGCAGTGCAGGAATGAGAAAGTGAGCAGAGGCTCTACCCAGAGATACCAGAAGCAAAGTTCAGGGATCTTGGTTGAGCCAAGTGGGATCCATGAGTGATTTCAGCCTTCTCCTTTCTATAAGACAGAGGGAGATACTGCTATGCCTCTCTGTTCAGTTCAGGTGTCTTGACGTAGTGAACATAGCTGGTTGGAGTTCTGTGCTTTTGGTTGATGCCATGCTGTGAGTTCAGCTTGGTGGTTAGTTTTGACTCTTGCTGCGCAGCATTAATTGCTTCAGGTTCTGTGAGCAGGACGTGGCGTTACACAGAGACACACGCCTTAATCCATATTTTCATTAGCTAGGAGCTGAATAACCAGGTAAATTTTAACTTGTTACTTTTTAAAGGCTTTAACATGTGTGTTTCAATTCTCATCTGGGAAAGAATTTTTTCAAGATTTTTTCTCTGCTTTGCTTCTGAAAGATTTCACCCATCATTCTGAATACTGTGATGACAATAATGGCTGCCATGTCTCCAAAGACGAAAGAGGATGAATCGAGAGACACATCTAAGGAAATGGAAAGTCTCTGGGATATCAAGTCTATTGATGATTATAATTCTTGGTTTCTTGGTGTTGACATGGCAACCGAAGCAACAGAAAGTTTCAGAGCGATGGATCATCCACTGATAGAGGAAAACTGTGCTGTTGCTGTGGAATCGGTCCAAGTCACTCTAGAATGTGGCCTTGGGCACCGAACTGTGCCTTTACTATTGGCAGAGTCCAAGTTTTCAGGAAATATTAAGAATTGGACTTCCCTGTTGGCTGCTACTGCTGATATGACACTGCAGGTATAGAGACATGGTGGAGTACCCCAAGGGCAGCTGCCTAAAACACTGTGGGGTTAAGACTCAGGTTCTGTTGTTGCCTGTTTGTTTTGTTCTCTTATAGTTTGTTTGTGCATGATTGAATTAGATGATATATATGAATAGATACATATGCTGACATTCAGTTTGTGGCTGTGTAACTGTATATGTGGTAATTGTTTTTAAGAAGTCTTGTGCTAAATGATTTATGACAAGAAATAAAGGGATAAAGGGAAATACATTCTTTTTAGGTACTTTTTTGTGTCTTTAGGCAAGTGGTTTTGAACGGCTATTACTGTATCGTATTACTTGTTTTCCTGCTTGTTCCAGAATTGCATAATTAAGGTTGAAAACTGACCTTTTATAATTCTGTGCCAGGTTCACTATTACAATGAGATTCGTGCTGTGTGGGAGCCATTGATCGAGCGAATAGAGGGGAAGAAACAATGGAACTTAAAGCTTGATGTAAGGACACAGTAAAGCATCTCTGTATGGAGTGGCACTGCACGTGTTCATTGATGTTCTTTAATTTGGTTCTTGTCAAGATGTAGTCCAGAACCTGTGGAGCCCTTTTATTGTATGCGTAAGATAGAAAATGTTTTTATGTGTATATTCAGACATTATATATCATTTTAATTTTCATCCTCATGAATGTGTGATGGAGTTTTCGGGAAAGTACATGAGTGTGATTCTGTAGGAGACTGCAAAGCAGAGATGAGACCACCTGTCTTTTAAGCAGGCACTGAAGAAGTTTATTAATGTCCTTTATCTCACTATTTGTATTTTAAAAATACTTTTCACTAAAATGTTGTCTTGTATTAACTTAGTTTTGGATAAATATTAAAGTTTTTCTCAGTTTTCATTTCTAATAGAATATGTATTGGTAGATAAACGAAGCTTTCATAAATGAAGCTCTTTGAGATAATGATTTTTTTTAAGGGTATAACTAAAAATCTTATGAATCACCACTAATTTATGAACTTTCCTTATTATCTCTTCCTGGTATTTTTCCAAGTGTGTCAGAATCCTGGGTTGCAGAGCCTGGTTTTCTCGAGTACCCAGTGTGTGAGCTGGCATTAGCAGATTGTCCCAGAGCACTTCTCTAGAGCGGCCTCACGGGGCTGTTACACGTGGACGCTGACAAAGAAGATTCTAACTTGTGTCCTGTGTGCTCCAAATGAAGTAGAACTAGTATTTCTGGCCTCCCTCTCTCTGGCATAAGGACAGTAACCAGAAATCGTGGCTTTTGCAACTCTGTTAGAACAAAACCATGAATATTGCAATAGCTGGAATCTGGGGGCTGGTTGAAAGCTTGATATTACTTATTTATAGATGTTACCAATAAAAAGCAGAAGACAAGAAAGTATTATTTCTAGATGATATTCTAATAAGGACCGATTCAGACTTCAGGATCACCTTTTATTACTGATCAACTCATAGTTACTAGCTGGGCAGTACCGGATGATTAGATGGGATCTTGGGTGGGAGGTATGCATGGAACAGGTTCTGTGGCTGACAGAGTTCAAAGCATTTCCCCAGAGTAGACTCTGTGCTGCGCTCACCTCACCTGAGCAGAGGAAACCTCTGAATAGCTTTGAAAATGATGCTTTGGAGGAGCCTTACTATAAAGTGCCAGCTTAGGAAAATTCAACACTATTGACTATCTTAGATTTGTTAGTAACCGGCTGTTTAAATTTTTATGTTATTTATCTTTGTAGGTAAAGAAGAACCCGATCCAGGATAAAAGTTTGATACCAGGAGATGATTTTATTCCTGAGCCCAAAATGGCAATTTATATTTCTTCAGCAGACACAATGAATATAACAATATCCAAAACGTGTCTCAATGTTTTCAGCAATTTAGCAAAAGTATGTGTGGCTCTTATTTGGAATATTTCAAGTAGAATTTAAGAGTGAAATGTACTGTATACATTCTTCTGTGATCAAAATTAGTTTCAGAAATGTGTATGCATGGGAAAGTGTTTGAAAGAAATGTACATTTTGTAACTATCTCATGGCATTACATTCCTTTTCAGGGTTTTTCGGAGGGCACTGCTTCTACTTTCGATTACTCTTTAAAAGACAGAGCTCCGTTTACGGTCAGAAATGCTGTAGGTGTTCCCATGAAGGTGCAGCTCAGTCGTAACCTGAGAGTGATGGGCTCCCCAGGGAAGAGCGATGTCTATGGTGTGGATGCCGGTCAGCATCTGGAACTGGAGTATGCCAGCACGGAACCTTCCTCTCAAGGGAAGCTGTCTGTGCTGAGCCGTCAGGAGAGTTCCTTCTTCACGCTGACTTTCGGTATGCTGCATTTTACTTCAGGAGCACCTTAAGAATCACTGTGGGCTTAGTTTTGATAAAATATAGAAAAATATTTTGCTGCATACTTATTTGGGAAAAAACACTTGTAAAAACTTGGATTAAATAGTTGATACTTGTTTCTTGTTTTGGGATGATAGCAGTCCCAAAATAGTGAGAATAATTAAGTACTGTTACAAGAAAGTTGTTGCTGGATAGTTGAGAGAATAAGAAATCTGTCACATTTTGTTTGTTTTCGTATATTTAAACTGACTTGCTCAAATTATCTAGGGTCAAAAATGTTGTATCAGTAATAGTTTTTCTCTTTTTTAAAACCCTGTATTTTAGAAAAGTATTTCATGGTGATTATTTCCAATCACGAGAAGAATACTCTTGTCTTTGTTTTGGCAGGGTAACTATTCTGATGGAAACATATTAGTAAATAAATATTTAGAATTTTTTTCACTTGTCCTCTGCCTTAGTACCACATGGATACACACAGGTTGCCAATGTCCCTATTGCCCGACCTGGACGGCGGTTGTACATTGTGCGGAATCCCCATGCCAATTACTCAGACTCCGTCTTGGTACAGATTGATGCCACCGAAGGGAATAAAGTCATCACCCTCCGCTCTGCGCTGCAGGTGACTTTAAAGTGAAGTGTATACTGTTCAGTTCTCAGTTTAACTCATTTTGGAATATCGCAACACAGCATTACATCAGTAATGATGTCATTTCTATTCCCTAATTTGCTTTTGTAATGTTCTTTATTTTAAATGGTTAATAAAATTTTTAAATTTAAAGCCCATTTTTGTATCTCCTCTGTTTACCATTAATGAAATATTTTTGCGTATTTCTTTAAGAATTGATGAAAATTATAATTACAGTTGATTGTCACATAGGATAACATCATTCTCTTTGTATATCACTTGGGGTTATATTTTTTGAGCGTGTAACAAGGACTGTTAAAATGAGCTATTCTCCTGAAAAAAAATTTTGGCATCTTAGTCTGTATAAATATTTCCTTTTCAGGCCAGAGATTTAGCTCAGTAGCTCAAGCGCTTGCCTGGTAAGCACAAGGTTAAGAGTTTGATCCCTGGTACCAAAAAATAAAAAAAATTTTTTTTTCCTTTTCTACTGGTAAGCCTTTACCAAACATTTTTCTTTTTCTGTGTATTATTTTAGGTTTAAGTATATGATCAGCAACAGAATATTTCTCCCTAATACAGTGTAAGATAAAAAACGAAACAATACAATGTATATCATACTGTGGTCAAGAAAAGATAGTAATACTGGTTTTCTTATATGCTTTTGCTGTCCTTTTTTATTTAATCATGTGATTTGATCATTTGATTGATAAAAATTATAATGGAGAAAATGTAATTAGAATCTTTAAACAAGAATACTATTTGGATGACAGTGCTATAGATTAACAGTAAACATCAGCTTACAATATGTAGATTATGTGAATATCTGAATTTTAGGCTGATAGTTAATAGTCCTAATATGTATCTAGCCTTCAAATATCCTAAAGTTTCAATTGTTAAGGGAAGTATCTTCCAAAATTGTGTTTAAAACATTAGTTATATAGTGTATGCAGCTAATGATTTTCCTTTTAACTTATGTTTTTAAAGCTAATTATATGTATTTTTGTCCAACAGATTAAAAACCACTTCTCTGTTCCATTTATTATCTATAAACTGGTTAAGAATGTTAAACTTCTGGAGCGCATTGGAACAGTCAGCCCCGAAGAGGAGTTCCATGTCCCTTTAGATTCGTATAGGTGGGTACTTCTTTCAAAACATTAAATTTTTGAAAATTCACTGAATGGGGTTTTTACCTTTATGAATTAGAGATAGTGAAGAATATAACTTCATATAATTATTATCTAAAAACATGTAAAACCTATTTTAAAGACATGGTTTATTCTGTAGAAAAATAAATATTGAATTTATCAAATGGACGCAATTTTTTTAATGGTTTAGACTTTTCTGAAATCTGTATTTACTGGATAGCCTTTATATTTGGAATGAAAATATTTTTCAGTCACCTTTGTTCACATAGGTTTTTGTTTTTTCCCGCAGAGCGTTCCTCTGTGAGTTAGCCATGAGATTTTATGCACATTCTCCACCCTGCCTGAACCATGTTTCCTTACCTGTAAAATAGAGTGACATTGTTGACTTGCGGTTTGAATGAGGCTGTTGCTCCTGGGTTCTCAGGAGCCTCTTTGCCCACATGGGCTTGCTTTTCTGCAGATCTCAGTTGTTTATCCAGCCGGCTGGGGACTTAGAGCATCAGTACAAGGAGTCGACCACCTACATCCCCTGAAAGGAGGAGCTGCACAGGAGCAGTTCCATAACAGGCAGGCTGCAGTGTCCGGCGGTGCAGCGCAGCTTCCTGCCGCTAGTTGTGAACACGGTTGCCGAGCCGGACGAGTTGAGCCACATCAGCGCACACAGGGAGGATTGGAACCCGGCGTACATCATTCACCTCTACCCTTCTCTCACACTGCGGAATCTGCTCCCCTATTCCCTAAGATACTTACTGGAGGTGTGTCTCTTGTATTTGGTTTAGATTCCCGCATTGTACAAAGTGAATTCTAGTTTATTTCGTGGTATTTTTAGCTGAAGTCAGTGTTTTATATACCATACTTACAGTGTTTTAAAAGTGTTAATGAAAGCAAGACTGGAACTAGCATCTGCTTTGTGTTAGGCACTGTCCTGTGACTTCACATGTTTAATCCTTCTATGGTGGATATTAATGAACCTCTGTACTGCTGGGGAAACTGAGTCATGCAGGGGTTACATAGGCGGCCAAGTCTCACAGCTAGTCAGTGGAAGAGCTGGGATTTATGCCTGTGTGGTTTGGCTCCTTGTTCTTTACCACTTTCTCTGTTGCATCTGCCATAAATTTAAGAGCCATTATTATTACTTTATTAATTTAAGTAAAATTTTCATTATTTGCAAAGGAGAAAATCTAATGAGAATATTTCACCTTAAAGTTTTACTTATGTATTTATGAGTCAGTAGCTCACTTAGTAGTGCTGGCTGGCCTTGATTTCACTGTGGACTGAGACTCACAGTAATCTTCTTGCCTCAGCCTCCCAAAGTACTGGGTTACATAAAGTTCTCATTCTAAAGTTAATATTACAATTATTTAGTCCAAGGTTTCTACTAAAAATAACAGAATTACTGTCTTGGGAAATAATAAGCAGCATTTTGTAGCAGTGGTATATGGTAAATATTTTAAAGTTTGTACATACTATGTTATATTAAGATGCAGAAACTGGAATATCAGGTCTTGGAGTATAGGTCTGTAGTAAAGAGTTCGCTTTAGCATGTGAGAGACCTTGAGTTCAAGCCCGAGCATGGTGCAAAAAACAAAAAAAACTGGTTACCTATGTTGTTATTTTCTGTTACCTAGTCATGAACTATTTCTGAATTATGCAGTTAATTAAATCAACTGAATAGTGGATAAAGAGAAGAATAGTTTATAAATAAAAAGTATAAAATAATAAGGTGTTAGTAAGGGAGCCTGATTTAGGTATTGTTAGTATGTGTTTTAAAAATAATTCATCTTGCTTACATAGCTTGCTAGAGCAGCGGACCGCTGTCACTTTCCTTATTCCCCCTGCAGGGGACTGTCAGGCCTGGTGTGTGACTAGCAGAGGAGCTGAAGACCAGGTGGTCAGGTGGCGTGTTCAGTAATGCCGTGCTAGCGGCCAGCCGCCAGGGTCCCTGAGTAAAGGAATCCAGCCTTGGATTCTTGTTGTGGATGCATTTTTTTTCCTTCTCAAAATTCCTGGCTGCTGGCCTATTAATGGCCAAAGACAGTTCCTGCCTTTATAAATGTGGTCTGTGTTTTCTTTTTAGTCCTTGGTAATTGTGGCATGCACAGTATATAAACATGGTACTCTGTGGAAGACTTGGCAGGAAACCTGCTTCTTGCAGAGTCTAGCCGCTGTGTAGAATACAGGTTTTGTATTTCAAAGATGTTGCTAAACAGACTTGGTTTGTGCGTGTGTTTAGGGAACAGCAGATACTCATGAGCTGGCAGAAGGCAGTACAGCAGACGTCCTGCATTCCCGAATCAGTGGAGAAGTCATGGAATTAGTCCTGGTTAGATACCTGGGCAGAGACTGGACCGGTCATTTCCGCATATGTGACACGCTTCCCGAGTTCTTTCTTGTGTGTTTTACGTCTAACTCCAAAGAAGCAGTGACAGTTGACCTGTCGGTGCACGTCAGGCGAGTTGGCAACCGCATGGTGATCTCTGTCTTTAGTCCCTATTGGTTAATCAACAAGACTTCTCGGGTCCTCCAGTACCGCGCAGAAGACACTCACGTGAAGCACCCAGCTGACTTCAGGGACATCATTTTATTCTCTTTCAAGAAGAAGAACATTTTTAGTAAAAACAAGGTGTGTTTTTGTTGATAGAGTGAGTTAAAATACATGGCTTTCTAACCTGGAAACTTGGAAATTTGAAACTCAACCAATGCAATTGATATGAACTGAGTCTAAGGAGACTTTAAGGAAGGCAGAATCGAGTGGGGCCCTTGGGAACTAACAACATCAGGATCTCCAGGCAGAATAATTCTTTCTCTAGCGCCTGTAGGATTCCTTCTGTTCTTAAAGTCGTGTCAGATAAGACAAGCTTTATTTTGTATAACTGGCCAGTATTGATACAGCATTTCTAAAGAGGCTGGTATTAGCTGACCCTCTTGCCCATGAAGCATGAGCCAGGCCTTTGAGAAGCCTGGCGCTCAAGCCTGGTCTTTTGTGTCCTGGTCCTTTCTTTCTTCTTCAGACTCACTTGGCTTTCCTCACTTGTGTGCACTCGACCCCATGCTGCCCATAGACTTCTGCATATGCTCTCCTCTGCCCAGATGACCACTCTGCTCTTTCCTTGTTTCCTTCCTCTTTCCTCTCCCCTACTGTTTATGCTTGAGCATTCTGTTCAGGCCTGGTATGGATGAAGATTTTCTGTTCCTTTAAAATGAGAGATACTCCATTATTATTCTCTCTCTCTCTCTCTCTTCTTATTTAAAGAGAAAAAAAAGGAAATAAAATTTAAAAAACAGCAGGAAAAGGGTACAAATAATACAGAATTTCAAGGAAAAAAATACAGTAAGATATCACTAGTTAATAGGTTACATATTGTCATCTTTGAAATAGTTGTCCAAATTATAAAATTAAAGCATGTAAAGTGAACATTCATACAATGAGATTGCAGACAGTGCCGTTCAATCATCCAACAAAAGTTCACTAATACGGATTTCCATTCTACATACTCAAACATACATGCAGTTATATCCCTTAGACCACCTTCCTGTCCTCTCTTTTTAATAACAATTATACTTTTTGGGGTTTTTTTTTTCTCCCACAATTCTTATTATTTTTTTGGAGAGAATAAAACCTAATGTGGCTAAACAAAACAGAGTCGGTTAGAACAAAAGGATGGGCATAGTACATGTTGTAAAAATAGTTTTACAAGATGTTGCCATTAAGAGAACCTGGGCAATGACACAGATCTCTTACACTAATTTTTTTCTTTTGAGATAGGGTCTTACTATGTAGTCCAGGCTGGCCTCCAACTCTTAGTGATCTTTCTGCCTGGAGGCCTCTTGAGTGCCAGGATTACAGATGTGTGCCATATGAGGCCCCAGCAGCAGTCTTCTCAAAATTGTTTACTCTCAAGAATACAATCGAGCCAGTTTCAGGTTTTCTGTGCTCTGTATACACTGGCATTTTTTCAGTTCCCTACCCCAATCTGTATCTGCTAGCACAATGCTCTTCCCATGCGAACTGTGCTTCCCCTCCTTTTTTAACTCCTAGTTATCCTTCGAGTCTGAGTGAAACCTCACTTTCTCTAATGCCTAAGTCAAATATTCATCATGCCGCGTCCACATTTGTGCGAGTATCTGATCTGTGAGTTTTCCCTACACTAAGTAGGGGAGCGCCACCTAGAACGGACAGTTTCTGCCTCGCAGTTTAAGTGTTTCGTTTCGTGTTTTTGGGACAGGGTTTCCCTGTGCGTTCAGGCTGTCCTCGAACTCGCAGCGATCTTCCTGTCTCAGCCTCCCGACTGCTGGCATTACAGGCGTGCGCCACCACGCCCAGCCTCGCAGTATTTTAATCGGAAGGATCACAGGTTGAATCCACGTCCATTCCTGCGCCCTGCTTCCCCCAGGCACGTCGCAGGCGGTCGCGCGTAGTAAGACGTCACTTCCTCCCGGAAGACGCTCCGGGAGACCCTCTCGAGATTCCTGTCACTTCTCAGAGCTTGCCCACCGGGAACATGGCCCTGCCGCCCTTCTTCTCCCCGGCCCGCCCCGGCCCGCCGCCCCCTCAGCCGCCGCCTCCTGCTCCTTTCGGCTGCCCGCCACCGCCGCTACCCTCCCCGGCTTTCCTGCCGCCCCTTCCCCAGCGGCCCGGCCCTTATCCGGGGACCTCCGCCCCCTTCCTTCAGCCTTCGCTGGGTCTGCAACCCCGGGTCCCCGCGGAAGGCTCCCGCCGCGGCGGTGGCGGTGGCAGTGGTGGCGGTTTCTACTCGGTGCCGCCCCCGCCGCTGCCTCCGCCGCCGCCCCAGTACCGGCCCTTCCCGGGGACCGACGCCGGCCGCCCTGGAGCCCGCGCTGGGCAGAGGTGCTGCCGCCTGCTGATGAGCTCGGGGACGCGGCTGACTTGGTCCAAGCATACAGCTCAGAAATGGCTAACGTTGGCTTTGGTTCCACATCTGGGGCTTAAAACTCGTCACACGGTTGAGGATTATTTGTAAAACCCTCTTAGAGTTTTTCTTTGGGGTCCGACCACCCTCCGTCCAAGATGTCATGTGCTTCTCTTTTCCCTTGTCTCTGCCCCCCCCCCCTGGGATGGGCGGTGTCCTTGGAGGGTCTCCCATGGACCAGGTCCTGGTGTCAGAAGGACTTGGGTTTGGGGAGGAAGGGTGGTGGGCAGTGCCACTCCTGAGTCTGCAGTGAGCCAGGCACTGGCCACTGGCCTGCCCTCCAGGGATTTATGCTGTGGCCTGTGATGCTCTGAGCCCTGCAGCACAGCAGCCCCTCCTCGGTGAGAGTCCTCCTGCATCCGCCTCCGCTGGCCCCAGAGCAGCACCCAGGGGCCCTCCAGTTGGCACGGGGGTCCAGTTGTGACTCAGTCGCAGCTTCCTGTCTAGTAGCCTGCCCTGCCCAACCTGTCTGTGTGTGTTGCAGAGGACACCTACAGCTCCGAGGAGACGGTGGACCACCAGCCCATCCACCTGAGGGTCATGGACACTGCAGACCCGGTAACCTCCCCACTGCCCCTTGGAGGGCAGGGAGTTTGGGTCCCTTTAAAAGTGCAACTTGCTGTGTGGTCTGAAATGAGACACTGACTTCCCTGAGCCCAAATCTTCCATCTGCCAAATGAGGAGGATGGGAAGGGGGCTGGGGAGTTACCCGTGGCAGGTCTTGGGCCCTGTGCAGTCAGACAGGTGCATGCCTGTTGACACAGATGCTTCTGTGAGAGCCCCTTGGCCATCTCCCCCTCGTCCTCCCTCTTGGCTTCTCAGAAGCCAAGAGGGCAGCGTGAACTTGACCCCAAACCAGCAGTGCCCAGAGACAACAGGTCCCTGGAGGGGCTGTGCCATGTCCTTGGCATTGTGCCCAAGCAGCCAAGGTCTCCAAGTCTCTGGCTGGCTGGCTGGCTGGGGCAGGGCAGGGGGTGGGTCATGAGACAATGTCTCCTTTCACACCAAGCCAAGTCCATGGTCAAGTGTGCCTTTGGAAAGGGCTCGGGTGGGGAACAATACAGAGACCCGGCCTGGACAAGTGGGGGTGACTGCTCAGGTGAAGGTTTTTATCCCATGGCCTGTGACCTGGAGGGCTTCTCCCCTCACTGCAGGACATCCCCAGAACTGCGAGCGCTACCTGAACTGGGCCCATGCCTTCCTGGTGGTGTACAGCGTAGACAGCCGCCAGAGCTTTGAGGGCAGCAGCAGCTACCTGGAGCTGCTCGCCCTGCACGCCAAGGAGACGCAGCGCTGCTACCCGGCCCTGCTGCTGGGCAACAAACTGGACATGGCCCAGTACAGGTGAGCGCAGTGGTGCCCATGGGTTAGGGAGCTGCCTGGAGGACGTTGCACCTAGGTAAAGGCATTGAGAGCAGAAAGGGCCTTGGGCTTCCCAGCAGCCAGAGACCAGCAGGGCAGGGCTGGACCCTGAATATCAGAACAGCAGCCACTCCTTCCATCCTCGTGGGTTTCTGGTTTCTCCTGGTCTCGCCCTTTCTTGCCCAAGCCACTGTGACCTCCGTCCCATCTCAGCAGCTAAACAGTTGATTCCATGCCCGTTCCATTCCAAGGCTAGGCTTCCAGAGGCCCTTGGGTCAGGGGGGTCACTCTGGTCCAGCCAGCTCTGTCTCCACCCCAGTGCAGCCCCCCAGGCGGTGCCAAGGGCAGCTCTTAGATGCTGGACCTGAGCCAGAGGTCAGGACCAGGCCACAAGGTGGATGACCGCAGAGTCTGCAGCCGTGTGTTGCTTGGCCGGCATGGTGTTCGACAAGACAGGAACTGGAATGTTTTGGGGTAGGGCCCACTCCTCCCTGTGACCACAGCCTGGCTGACCACAGCCTCGCTGTTCCCCGAGGTTTCCCTCCAACTTCTCCTGGCCCTGAGGCAGCTGAGACTGTGATGCCACATTCGATGGATGAGTAATCCTCCTGGACTCTCCCTGGAAGCCATGTCCTGTCCCCCTGCCGTCCCTTTCAGGCCCCTTGCCCCTGCTTTCCCAGGCTCTGAAGCTCCAGTGACTGGTGTTAACAGAAGAGGGGACCTTTGGTCTAGGACAGGCTGGGTGCCAGTGGGAGAAGGGAGTCGTGGTTTCCCAAGGCAGGCCACAGTCAGGGCCCAGGAGAATGACATCTTGAAGCAAGGAAAGAGTGTGTGGCATTAAAGTGACTGCAGGGTCTGAGGAATCCCAGGGCCTGTGAGAGGGCGTTGGAATACCAGGCTTCAAATAGGCCTGTTTTCAGCAGGGAGACATAACCAACAGGTCCCTGTTCACTGCCAAAGGGGTGGTCTCAGAATGGTTTGGGAGCAACTGACCGAGAATATAAGGCTGGAGTGAGGCAGTGTCATTGGGTCCCCAGGGATGAGTCAGGACGCTTCCCCCTCTCTCTTGGGTCTTGTCCCAGTCTTCCCGACTCAGGACTCGCACTGGATGTTTTAGCTGCCCTGAAGTCAGCGTCCTTCCCCACACCCGCCCCATGAGTGTCTTGCAAGCTACAAGGTGGGAATGGTGTTAGAGCAGCGATGCCCGCGCCCTGAAAAACTCACCAGGCCACAGCAGAGCAGGATAAAGGACAGAGTTCAGGGTGAAGCTCGTGACAAAGGCAGAGTTCCCGCGCTCGGTGGCTTCCTCGGGCAGCAGCGGCAGGTGCAAACTGCCCGGGCACAGCCCTGGGGTGTGTCTCTGCGGCAGGGGGTTAGATGCTCTGCCCCTGCCTCTTGGATCCCCGTCACCTCCTCCCTCTGTTGCTCCCGTCACTGGGGAGCGGGGCCTGCACCCATCAAGTGACCGGAGCCGCGGGAGACAGGAGGCCAGACTCGAGCAGGATCAGCTCTCAAAGTTTATTGCGTACAGCGAACCGGACCTAACAAGGTCCGCCACCCTCAACGTTGGTTCCTCTTCTGCCCGTTGGGGGCAGGAACAACCTCTTATAAGGGGAAGCAGTATCCAATCACAGAGAAGCGCGTCTAACAAGCTGATAGGCTAGCGTCACGGGTAACTGGGCAGACATGACAATTTGGCAGGCTTGTTCAGGCCGGGAAGAACCCGGAAGCAGGAAATGGGCGCCATCATAGGCGGCTTCCCACATCTCCCCCTTTTTTATTTATTAAAATAGGATGGTCTGTGGGTCCCTCCAAGGTGTCTATGACCTTGTTGCTGTTAGACACCTAGGAGTGGGCCTACCTTGTAGGCCGAGGCATGAGAGAATGTAGAGGTCTATACCCTGCTGTGCATCACCCTGTTTTGTGCATATCCTTGCGCCAGGACCATGCTCAAGGTGAGTGGTTCATTTTTTCGCAGGGCCAGGCTTTTGTGAACCGAACCTGGATGCATATAGACATTCATTCCTGCCTTCCCCCCAACCTTTGGGGCAGATGGCACTGCAGTACCCTTGGTCTCGCATCTCAATGCCAATAATTTGACTCCGGGAGGGACCCCTGGCCTTATAGGCCATGTATATCTGAGTGGAGCCTGTCTTAGGTTGACCGGGAGGGCTTTTCCCGTCTTACCCGTCATTGGCTTGCCCACTCAGCTCTTATAGCTGATGTTCTGCAATGTGAAGGAGATATGCGGCGGCCTGCTGGCCTGATGGGCCACCTGCTGCCATTTGCATGGCTGCCATGGCTGTGATCTTAACCTGCTGCTGAGTTTGTATGAGGCGATCTAACAAGCATTTAATAACCACAAGCCCCACTAGGATGGCCACAGCAATCAGGATCCAAGTAGTCAGGTTGGGCCAGGAGAACCCCTGACTGGACCTAGTGGGATACCGTCCATATTGTCAAGTTCCTGACCGACTATGAGGGACAAATTGTGAAACTTAGGTAGGTAGGTGTCTTGCAGCCAAGCTGTCGTATTTTTAACAGTGTTGGTCAAATTTGTGCGAACAGGGGTGATTAATAGGAACCCACAGAATAGAAAAAGCTCCAAACCAGACATTTTAGTTTGTAGATGGTCTCGGGCGCTGAGCGTTGGTCCCAGAAGGGTCGAGTTGACTTGTGTCCGCGGGCTTATCCTCCTGTGCTTTATCAGGAACTGGTGGGGAGTTTACTGCTCACGTCAATCTTTCCGGGACCCACAGCGGCTCGCGACCTGGTTCCTGTGGGAAGACACAAACCGCACCTCGGGTCCAACTAACCACTGGATCCGGGCCCATCCATTGTCCTGTAAGGACATCTTTCCATCTAACCAGCCCTTTGTCGGTTGGGGACGGATTGCTATGTTCCATGGCAGGGGAATGATTATTGTGGCTTAAATTGAGAAAATTTATGGTAAAGAGTGCCAATGATATTCTTCCTTTGGGCGTTAGGCCGTGGCCTATTCCCTCCTTTTGTTTTTGTAAGACACCCTTGAGTGTCCGATGGGATCGCTCAATGATGCCTTGTCCTTGGGGGTTGTAAGGAATGCCATGTTTAAGAGTGACCTCCATTTGTTGACAAAATGTCATAAAAATTTTGCTGGTATAGGCAGGACCATTGTCTGTTTTTAGTATATTGGGCTTTCCCCAAGCAGCCCAGGCTGCCAGGCAATGATTAATAGCGTGGGTGGCCCTTTCTCCGGGTTCTGCCGAAGCAAACATAACCTGAGAAGCGGTGTCAACCGAAACATGTACATATTTGAGTTTTCCGAATTCTGGGATGTGTGTAACATCCATTTGCCAAATATGATTTGGGCGAAGTCCTCTTGGGTTAATGCCAATAGATTGTTGGGGTGTAGAGATCACACAAGCTGGGCAATACCGTACAATCTCTCGTGCTTGTGCTCTCGTGATGTTGAAGCGCGCCATGAGGGTGCGGGCATTAACATGGAACTGAGAATGGAATTTTTGGGCTGCTTCCAGAGGGTTGGGAAAGGTGAAGACCCATATCGGGCGCGTGGCCGAGTCTGCCAAGGCATTGCCCTCCGCCAAGGGCCCAGGTAAATTAGTATGGGCTCTGATATGTGAGATGAACACTTTTGAGGTTCTATTCCATAGCTGATGTTGAATACCTAGGAATATGGAGGCTACCGTTGAAGAGGGTTTAATGGGACCCGCCGTCTCCAGAACTTGGAGAGCATTTACCACATACTTGGAGTCCGACAGGAGGTTAACATCGCCTGGAAAGCGACGTAAGACCTCCTGTATTATCTGGAGCTCAACCACCTGGGGTTGGTCTGGAGTAAATTGGATAGTTTTTGGCTCTTGACCCATAACCACATACGCGCCTATGCCTGACTTGGAGCCGTCTGTAAATATTATTGGAGCTCCAGCTATGGGGTGTGGGGACGTGACCTTAGGAAAGATCACAGGATGCACGGTGACAAACTGGAGCAGGGGGTCTTTTGGGAATTGATATCTATGGTTCCCTGGAAAGTACACCGAAGGATCGCCCAGGAATCCAGGCATGTTGTTAAGGTTTCAATTTGATCTCTTGTGTATGGCACATGTAGGGAGGAAGGAGGCACCCCAAAATGTTGTATAGCGCGTGAGATGCCCTCTAGAGAAAGGGAAGCGACCGCATCTGGATAATGGTCAATAGCCTTAGCAGGAGACATTTTTGGGTGGACCCAAAGCAAGGGTCCTTGCTGCCAAATGACAGCCGTAGGTTGTCTAGCTGTTTTGAGAACGCACAAGGCGAAGGTCTTTTCTGGATTAATACGCCTTAATGCGGCCGTGGTCAGGGCCCGCTCTACTGCTTGTAGTGCCACTTCTGCCTCCGGCGTAAGTTCTCGGGATGAATTTAAGTCAGGGTCTCCCTTAAGTAAGTCAAACAGGGGTTTTAATTTGCTGTTAGGTAAGGCCAAGTACGGCCTGATCCAATTGATATCCCCAACTAATTTTTGCATGTCATGTAAACTTAGGATCGTATCACGCCGGATAACCAATTTTAATGGTGATACCTGAGAGGAAGTAATTTTTGTCCCTAAATATTGGGCTATCTCTGACCGCTGGATCTTGTCTGGGGCAATGTGCAGATTAGCGGCTCTAAGAGTAGAGACCAGCTGTCTAAGCATTTGCTCTAAGCTCGGGAGGTCCTTTCCTGATATTAGGATGTCGTCCATATAATGGAGGCATCTATTTTTTGGGAATTTATGTCTTATGGGCTCTATGACAGCGTCGACAAACAATTGGCACATAGTGGGACTGTTGGTCATCCCTTGGGGTAACACTATCCACTCATATCTAAGGTCTGGCTTTTCCTGATTGATAGTGGGCAAGGTAAAAGCGAAGCGAGGTGAATCATCTGGGTGAAGAGGGATGGAGAAAAAGCAATCTTTAAGATCGATGACATAGACCGGCCAATTTTGTGGGAGCGCTGATAGTGCAGGCATGCCTCTTTGAACCGCACCCAGGGGTTGCATCTGAGCATTGACTGCCCTCAGGTCATGGAGGAGCCGCCATTTTCCCGAGCGCTTTTTAATGACAAAAATAGGGGTATTCCAAGGGGAGGTTGATGGTCTGATATGTCCCGCCTGGAGTTGGTCCTGAATTAGCTCCAGAGTGGCTTCTGCCTTCTCCTTTGGTAGGGGCCACTGTTGAACCCACACAGGGGTGTCAGTTTTCCAAGTAATTTTTATGGGTTTGGGTGTGAGAAGGCTTTCAGTGACCCCTAGGAAAAACCCAGTCCTTTTTTGTCTTGTTTGGGGCTGCCTTGAATAGGCGAGGTTCGGCCTTGTAGGTGAACGCCTAGGCCCTTTCTAGGGATATACCCTTGTTTTAGCAACATGGAGTGAGCTTTTTGGGAGTAGATGTTAGTTAAGGTGACGCCCATGTCTGTCAAAATATCTCTTCCCCATAGAGATACGGGAAGCTGGAGTACGAAGGGACGGAAGTGACCAGAATGACCTTCCTTGTCGTGCCATGTCAGGAGCGAAGCACTCACCTTAGGGGCGTGGACAAACCCAAGCCCCTGTAGGCTCTGGGATGCCACATCTGTGGGCCAAGAGCTAGGCCAATCTTTTTGTGAAATGATTGAGCGATCTGCTCCTGTGTCAAGCAAGCCTTTAATGGGTCTGCCATTGATGTCAATGGTTAGCATAGGATGTTCTTGCAACGTCAAATGTAAGCCTTCAAAGGTATCCCCGGAAGAGCCGAAGCCCTGAGCGCCTCGGGTCAGGTTTTTCGCGGGGAAGTTTTTATGAAGGCTTGGTAGAACCAACAGCTGGGCTATTTTATCTCCTTTATTAATGATAATCGTGCCTTGTAGGGCTTGAACCATAATTTTGATTGTGCCAGTGAAATCTGAGTCAATTACACCTGGGATGATTGTAAGGCCCCTGAGTGCCACCGAGGACCTCCCCAATAGAAGTCCGACCGTGTCTGGCGGAAGGGGATTTGGCAGGGAGGTTTCAACTAATTGTACTCCCATCTCGGGTGTTAATAGGAGGTCGGAGGTGGCACTGAGGTCCAGCCCTGCTGAGCCTGGGGTTGCCCGCCTAAAGGGAGCTGGGGTGTTTGTGGTTGCTGGGGCTGGAACTGAAGGAAGGTTTGGGCCAGAGGGGGCCCCGCCTGCAGGAGGGGCCCCCGTCGGCCGTTTTTTGGCTGATTGTCTGGACGTCCTGAAAGCCTATTGCCGTCTTTATCGAATATCGATCGGCACTCGGCTGCTGAATGATTACCTTTTTGGCATCTTGGGCATAATCCAGGGCCAGGGGCTCCTCCCTGCCCGATCTGTTTGTTGGGGCAATTACGCTTAATGTGTCCTGGTTGGCCACAGCCAAAGCAAGAAGTGTTGTTTTTATTTTTATTTCTATTGCCCCCTACCCGAGGCTTACCTCCGTTGGCAGCGCCTTGAAGGGCAGCGACCATGGCGGCAACGAGCCCGTGATTAGTTACCGGGCCGCCCAGTTCACGGCACAGGCGTGTCCACTCTTCTAAAGACCTATTTTTGTTGGACCTTAGGACATCACGACACTCTTTAGTGCACTGTTTGAAAATCAGTTGTTTTATGAGAGGGTGAGCCGCCTCAGCGTCTGGAAAAATTCTGTTAGCGGCCTCAAGCATGCGGGCCACGAAATCGGAGAAGGGCTCCCCCTGCTGTTGTAAAATTTTTGTGAGGTGGCCCGTATGCTCTCCCTTTCCAGCCAGCGGTCTCCAGGCCTGGAGGCCACAGCGACTGATTTGTTCATAAACCTGGTGAGGGTACTGGGTCTGATCTTCCTCGAAAGCTCCTCGCCCTAATAACATGTCTCTGTTCCAATCTCTTTGGCCATGTTCCCGGTTAGCCGCCGCCTGCTCTACGCAGAATTCCTCATTCCAAGACTTCCAATCTAAATACTGTCCGGGGGAAAGGCAGGCACGCGCCAGCTGGGTCCAATCTCCCGGAGTTAAATACAGGCCAGCCAGGGCCTCCAACAGGGCCATAGTAAAAGGCGCATTAGGCCCGTAGGCCGAGACAGCATCTTTAATAGCTTTGGGCTGTTTAATTTCTAAAGGCTCATAATATCCTCCTCCTCCCCTGCCGCCTACTTGTACCGGGAAGGCGTGAAGTCCAAAACATTCAAAGGGAAGTCGCGACCACACCCTCTGGTGGAAGGAACGTCCTGCTCCTCCCCCAGAAGGGGGCGCAGGAGGTAATCCAGGAAGTAGCTCTCCCTCTAACCAGGGCGGTGCCATGGATTGTGGCCGCCCTCCGGCGGCCACGGGCGGAGGTGGCAGCCCAGGGAGCAACTCCTCTTCCGGCCACGGCGGTGCAGTAGGGCCTGGCGTCCTAAAGGGGGCGACCATGGGTCGCGAGCTTGCCAAGGAGCGGAAGGACCTAAGTTCCTCCCGCAAAGCGGAGTAGCTCGGGCAGGGTGGTGTTTGGTTCCCCTTTTTATCTTCCCGAGCCCTAAGTTCCTCTTTTAACGGTGTAGGAGGGTCATGCTTAGCAAAGACGACCTCCTCTTCTGAGCCTTCCGAATCTGAATCAGAATCGGAGCCCTTGTGTTTCTCTGGAGGCCCAAAGTCAGGTGTGACTTCGGGCTCCTCCGAGCACTCGGATCGAGCTTTGTCAAGAGCCTGTTGGGCTGAGCAAAGCCCTGGGGTTTGTTCGTCCGTCAGACAAGCCCTAATCAGTTCCCACAGGGGTAAAACCATGGGATCCAAGCGTCCCTCTTCTCGGGCGCATCTAAGATCCCCTCCTAACTTCTCCCATGACGGGAGGGTTAGAGAGCCCGTGGGCCAAAACCAGGGGGCAATTTCATTAACATGATCCAGAAATCTCGAAAGGGTGACCCGGTTTATGTAGATGCCTCGGGTCCGCAGCAGGACTCTTAGGGAGTCAGCGAGGGGTTTGCGAGCAGCGTTGCCCACAATGGCGAAACGAAAGCGAAACAAATGCAAAGAAAAAAAGACCGGCATCCACCCGTGTGGCGCTCAAAATCTGTTAGGTGCGTCCACCCAACCCAGGCGATCCAGTACTCACCTGTCCCGGGAACCGCTGTATCTCACGTAGCTAATCAGGGTGAAGAGAAGAGGCGCTCAGGGCCTTCCGTTGTTATTGGACCGGGTTCTCCGTCGTACCGCAGGTGACAGCAGTCGCACCTCCCGGCCGAAGAGGCACGTCGCTGAGTCTTTTACCTTTTTTCCCCGTACTGGCCACCAGATGACCGGAGCCGCGGGAGACAGGAGGCCAGACTCGAGCAGGATCAGCTCTCAAAGTTTATTGCGTACAGTGAACCGGACCTAACAAGGTCCGCCACCCTCAACGTTGGTTCCTCTTCTGCCCGTTGGGGGCAGGAACAACCTCTTATAAGGGGAAGCAGTATCCAATCACAGAGAAGCGCGTCTAACAAGCTGATAGGCTAGCGTCACGGGTAACTGGGCAGACATGACAATTTGGCGGGCTTGTTCAGGCAGGGAAGAACCCGGAAGCAGGAAATGGGCGCCATCATAGGCGGCTTCCCACAATCAAGGCCCACCCTGGGGTCTTCTGTCATCTCCTGGCTGGGCCATTGTCCCTGGGAATGGTGGGTGGGGCAGCCCAGCAGCTTTGGCTTTGGCCTCCAGACTTCTTCCCTATCAAGAGCCCGTGTGCTCTTTCCCCTACTTCCATTCCACGGCATTCGGGCCAGAAGCTTCCAGAACCTTCCCAACCTCAGATGTTCCTTCCGGTCATCATAAGAAGTGGGCCAGGACCAGGCAGGAAGAGATGTTGCCCCTTTTTGTGTCCCCAGCTCATGTGAAATGTCATCACCCCTGCTCTCCCTGGCTGTCCCCTGGGCAGGAAGACAGCTGTCCCTTTGAGTCCCAAAAGCTCTGCCTGCCGCAGGCTTCCTGAGTCACCTGTGTGGTCCCTTCAGCTGCCTTTCTCAGGCCAGGGCCACCACAGGGGCTCATTCCTGCCTGAGGGGCCAGTGCTGTGATGGAGCAAGGAGGCTGGGATGGGGTACCTCAGTCACAAGCAGGTCTATCCGGGGTTCCGCCTCCTTCCTCAGTGTGTCAACTACAACATATTGAGCCCTGACCTGAAAAAGGTACTGCGCTAAGCACTCAGTGCCACTCGTGTTTCTTAGTTCTGACAACTCCGAGAGGCTGATGTCACAATCCCATGATGCTGGTGTGAAAATGAGCTGGAGAAAGGTGAGGAGCTGCGGCCCCTCTGACTGGCCACCTTGCCTGCCCCTCCCTCCCATTTGGTCACAGCGCTGGCCGGCAGGTTCGGCTGCCTCTTCTTCGAGGTCTCCGCCTGCCTGGACTTCGAGCATGTGCAGCACGTGTTCTATGAGGCGGTGCAGGAAGCACGGCGGGAGCTGGAGCGGAGCCCCCCGGCCCGCCCCCTCTTCATCGCTGAGGACAGGACCCCCGTGCACCAGGTGCCGCTCACGGCCCGGCAAGGGCTGGCCGGCTGCACTTTCAACACACTGTCCACCTTCAGCCTGAAGGAGATGCCTGCCGTGGCTCAGGCCAAGCTGGTCACAGTGAAGTCATCGCGTGCCCAGAGCAAGCGCAAGGTGCCCACCCTCACCCTCCTAAAGGGCTTCAAGATCTTCTGAGGCCCATGCCCCTCCTCGGCAGCCCCGGCAGCAGGACAGCGGCTGGCTTGTGATGCCGGCCTTTCTCACCGATGGACTGCTGGCCCCGCCCACTGATGGACAGCTGAACCTGCCTCTGGCACCAAGCAGAGTCCCCACATTGAGCCTAAGGCACTGGGTGGGCTGCTGCTGCTTGATCTCTATGGTGTCCTTTGCACCTAGGACCCTGGAGGGAAACGGCCATTGCCACAGCCCAGAGACCTGCCATAGCAGGAAGAAACTGTGTCCATTCTGCTGCCGTAACTCTAGCCAGGCTAGCTGTGTCCCATGGTAGATGGACAGTTCCCAGAGGCCCCAGGAGGGGCGGCCTAGGGGTCGTGGCGCCACCTGGTGGGAGGCAGAGGCAGCGCAACTGCTTAGAAGTAGGAGCCTGACCCTGCTATCCTCTTCTGACCTCACAGGATACGCGGGTAGTGACCCCAGTTTATTCAAGGAAGATCTGCTTAAGATAATTCTGCGGGGCCGCTGCACAGGCAGGGGCTCCGGGTCGGGTATTCCCAGCGCTTCCCCTTTCAGGGAGGGGAGAAGAGAACCTCCAGTGGGCTTTCATCAGGATTCAGGGTCTTCTTCCCCACTTTGCTAAGGACTGTGTGCACACCCTCAGGACCAGGTCCTCAAGTCTAATGACCAAGGCTGCAGAACACAGTGTCCTCTCTGGTTTCAGGAGAGCCCACAGAAGGCAGGGTCGCATGCCACCTGGCAGCCACCAATGCCGGCTCAGACAGGAACGGTGTAAAGCTTGTAACAGGGTTTGGCCGGACATGTGACCTTCAGCAACAGATCTGAGCTTTCAAAGCCCAGTTTTTTTTTCTTCTAGCACTGGGGATTGAACCCCGGGCCTTCACACTGAGCTATATCCTCAGCTATTTTATTTTATTTTGGGAAACTAAGTTGTCTAGGCTGGGCTGAAAACCTGGGATGCTCCTGCCTCATCCTCCCAGAGAACTGAAATTACAGGTGTGTGCCACTGCGCCCAAGCCAAAGTCCACTTTGGTGAGACAGAACCTGAAGTATGTCGGGCTAATAGAGCAAAGTTTTGCATAGATTCTATGGTGTCCCCCTTAACAGCTTATGCCACAACATCATGGCTCAGATGGAGCCGCAGGTTCCTCCCACTGTTAGCCAGAGGAGCCTCTGGCTTCCTGAAGGGCTGGGAAGGGGATTCTGACTCCAGAATCCTGCTTCCTTCCATGTCAGTGCCCCATTCCAGGAGCTTGGACTCAAAATCCCCCTAACCCAGCCTTCAACCCATTCTATGGAGGGAGAAGCTAAGGCCAGAGGGAGGCTGTGAACCATTCCAGGCCACCCGTGGAGGGTCCCTGCCAGGCTTCCCGAGCCCTAGGCTGCTAGGGGTTTTGCACTTTTCTTCAAGCCACTTGTGTGTTTGTGTATATGTGCGTGTGTATCACAGCCACTTGAACAGTCTGTGCACTTCCCACTGCCCACTACCAGAAGCATTTTTAATAAAAGATTTTTTTAACTATCAGGAGCACTGTTTGACTGCAGTTCATTGTATCTGCTGATAAAAGCAGGCTGCTGGGGGAGGAAGCCCCGACGTCTGGCTGTGGGGAGCCCTGTCTCCGGCAGTGTGGTGTGGGCCGTGCCTGCTCTAGCTCTCGGTTTCTTGCTCCTTTAATTCAGTCCACAGCGGGACCAGGGCTGGCTTTTCTGTGAGCAGTATCTCTCCTAGGTTGTTCAGGCTGTTGTTGTTGCCACTGGTTCTGGCCTCCTTTAGATGCAAGAGCGCAGGCGTTTCTTTTTCTTGTGGCTGCAGCTTTCGGTTTCTGGGAGGATGGAGGAGGAAATGTGGTGTAAAACGCCCAAAGCAGCCATCAGGCCTGACGATGTAGGCCTGTCAATCCTGCACACTGGGAGGTTGAGGCAGGAGGATCACAAGTTCAAGGCCAGCCCGGGCAGCTTAGCAAGACCTCATCTCAGAATAAGAACTAAAATAAAACTGATGTAGCTCACAGCAAAGGCTGTAGGTTAAATGCTTAGTATTCTCTGTCTCATGTCCAGCTGGAAGGCCTGTGTTCCTTGTCCCGACCATACTGGGCCTGGCCTAGGGGCGGTCATCCTATGATGGACACCGACTCTGTCTCTGCACTCACAGCTCTGCTGCAGCCTCCCCTCACTGGCCACGTGTGTGGGTGCCCGCCCTCCAGCCGTCCATCCTCTCGGTTGTTTTTACTCATGATGCTCTGGCTTTCCTGGAAGGTGCAGGGCTGCCTGAGGAGTGAGGCAAAGCTGCCCTCTGCTTTTCTTTTTTCATTCCCCGTAGTGGTGGTGGAACTCTGGCCCTTCCCACTGAGCTATGCCCAACCATTTTTATTTTTTGAGACATGTCTCTCTAAGTTGCTCAGGCTGGGCTCAAATTTGTGGTCCTCTCGCCTCAGTCTCTCAGAATGCTGGGATTACAGGCAAAGGCCATCACTTGAGAGTCAGAGCCAGCTTTTTTTTTTTTGTACTGGGAATCAAACTCACAACCCTGCGCTTGCCAGGCAGGCACTTATGCCACTGAGCTAAATCCCCAGCCCAGAGGCAGCTTCTCAATGGCTGCACTCCTCTGGATCGTACCTGCAAGAGCTGGGAGGTGGTCGTCAGGGACAGCTGCTGTTTTTAAAAGAGCTTTGGGTTCTCAAAGGAGCTGGAAGGCTCCATTTGCTGTCCCAAAGGCCATTGCCCTCCCTAGATGTCCCTCCAGGCAGGTAGGGCCACTCCCCTCCAGAGACCCCCAGAACAGCCCCTCACCTGTTGGCCTGGACATTCCTGACCAGGAGGAACAAGCTGAAGGTGACCACCACGGCTGTCAGCGCAAGGATGGAGTAATTCCAAGCAGCCGCTGAAGAGGGACACACGGGGCAGGCTGTTGAGGACAGGACTGGCACCCCTCTAGCCCCCCAAGAATCAGCCAAGACTGGGTTCAGATCCAGCCCATGGCAGGGGCTGTACCCTGCCGTGCAGAGGAGCTCTGAGCTCTGGCTCTGGGGACTTTTGAGAAGGGAGATGCGGTCTGCTTTGGGGGAGGCAGCGTTGTAGCTGGATAACAGGGTGAGAGGGCGAGGGGCCGAGATGACTTTTGCAGTCTTCAGTTTGATCCTGTGCAGCGCAAGGAAGAGGAAGGAGGGAGGGCGGGGAAGCAGGGGTGACAGACGGGATCCAGGAGCTGTGAGCAGCTAAATTAAGAAAAAGAGGCTGATTGGACTGTAGGGTCCCCATGAGGCAGGCTGCAGCCTCTGGGCTTTGCAGTGGCTCCTCCCTTTGCTGGGAATGTTCTCCCCACATCTGCAAGACTGAGTCTTTATTAGAAGGTCCCCTTCTCAGTGGGCCCTCCCATGACTTCTCCTGCTGCACTCTGACTGGTTTCTTCTCTGTGTGATCTTACAGCATGTCATCTCTGCTCTGTGCATGTTCATCATTTACTTTATTTTCTGTCCCACCAGAACAGCACCCCTCAAGGAGATGATGTTTGTATTGTAACCGTCAAGTGCTGGAACAACACACAGTAGGAGCTTGCTCAGTGCAGATGACTGGGTGACCCGGTGAGTGGCCACTGCCCATACCAGGGGGTGGGGTGGGGTAGGGGGTACAGTACAGCTCAGGCCCGAGGTGCGGCAAATGTGCCATTTGACTGGGGTCTGGAGACCCCACCTGGGTTTCAGCCAAATCCTGCTTTGTGCTGAGTGCCCCCCCACCGGATGCCACCCCACCTCTGCCACCTGTCCCTCACCACTCACCATCTTCTACACGGAAAAACCAAATCATTTCCTCCAGCAGCCCCTGGGGTACTGTGGGGCCAGCTGGGGTTCCCGTGGCCTCCTCGCTTGCATCCATGGCCCTGGTCCTTAGCTGCTTCACTAGCTTCCTAGGTGCCAAGTCCTGAGCAGATGAGTCCTGAAGACCCTGGAAACAAAGCAGAGAGCATCACTGGACACTGCAGCCCAGTCTGATCTCCCCTCTGGGCCCAAAGCCAGCTTGCCAAGGTCTCCACACCAAAACATGCTGAACACAGGCGCAGGCAGGAACCTACAGGTGGCAGTGACTGAAATCCCTATGAAAACCCAGCATGGCACGCGTGAGAAGGGGTTTTGAGCTGGGAGTGAAGAGGATGAAGCCAGTGATGGGCCATGAGACTCTTAGAGAGGACATTCTACGACCCCAACCTCTTGGGGCTAGCCAATCGAGGTAGCCAATCGAGGGCTTTTACTCGAGCACGTGACAAGGCTGGGCCTATCACAGGCTCCGGTTTGGTGATTTGCACACCTGAGACCCAGACTGGAAAGAGAAGGAGGAGCCAAAGGAAGCAGTTGTGCCTGGGCCGGAGGTGCTGCACAGATGAGCAGAGTTGGTTTCTGTTGTTTGGAAGGGAAGGACCCTATCCCATGCTCTTTGGCTAAATTTCTTAATTTGAACCTGTTTGCATTGGTGCAAAATAAAGTAGGTTGCATTGTGTTGACCAGACCTCAGACAGTCTCAAAAAGGCCTCAAAATTTGTGCTACCTTTCTATTACTACTTAACTAAAAATTCCTCACATGGGCCAGGGATTTAGCTCAGTGCCTTAAGTGCCTGCCTGGCAGGTGCGAAGGTGTGAGGTTGCTAGTTCAATCCCTGGTACAAAAAAAAAAAAAAAAAAAAAGATTACAAATTCCTCGTATCCATATATAAAGAAATGGTAGCTGGCTCATGCTTGTAATCCCAGCACTTGGGAGGCAGAGGCAGGAGGAGCACCACAAGTCCCTTGAAGAATAAAAGACAAAATAAAGATAGAGACAGAAATCAATGAGGTGCAGGGGGAAAGTAGAGAAGATGAACAAACCCAGAAGCTAGGGTTTGCTTTGGTTTTGCCACACTGGAGGTTGGACCCAAGGTCTTCTTCGCTCTGAGCCCTGGCCCCAGCTCTTTTTATTTTGAGACAGGATCTCAAAAAGTTGCTAAATTGTCAGTCGTCTCCATATCAATGACAGTTGCTGCAATCCCAATCAAAATGGATTTTTTTGAGACCCTTGATGCGTGTATTCTAAGTATCAGCCTTGTTAGGTAAGACACTAGCTGCACAAATGCAGTTTCGGAACACAGGACGTACTTTTGATACAAGACTCCTAGAGAGAAGGACCAGAGTTGAAATTCGAACCCTTGTACATGTGGGAACTCGATACACAATAAAGGCAGCTCTGATATTCGTAGGAATAGAAGGAATTATGTAATAGAAGGGGAGAGGAGACTGGCTCACAATAAATGGACCAACACAAGCATGGGCGAATCTCTAACAGTCTCCTTGAGGAAAATGTTAGAGGAAAATGTAAAGTTAAGAGAAGGGCGCAGAACGTCCTGAGCAAAACCATGCACGTTCAAGTCATTCGATGGGTAAGCATATGAAGGAACGCTCCGACTCGTTGATGACCTGAAGAATGAAAAGGGAAACCAGAAGGAACTGGCACTTGGCAGGCTCCACCAAATTATCTCTCCAAGAGCCCCATGTCTCACTGGATGTCTCAAGTAAAACTGTCTCTTTCCTTGTTGACAGAGGCCACCTATGGTATTCTTCCTGAGTTTTCAGGGCAGTGTTTCTGCTCTGCAGGCTCTCTTATGGGAATTGACAGCCAGCTTACATGATCTCCCCAGACAGGACCTACTTCCTGCAGATTCCAAAACTTTTCCATTACACACAACTTCTCAGTATCCCAAACTATCCTGTACTTCTTTTTGATAATCTGCTCCAAAAACTCAGTTTCTCTTATACTCTCTGCCCATGGGGGTCAGACTCCCAAGCCAACTGTCATGTGCTGCTGACTCAGCCTCTCCCCTTCCTCCTCCACTGTCAACCCTACAGTCTGAGACATCTCCAATCCTATTCATGCCAACACATTACTTGTAATTCACCTCAAACACCCCTCACTTTCCCCATATCCAATAGCCCCTAAACATCAACAGGGGCTCAAACCTATAATCTGCTGCTTATTATCTAATGGGTCTCCAAAAGTCACTCACTCACCCTTCAACTCCACTATTGTCCCTATCCTCACATCCAGTGGCTTCTATCACCAGTCCAAGATCCTGGAGATACTAAAAATGCAATTGATAGTGTCAGTTCATCTGGTGGTGCCAAATGCTTATGCTATACTCTCATTTTTCTTTGTGTACCTTTCACTTTTCTGTATTATACCTAAATGATACATTTTTAACTATTTCCTGACACCTCAATTGCCAAGATTTCTTTGCCTTTCCATGGACAAATCCAGACACTGCAATCTACACAACTTATTTAGAGTCCTACCTCAAGGCTTCACGGACACTCCACACTTCAGCTGAGCCCCTGCTGCTGATCTCGTGGCTCTCAACCTTTTTTTTTTTTTTTTGTGGCTCTCAATCTTAAACCTGACTTTCTTCTCCAATATGCAGATGAGCTTCTCCTCTATTCTCCAGTCTATCCTCTAACTACATAACATCCAGCTACCTTTCTCTACTATCTCTCAAGTCTCAAACATAGGGTGTTCCCTACTAAAGCCCAAATAGCTTCACCAAAGATTAAATACCTGGGTCTCACTCTCATCCCCACCTATAACCTCAGACCACAGAGCCCATCTCCATGATCTCCAGGTGCTAACTTCAAAACAAGTTTTATCTTTTCTAGATTTAAAAACTTCTTTTATCTCTGGATTCCTTACTTTGCTACACTAGCCCAACCTCTTTATAAAGCATCCACAGGTTCTTTATCAGAAGCCTCACATCCACTACTCCTATTTCTCATTTTCTAAATTAAAAGAGGCTGTTTCAAAGGCCCCAGCTCTCATTCTCCTTAGGCCAAACCAAGATTTCTACCACTGAAGATCATAATGCTGTAGGAGTTTTAGTACACACACACACACACACACACACACACACACACACACACACACTTCTTTCCAAGCAGTAGCCTATCTCTCAAAACAGACAACATGATACAAAGCTGACCTCCCTGCCTTTGTCCACTTGCTTCAGCAGCCTCACTAAGACAAGGGGCCAAACAGTTCACTTTAAAACAGTCAATTATTGTCCACCTACCCCATTGCTCCAGTGACCTTATTTTACACAAGATACTTCCTGCCTTAATGACATCTCACCTACAAGTTGACTTAATTCTTATACAGGATCCTACAATCACCATCTCTGTTAATATCTCCCTGAACCAAGCCACCTTACTTCCCACCTCTGATGAGACCCCTTACACAATTATAGTGAGGTCCTGCAGATGACTCCTACTCCCTTCCCTCACATTAACAGTATTCATCTCCCTACAGCTTCTGATACACAGTTCATAGATGACAATACAGCCAACACAAACCCTCAAAAGAGGACAAAATATTCTATAATCAAAGGCTTCAAGTCATAGAGGCAAGCTCACTGCCACTCAAAACATCTTCCCAGAAAAGAAAACTAATTGCCCTCACATGGGACCTCACACTAATGACAAAATCATAAATATCTATACTGACTCCAAATATACATTCAACATACTTTACTCTCATACTATGTAACAAATATGAGATCTAAGTAATCACAAGGGACCCCTAATCACTAATACACCTCTCATTCTTAATTTGTTAGAGACAACACAACTTCCAAAACAAGTAACAATCATTCACTATAAGGGACACCAAACATCATCAGGTCTATCTGTCAGGATAGTACCTGTGTGAACACACAGGCTAAATTAACTACACAACAACCATATGTCTCTCATCTTTCCCCCCTTATCCCAAACACATTGACTTCACTTCAATATTCATCTACACAGTGACAGTTAATTCACAAACCCACAAGTTCTTCCTCCCAGATCAATGTTTTAGACCTCATCATACATACATACATACATAACATACATAACTGCTTTCATCTAGACAGTCAAGCCCTATATAAACTACTAAGTCTACTCACTACTCATTCCTCTCTAAAAATATTCATCAGGTCACTCACAGCTGTTTTGTGCCAAAACCTCTCCTCAGAGACATTTATCTGCTTCTTTCCCAACCTATCAACTTTGTGAACACACTCCAAATAAAGACTAATAGATTTTACACATGTGCCTCATCATAAGACCTACACACCTCCACCTCACCCGTTCATAGCCCAGTGTTCTGTTACTCTCTTTACTTCCTTGGCATTTTTTACTGCTGGTCCTCATACTGCTGCTGCTGTCATACTTCAATCTCTCCCTACAACACCAAAACTTTTATTGTTCACTAAAATTTTAGATTCAAACACCTTACACTGCCTAAAACAAAGCCTTCAGTCTTACTCCCCCTTCCACTACTCCTATTCATTCTCCTTCTAGGACACACGGCCTTACTGACAGTCTACTGCACAGTTTTCAACCTCACTATTCCTTTCTCCCACATAAATCCCAGCCTAAAATCTCAAGTTCAAATAAAAATTCTCCAATATTACAACACACAACAAATAACCCCAGCTCAAACCCAGCATCTCCCTACCTTTTCCATAATGCCCACATCTTCACCCCAACATCTCCAAATCTGAAAACAAAACCTGTATGATGATTAACTACCTGGCCATCCCCAGGCTAGCACAAACCCATGGGCCAGCATACTAGGAAGACCTGGTGAGCATGCGCAGAACCTACAGAGACATGCACTTGCAGAGAAGGTTAGGTTCCTTGCTCGGGAGCCGTGCACATGCAGAAGCAGTTAGGCTTCTCGCTCGGGAGCCGTGCACGTGCAGAAGCGGTTAGGCTTCTCGCTCGGGAGCCGTGCACGTGCAGAAGCGGTTAGGCTTCTCGCTCGGGAGCCGTGCACGTGCAGAAGCGGTTAGGCTTCTCGCTCGGGAGCCGTGCACGTGCAGAATCGGTTAGGCTTCTCGCTCGGGAGCCGTGCACGTGCAGAAGCGGTTAGGCTGCTCGCTCGGGAGCCGTGCACGTGCAGAAGCGGTTAGGCTTCTTACTCAGAAGCCGAGCGGGTGAGGTGGTTGCGTTTCTTGCTCAGGACTTGTGGAAATGCGCATGTACAGGGCCATTAGAGCCTAGAGATTGGATAAAAGAGGTTGCTTGGCGTTCATTGAAAGTCAGTGAGAGGTCAAAGGGGCCTGAGATTCTGCCATGAAGAGGGTCTACAGGTTGCCCGGTGAGGACCAGAAACCGCCAAGCAACAGAGACGATGGGAGGAGTCACGGGGATGCCATGCCAGGCATCTTTGACAGCTCAGTGCCCGAGCTCCACAAGGCTGCCCGCAAGGGCGACAAGGCCAAGGTGGAGCATCTCCTCCAGAAACCGGACACAGTTTACAGAGACAGCAAGCAAAGGTAATGGGGCTGCAGGCCCGGGGGCTGTGAGTGGGGCCAGGATGATGCGGGAGAGGAAGAAGTGGGTGAAGCGGGGGCAGGGGGATTCCCACCACCCTGGGAGGCAAAGCTGGCCAGAGAGTCGATCCTCAGGTGGTGTCCATAAGCTGCAAAATAAAAACCAAACATTCACTGGTTTTTAGTGGACTTATACTTCCTGTGTAGACTACATTATTGACTGCAGAAAAGCTATTTAAACATGGTAACACGTGTATAGAGTTTTATTCTTAGTATCACGTTAAGAGATGTACTGTTGTACATATTATTTAAAAAGGGAACTATGACATGTTTCCTGTAATCTACAAACTTAGGGTGGAAACTTAACCTGATGAAAATCTAGTGTCCATTTACTATCAGTGTACACCTGTGCATGTATGTTCTTTACTAAGGAACCTTATAAGAAAACTGAGATGGGAAGGTGGCTGCATGTTCTTGACTAGAAAGTTCTGTTAGTCTCAAAATGTGAGCTTTCTGTGTATCAGCTTTATAGAAGCTAAATTAAAAAATCGCATAAGACTTGAGTGTCCGTAGCCTCTTTCGCTATGGGGTCACTAAGAAAATGTAGTGAAAGCCCACCTTCGTAGGTATCACGGTAAGTCATTTTCACAAATTAATTGTTTTCCAACAGCCCAAAAGATAAATAAATGAATGTAACTTAGTAGAAAACCTGGAAACATTCAAATATCTGTCAGATTTTAGAAGTTGAAAAATTGGAATGACTCATGAATGAAATGCCTGTAAAGTGTTTCCAAAAAACCTGGATTTTTATGTCACAAAAGTTTCTGGTGGTGTATTGATTAAAAATTTTATATCATACAAAATGAGAAAAGTAGCAAAAGAAAACACATAGCCTATTTGAGCCTTCCTAAGAATGACACCAACAATGAACATTCATTTTTTTGTGTTGGGGGTTGCTCCTAGAACATGGTGCATGCGAAACACACTACCACTCAGCCATCCCCTTCCCCACCTGCATTCTGAAGGTTGACTACCAAAAGAAAAATTAAATTCTCATTTATATTGGAAAATCATTAACAAAATGAAAAACATACTTGTGAGACATTTATTACAAGGGCCTGGGATATTAACTCAGTGGCACAGTGCCCGCATGAAAATGTGAGGTCAGGAGTTAGATTTGCAGTGCCAAAAAAAAAAATAAAATAATAAAATAAAATAAAATAAAGGAGAGATAAATAGATACATCATAAAATACATCATACATCAGATGAAACAAAATCATACATACATACAGCAGATAAAAATGTATCTTAAACTTACAGGGTAATTTTTAAAAAATCATCAAAGAAAAATATTGAATACTAATTTACTTCCATGCTAGATAGCACACACCTCATATCCTGGGCTGTACTGCTGAGCTATATTTAACTCTAAATTATGTGGTTGGTTTGACAAGTGACCTGTAAACATAAAAAGAAATGTTTAATGTCCCTGATAAGGGGAATTTAATTTTACAAAGGAATCAAATGTTTTCCAGTTACAGAGTGTGAGAATGAAGAAAAGTTTATTCTGCTGCTTAAAACTGGAGATGGCTTATGACTTTTTCAAATAGGAAATTTGATATAAGTACTATACCACAGTTTAGGAAAGCATGTCTCCACCAATCAGCTCTCTTCTAGAATATCTTTAGGACATACAGAGACGAATTTAATGTGCCTTTCTTCAGTATTGCTTAAAATAGTGATGGATTCACAGAAGAGATTGTATCAGTTGCAGTGCATTCATAGGATGGAGTGATATATAATCACTGAAATTGGCATCACATCAATATATTCTTAACAGGGAAAGATGCACTTTCATATATCCACTGAGCAAAGAGTCAGTTTAATTTTGCATACACATAGATAGGCTGCAGTCTTGTTTTAGACAGAAAATGTATACAAATTGTGGCAAAATTTGTTATTTTCAGGCATTTGACATTTTCTGTTCTTTTTTATTATCGAGAAGTTCATTCTAGTTGTAATATTTAGGAGTTTATTAAATTTTTTCCTTCTAACAGTTTCATTGGCCCAGAAACAATGCTGAGTATTCTATATTTTGACATTTTTGTGCCTTGCATTTTGCATGTTATGATTAGTATTGGCAACGGTACTGTGTGCTCTTCTTTCCTTTCTCTTATCCTTGATTTCTATAGTAGACATGAAACTCTAGTGAAAGTTGACTATTAATAAAATAATCCTTGAGAAAAACAGAAATATTAGTTAAGCACAGATAATTTTCATTTTTATGTGTGTGTATTGGCATTTCTGATAACTTTTTACTTCTTCCGAAATAAAGAAATTATCTGTATGTATAGATTTTACTATGAATCATGTGATGATGCCTTACGAAGAAACCTTTTTAAAAGCCACTGCTGTGGGATTTTCACATGGAGAGGCAGGGCACTCCAGCTGCCCGAGGAGGCAGCTTCATTGGTGCTGACACTAACTCAGCAGATTCATGATTAACATGGTATAGTTGCCCCCTTTTATACAATTTTTGTCTTTTCATCTCCCTTATATGGGCACATGCAAGGATTTTCCAGTCTGGCCGGTATACCTTAACATTCTATAGGCTGGTTTATGTTATAGTGTTATATCAGTAGCATACACAGAGGCTGATGTTAAAAAAAGCCCCCCATACTCCAAAGGTCAGGAGGGGCCCTCCCACACCACCGGTTATAGTTACACAAGACCTGTTGTCTTCTGAGCTGTGTGTGGCTTTCCAATGACAGAGGTGTTAAAATATGAGAAAAAGTGTCTGGAGGCTTATTGAAATAATTCTAACCCCACAAGGTAGGTCCATTTGAATTATTTTATTTTACTTAATTGAAATATTGCCTTTGTTAAGTAGTAATAGGAGACATTATAGTATCAGACAATTATTGAGCTGTTACTTGTTTGAGAAGTTATTCGAAAAATTTTGTGTGGATTCTTACTTAACCATCACAGTGGTGTCTTGTGAGAGAACTGCTTTCAGTCCTCATTTTGTAGGTGACAATCCCGAGGCACAGAAAGGCTAAGGGATGGCTAGAAAGTAAGAACTTAGAGTAGGAATTAAATTCCAATTGAGCTAAATCCAAGGCCTGCTCTTTCTATTCCAGTGGGTTGCGCTAGGCTGGGAGGTAGCGCAGTGCAGGGATCTTGTTTAGTATGTGCAAGACAGCAGCTTCCACCCCCTGCACCACACACAAATGCAGCATCACCCACTTGCTCTTCCATTCACAGGTGAGTAATAAGAGATGCTAAGCATTCTATGTTTTCAAAGATAATTAAATACTTATTGTGAAAGGTATTTAATGTTCACAATTCCATGAATAATTATGAATTTTGAAATGGAGTGCTGTAATTTCCTAATAATCTTTCTGACTGTCCCAGGACTGCTCTGCATTATGCCAGTGCCTATGGCCATCCAGAAGTGGTGAGACTCCTGATACATAAAAAGTTTGACCTTAATGCCTGGGACAGTGACCATGATACCGCTCTGATTAAGGTAAATAGCAGCCAACAATTTCAGCATGGGAGGGATTGTATTTAAATGCTGAAAATCAAAGTCAGTTGATGTAATTTGAATATAACTCCTTGGCCAGGCATGTGGAAAGTGTGTTTGGAGTTTCTTGAGTTGATGGTGTCTCCTCTGTTACAATACCCACAGGCTGTAAAATGCTACGAGGAAGACTGTGTTAGTATTCTCTTGGAACATGGTGCAAATCCAAATATTGCCAATGCCAAGGGCAACACTGCTCTGCATTATGCAGTTTACAGTTCAAAGTCTTCACTAGCAGCAAAACTGCTTTCGCATGGTGCCGATGCTGAGGCAAAAAACAAGGTATAGAGCACTGAATTTTCTTTCCAAAGTTTCTGAAATACTTTCCTGTTCACAGTGACATATTGGTTGGTCAGTTCTCCATATTTAGAAGGTCAAGTGTTTCATGGATGGAAATACACTGTTTTAAATAACTTAATAGTTAATGTTTTCACTTTCAATGTTGATAGTTTTAATGAAATGCTAGAGGATGTGAGTTTCTATTATGCACTTACAGCAAGCATTTGTGAAGACACTGAAATTTAAAAAGTAAATCATTTTTCTGTTATTTTTTCCAAATGGTTATATTTTCTTTCTTTCTTTTTTTTTTGCACTAGTGTAAAACAACACAGGACAGCAAAATTAGCCTCAGAAATAGGTATTATTTTAAAACTTAAACAGAACAACAGTATTTTACAATAAGTGGTAATTTTGTTGCTGTTAACAGCTCATAAAAATGATCCATTTTTGGTGATTTGACTTAAATGGGAAAAATGAGAAGGAAAAATAATTAGAAATAATGCAGGCCCATAGAGTTTGCTTTGTTGGTTGGCTGTTTTTGAAAAAATATTTTTTCTGGTTCATGTGCATAGATAAGATCAATTTTTAGGAAAAATACTTTTTTTTCTATTCAGTACCGGAAATTGAACACAGAATATTCATACTGAGCTGCATCTCCTGCTCTTTTGTGTTATGTTTTACTTTGAGGTAGAGTTTCAAATTAGTTGCCTAATTTGAATTTAAACTTGCAATCTGCCTACCTCAGCATTCCATAGTGCAGATAATCTGGTTGTACTCAGTTTGGGAATAAAACTTCTTTATTTTTTTCTTTTCTTTTTTCTTTCTTTTTTTCAATACTAGGAATCAAACTCTGGACCTTGCACTTACCAGGCAAGCATGGTGCTGCTGAGCTATATTCCTGTCCT